GGACACAGGCGTGCAAACCAGAAGTAGCAGTAGCGGAAGGGAGGGAAGAGAAGGTGAGAGCACAGGTGTGCGTAGCAGCAGCAGCGGAAGCGGAAGTGGAGGATGAAGGGGTAGAGGCACAGGGGTGTGCAGCAACAGCAGCGGAAGAGGAAGGGAAAGAAGAGAAGGTGGGGGCAGGGGTACGTGTACCAGCAGTAGCGGATACGGAAGGAAAGGAGAAGGTGGGGGCAGGGGTATGTGTACCTGCAGCGACGGAAGCAGAAGGGAAGAACGAGAAGGTGGGGGTACAGGCATGCACACCAGCAACAGCGGTAGAGGAAGGGAAGGAAGAGAAGATGGGGGTAATGTCGTGCAAACCAGAAGTGGCAGAAGCAGTAGGGAAGAATGAAGAGTTGGGGGCACGGGCGGGTGCACCAGCAGCAGCTGAAGCTGAAGGGAAGAACGAAGAGATGAGGGTCAGGGCAGGTGTATCAGCTGAAATGACGAGCAACTGGTGGCAAGGGGAACTAAGGATAGCAGGGTGGGAGGGTCCAGTGTGGGACACGGCCCAGGAGCGGGAGGAAACAGAGAGGGAGAGCAAAGAATTGGGGGCAAGAGAGTGCCTGCCAGCAAGGGAAGCAGTGGAGCAGACAGTTGGAGATGAGATGAGGCAGGAAGGAAAAGAGGCCCTGCAGACGGTGAGGTGGATAAAGGGAGAAACTTGGGAAGAGGAGCCGATGCCGCAAGCAGCCCAGGTGCTGACAGAGACAGTGGCTAGGCATGAGCAGCCTCTGCAGCAGGGTGGCATAAAGGACAAAGGCAGCGGGGGAAGTGGGATAGGAAGCTTACCTGCAGAGGATGAAGAAAACCACTTTGGAAATGCTGCCAAGCATGACGAGGCAGAAGACGAAGCAGCTGAGGGGATTGGGATTACGGGAGGTGGCGAAGAAAAGAAGAGAACAAAGCGTGGGCCACCAGACCCAACCGGCAGTGCGGCAGAGCAGCCGACTCAGCCTGGAAGTCCTGTGACTCGGGCCCGAGCAGCTCGAGCACGAGCACAGGAGGGGGCAGGTAGTGGCTGAGTATAAAGGAGGGAACAGGGGAGCAGGAACAAGAAGGAAGCGGAGATGAGAGGGAGAGGGCAGTAAGGGAGAAGGGACAGGAGGAGGTGACAGCGAGAATTCCGACAGCTGTCACAGAATCTATTGATATATTCAACACATTCAGTGTCTTGCTAGTTGGGTGTAGAAGGGTGTAGAACTGTGTCATGTAATGTTACCAAAGGGGTTGTTGGGTTTCAAGGGATTGACGGGAAGTTGGTAGTAGTGGGAATTGCGAAGTACAGCGGGGAGAGCTCAAGGGCCTCGAAGGACAGGGAATTTGCAGTGGCCAATCCAAGGGCAGGGCGACTCGAAGCCAACCCAGTTTGTCGAGGACACTCACGACTCGGGACAGGGCAATAAGTAGCCTAGGCTAGGACATACCAAGCTGTTCTCTCGTTTGTTTTTCTCATATAGTGGTCTAGTGTTACCGTTCTAAAGCTATCTAAGCTAGGTGACTGCGCCACTGTGGGCAACCAGCGTGTGGAATTCCGACAGCTGCGTTGCTAGCACGCTCTGCTGCGTTGCTAGCACGCTCTGCTGCGTTGCTAGCACGCTCAGCTGCGTTGCTAGCACGCTCAGCTGCGTTGCTAGCACGCTCAGCTGCGTTGCTAGCACGCTCTGCTGCGTTGCTAGCACGCTCTGCTGCGTTGCTAGCACGCTCAGCTGCGTTGCTAGCACGCTCAGCTGCGTTGCTAGCACGCTCAGCTGCGTTGCTAGCACGCTCAGCTGCGTTGCTAGCACGCTCTGCTGCGTTGCTAGCACGCTCTGCTGCGTTGCTAGCACGCTCTGCTGCGTTGCTAGCACGCTCTGCTGCGTTAATAGCATGCTCTGCTGCGTTGCTAGCACGCTCTGCTGCGTTGCTAGCACGCTCTGCTGCGTTGCTAGCACGCTCTGCTGCGTTGCTAGCACGCTCTGCTGCGTTGCTAGCACGCTCAGCTGCGTTGCTAGCACGCTCTGCTGCGTCGCTAGCACGCTCTGCTGCGTTGCTAGCACGCTCTGCTGCGTCGCTAGCACGCTCTGCTGCGTCGCTAGCACGCTCTGCTGCGTTGCTAGCACGCTCTGCTGCGTTGCTAGCACGCTCTGCTGCGTTGCTAGCACGCTCTGCTGCGTTGCTAGCACGCTCTGCTGCGTTGCTAGCACGCTCTGCTGCGTTGCTAGCACGCTCTGCTGCGTTTCTAGCATGCTCAGCTGCGTTGCTAGCGCGCTCTGCTGCGTTGCTAGCGCGCTCTGCTGCGTTGCTAGCGCGCTCTGCTGCGTTGCTAGCGCGCTCTGCTGCGTTGCTAGCGCGCTCTGCTGCGTTGCTAGCGCGCTCTGCTGCGTTGCTAGCGCGCTCTGCTGCGTTGCTAGCGCGCTCTGCTGCGTTGCTAGCGCGCTCTGCTGCGTTGCTAGCGCGCTCTGCTGCGTTGCTAGCGCGCTCTGCTGCGTTGCTAGCGCGCTCTGCTGCGTTGCTAGCGCGCTCTGCTGCGTTGCTAGCGCGCTCTGCTGCGTTGCTAGCGCGCTCTGCTGCGTTGCTAGCACGCTCTGCTGCGTTGCTAGCACGCTCAGCTGCGTTGCTCGCACGCTCAGCTGCGTTGCTAGCACGCTCTGCTGCGTTGCTAGCACGCTCTGCTGCGTTGCTAGCACGCTCTGCTGCGTTGCTAGCACGCTCAGCTGCGTTGCTAGCACGCTCAGCTGCGTTGCTAGCACGCTCAGCTGCGTTGCTAGCACGCTCAGCTGCGTTGCTAGCACGCTCTGCTGCGTTGCTAGCACGCTCAGCTGCGTTGCTAGCACGCTCTGCTGCGTTGCTAGCACGCTCTGCTGCGTTGCTAGCACGCTCTGCTGCGTTGCTAGCACGCCCAGCTGCGTTGCTAGCACGCCCAGCTGCGTTGCTAGCACGCCCAGCTGCGTTGCTAGCACGCTCAGCTGCGTTGCTAGCACGCTCTTCTGCGTAACTAGCACGCTCAACTGCGTTGCTAGCACGCTCAGCTGCGTTGCTAGCACGCTCTGCTGCGTTGCTAGCACGCTCTGCTGCGTTGCTAGCACGCTCAGCTGCGTTGCTAGCACGCCCAGCTGCGTTGCTAGCACGCTCTGCTGCGTTGCTAGCACGCCCAGCTGCGTTGCTAGCACGCTCAGCTGCGTTGCTAGCACGCTCTGCTGCGTCGCTAGCACGCCCCGCTGCGTTGCTAGCACGCTCTGCTGCGTCGCTAGCACGCTCTGCTGCGTCGCTAGCACGCTCTGCTGCGTCGCTAGCACGCTCTGCTGCGTTGCTAGCACGCTCTGCTGCGTTGCTAGCACGCTCTGCTGCGTTGCTAGCGCGCTCTGCTGCGTTGCTAGCGCGCTCTGCTGCGTTGCTAGCGCGCTCTGCTGCGTTGCTAGCGCGCTCTGCTGCGTTGCTAGCGCGCTCTGCTGCGTTGCTAGCGCGCTCTGCTGCGTTGCTAGCGCGCCCAGCTGCGTTGCTAGCGCGCCCAGCTGCGTTGCTTGCACGCTCAGCTGTGTTGCTAGCACGCTCAGCTGCGTTGCTAGCACGCTCTGCTGCGTTGCTAGCACGCTCTGCTGCGTTGCTAGCACGCCCAGCTGCGTTGCTAGCACGCTCTGCTGCGTTGCTAGCACGCTCTGCTGCGTTGCTAGCACGCTCTGCTGCGTTGCTAGCACGCTCTGCTGCGTTAATAGCACGCTCTGCTGCGTTGCTAGCACGCTCTGCTGCGTTGCTAGCACGCTCAGCTGCGTTGCTAGCACGCTCTGCTGCGTTGCTAGCACGCCCAGCTGCGTTGCTAGCACGCTCAGCTGCGTTGCTAGCACGCTCAGCTGCGTTGCTAGCACGCTCTGCTGCGTTGCTAGCGCGCTCTGCTGCGTTGCTAGCGCGCTCTGCTGCGTTGCTAGCGCGCTCTGCTGCGTTGCTAGCGCGCTCTGCTGCGTTGCTAGCGCGCTCTGCTGCGTTGCTAGCACGCTCAGCTGCGTTGCTAGCACGCTCAGCTGCGTTGCTAGCACGCTCTGCTGCGTTGCTAGCACGCTCTGCTGCGTTGCTAGCACGCCCAGCTGCGTTGCTAGCACGCTCTGCTGCGTTGCTAGCACGCTCTGCTGCGTTGCTAGCACGCTCTGCTGCGTTGCTAGCACGCTCTGCTGCGTTAATAGCACGCTCTGCTGCGTTGCTAGCACGCTCTGCTGCGTTGCTAGCACGCTCAGCTGCGTTGCTAGCACGCTCTGCTGCGTTGCTAGCACGCCCAGCTGCGTTGCTAGCACGCTCAGCTGCGTTGCTAGCACGCTCAGCTGCGTTGCTAGCACGCTCTGCTGCGTTGCTAGCACGCTCAGCTGCGTTGCTAGCACGCTCTGCTGCGTTGCTAGCACGCTCTGCTGCGTTGCTAGCACGCTCAGCTGCGTTGCTAGCACGCTCTGCTGCGTTGCTAGCACGCCCAGCTGCGTTGCTAGCACGCTCTGCTGCGTTGCTAGCACGCTCTGCTGCGTTGCTAGCACGCCCAGCTGCGTTGCTAGCACGCTCTGCTGCGTTGCTAGCACGCTCTGCTGCGTTGCTAGCACGCTCTGCTTCGTTCTTCCCCCACCCAGCAGCGTTCTTCCTTCACCCTGTTGCGTTCTTCCCCCACCCAGCAGCGTTCTTCCTTCACCCAGTTGCATTCTTCCCCCACCCAGTTGCGTTCTTCCCCCACCCAGCTGCGTTCTTCCCCCACCCAGCTGCGTCCTTCCCCCACACAGCTGCGTTCCCCCCCCCCCCGGCCATTGATTCTCACATCCCTTCACACCCCCTCATATCTCCCAGTCCGTCTCACCCCATCGCATTCCCTCTCCCTTCTTGTCCGCTCATGCGCCTCACAGCATGCCATCATATGCCCTCGTACCGCCCCATCCCATCCTTCATCCGATCCCAATCCCTCATCCCATACCGCGCCATCCGATCCCAATGCCTCATCCCACCTACACGAGCAGGGCGTGGGGGCGTTTGTGTTTCTCGTTCGCCTGAGCTGGCAGATGGCTCTCGTGACTGCTGCCCTCTGTGCCCTCATGTGGTACCTTCTCATGGTCTACGGCAGGTATGTCAATCTGTCTGCTCATCGTCTACAGCAGGTATGTCGACCTGTCTGCTCATGGCGCCATACCCACTTCCGTCCTGCTCTCTTCCCAAGTCTTACGCATCCTCTCCTCACGTGTGCCTGTTTTCACTTGAGTGCCTTGCTCCCCTCTCCTATGCGATTAAGTTCTGCTTCTCCATGGATTTCCTCTAATTGTAACTGCCTGCCACCTCCCCTCGCACCCCTGCCCCTCTCTCAATGCCATGCCCCTCACCCACTGCCCAGCTTCTCCCGGCGGAGTTCCATGGTGGTGCAGGACACTGTTGCCGCCGCCAATGAGGTGAGGAGAGGAACACCCACCAGGGATTTAGGTGAGCTTCTAGGCGCCTCAAAACACGTCTTCCAGCGGGCCTCTATGGTGGTGCAAGGCACTGCGGCAGCTGCCATTGAGGCGAGGAGAGGAAGACTGACCAGGGATCCAAGTTTTAATGCTTGACTGCAACTGCTACTTCATACGCTTACTATAACATGGCCTTTCTGTCACAGTGGGGTTCAACGAGTAAGTGTGGTGAGGTGAGACAACCGCCAGGAAGATCCAATTTGTTGGCGATCCAATTCTTTCATCACAAGAGTGTTTCCACTTCAGCTTGATGTTGATTATCCATCACCCATTTTGCTGGCTCAGGGTCCCGAACATTCCGTTTTCTGTCTTAAGTGCTCCTCCTTATTTATTCCCCCATCCCTCCACACCGTTGTCCTCCTCGCTGCAGCCACACCATTCCCACCCCTTCCAGTCAATCTTTTCACCCATTGCTTATGAAAACGCCTGGAAAAACGACCACCAGGCCCCTCCAAACCCATCCTCACCATGCCATCCTCGACCCCTGTTGACCTCATCCCCAGGTGGCAGAGGAAACGTTGTCTCTCGCCCGAGTGGTTCGGACCTTTGGCACTGAGAGCAAGGAGGTGAAGAGGTGAGGCCACTCTTCATGCAACAGGGTGTCTGAGTGGTGGTCGGCCCCATCCTCCATTTCATGACTTATGAGTGCATTTCAATTGGAGCGCGTTTCCTGTTGTACTTCCTCCCCTGCTCAGGTGTTCTTTGTCCTCTTCTTACTGTCTCCTGCTACACCGTTTTACATCGCTGTTTGTGCTTTTTACATAACCCGTTCACCACAAAGCAAACTGTGTGCGCATGCAAGTGTGCTTGTATCAAACTGTGTGTCCGTGCGAGTGTGTGTGTATCAGGTACGAGGTGCCTCTGCAGCGCATAGTGAATGTGGGTCTGAGGCGGTCCGTGGCGTATGGCGTGTGGACGTGCACCGGCAACACCATCTATAACGCCACTCAGGTGCACTTGGTTCTTTCTACAGCGCACGCCGGCAGCGTGCAATCGCGTCGCGTGCCACCAGTGATGTCAGAAGCAGTGCAGTACGGTTGGAAGGTGTACCGTACCATCCGTATATGTCAGCCAGGAGCCTCATTCCACTCTTACAGCTCCACTTCCCCTTACCTTTCCTCACACCTCTCCCTCTCTCACACACAGAATCACCAGCGAACTGCACCCATCTGCCACCCCTCAGCTGCTCGCTCTGGTCACTCCCTCCGCGCTGCCCCTTCTCTCCACCGCTCCGTATCCCTCAGGTGCTTGCTCTGATCATGGGAGGAGGAGCAGTGATGGGGGGGCGCATAACAGCAGAGCAGCTGACGCAGTTCATTTTGTACGCGGAGTGGGTGGTGCACGCTACCTGGTGGGTGGGCGACCACTGGGCGTCCCTCATGGACTCTGTTGGCGCCTGTCATCGTGTCTTCCAGCTACTCGACCTGCCGCCCTCTGAGCAGCTCATTCAGAACCATGGTGAGTGTGGGTGCTCACTCAAGGAATGCCGAGTGGGTGGTGCATGCCATGTGGTGAGTGGGAGGGCGCGCGTGCAGCGCCATGGTGAGTGGGAGTGTGTTCGGAGTGGGTGGTGCATGCCACGTGGTGGGTGGGCGACCACTGGGCGTCTCTCATGGACTCTGTGGGCGCCTGCCACCGTGTGTTTCAGCTGCTTGACCTGCCACCCTCCGAGCAGCTTACACAGAACCATGGTGAGTGGGAGGGGTCACAAAGGGTCTTGCTAAGTCCGAGTGCTCGCACCCATCCTGAATCAATGCTCCCATCTCCCTCATCCCACAAAACAGCCCCCACTCCTCTCGCTCCCCTACCGTACCTGGCCTGCATTGCTCCCCTCCCCGGTGTGGTGTGCCATCAGGCCGAGTGCTGCCATCGCTGAGGGGCAAGCTGGAGTTCCGCAATCTCTCCTTCCGCTACCCCACCCGCCCTGAGGTGCACCCACCCGCCCTATTGGTCTATTGCCATGACATGGTCTATTGGTGTATTGGTGTATTGGTGTATTGGTCTATTGGTTTATTGCCATGACATGGTCTATTGGTCTATTGGTTTATATGGGTCTATTTGGTCTATTTGGTTTATTGGTCTATTGGTTTATTGCCATGACATGGTCTATTGGTCCATTGGTTTATTGCCAGAACATGGTCTATTGGTCTATTGGCCTATTGGTTTATTGCCATGACATGGTCTATTGGTCTATTAATCTAATGGTCTATTGCTTTATTGGTCTATTTGGTCTATGTGGTCTATTGGTCTATTGGTCTATTGCCATGACATGGTCTATTGGTCTATTGGTTTATTGGTTTATTGCCATGACATGGTCTATCGGTCTATTGGTCTATTTGGTCTATTTGGTCTATTGGTCTATTTGGTCTAATGTTCTATTTGGTATATTTGGTCTATCGGTCTATTTGGTCTATTGGTCTACTTGGTCATTTTGGTCTATTGGTCTATTTCGTCTATTTGGCCTATTGGTCTATTTGGGCTATTTTGGTCTATCTGGTCTATTTTGACTATTTGGTCTATTGTCCTATATGGTCTATTTGCTCTATTTGCTTTATTTGCTCTATTTTCTCTATTTGCTCTATTATTGGTCTATTGGTCTATTCGGTCTATTTGGTCTTTGGTGTGTTTGGTCTATTTGGTCTATTTGGTCTTCTGGTCTGTTTGGTCTATTTGGTCTATCTGGTCTATTTGGTCTTTTGGTCTATTTGGTCTAATTGGTCTATTGGTCTATTTGGTCTGTTTGGTCTATTTGGTATTTTTGGTCTATTCGGTCTATTGGTCTTCTGGTCTATTCGGTCTATTGGTCTATTGGTCTATTTGGTCTGTTTGGTCTGTTTGGTCTGTTTGGTCTGTTTGGCCTGTTTTGGTCTGTTTGGTCTGTTTTGGTTTGTTTGGTCTGTTTGGTCTGTTTGGTCTGTTTGGTCTGTTTGGTCTGTTTGGTCTGTTTGGTCTGTTTTGGACTGTTTGGACTGTTTGGTCTGTTTGGTCTGTTTGGTCTGTTTGGTCTGTTTGGTCTGTTTGGTCTGTTTGGTCTGTTTGGTCTGTTTTGGTCTATTTGGTCTGTTTGGTCTGTTTGGTCTGTTTGGTCTGTTTGGTCTGTTTGGTCTGTTTGGTCTGTTTGGTCTGTTTGGTCTGTTTGGTCTGTTTGGTCTGTTTGGTCTGTTTGGTCTGTTTGGTCTGTTTGGTCTGTTTGGTCTGTTTGGTCTGTTTGGTCTGTTTGGTCTGTTTGGTCTGTTTGGTCTGTTTGGTCTGTTTGGTCTGTTTGGTCTGTTTGGTCTGTTTGGTCTGTTTGGTCTGTTTGGTCTGTTTGGTCTGTTTGGTCTGTTTGGTCTGTTTGGTCTGTTTGGTCTGTTTGGTCTGTTTGGTCTGTTTGGTCTGTTTGGTCTGTTTGGTCTGTTTGGTCTGTTTGGTCTGTTTGGTCTGTTTGGTCTGTTTGGTCTGTTTGGTCTGTTTGGTCTGTATGGTCTATTTGGTCTGTTTGGTCTGTTTGGTCTGTTTGGTCTGTTTGGTCTGTTTGGTCTGTTTGGTCTGTTTGGTCTGTTTGGTCTGTTTGGTCTGTTTGGTCTGTTTGGTCTGTTTTGGTCTGCATGGTCTGTTTGGTCTGTTTGGTCTGTTTGGTCTGTTTGGTCTGTTGGTTTATTGGTTTATTGCCATGACATGGTCTATCGGTCTATTGGTCTATTTGGTCTATTTGGTCTATTGGTCTATTGGTCTATTTGGTCTAATGTTCTCTTTGGTATATTTGGTCTATCGGTCTATTTGGTCTATTGGTCTACTTGGTCATTTTGGTCTATTGGTCTATTTCGTCTATTTGGCCTATTGGTCTATTTGGTCTATTTTGGTCTCTCTGGTCTATTTTGACTATTTGGTCTATTGTCCTATATGGTCTATTTGCTCTATTTGGTCTATTTGCTCTATTTGCTCTATTTTCTCTATTTGCTCTATTATTGGTCTATTGGTTTATTTGGTCTATTTGGTCTTTGGTGTGTTTGGTCTATTTGGTCTGTTTGGTCTTTTGGTCTGTTTGGTCTATTTGGTCTATCTGGTCTATTTGGTCTTTTGGTCTATTTGGTCTAATTGGTCTATTGGTCTATTTGGTCTGTTTGGTCTATTTGGTATTTTTGGTCTATTCCGTCTATTGGTCTTTTGGTCTATTCGGTCTATTGGTCTATTGGTCTATTTGGTCTGTTTGGTCTGTTTGGTCTGTTTGGTCTGTTTGGTCTGTTTGGTCTGTTTGGTCTGTTTTGGTTTGTTTGGTCTGTTTGGTCTGTTTGGTCTGTTTGGTCTGTTTGGTCTGTTTGGTCTGTTTGGTCTGTTTGGTCTGTTTTGGTCTATTTGGTCTGTTTGGTCTGTTTGGTCTGTTTGGTCTGTTTGGTCTGTTTGGTCTGTTTGGTCTGTTTGGTCTGTTTGGTCTGTTTGGTCTGTTTGGTCTGTGCGGTCTGTTTGGTCTGTTTGGTCTGTTTGGTCTGTTTGGTCTGTTTGGTCTGTTTGGTCTGTTTGGTCTGTTTGGTCTGTTTGGTCTGTTTGGTCTGTTTGGTCTGTTTTGGACTGTTTGGTCTGTTTGGTCTGTTTGGTCTGTTTGGTCTGTTTGGTCTGTTTGGTCTGTTTGGTCTGTTTGGTCTGTTTGGTCTGTTTGGTCTGTTTGGCCTTTTTGGTCTGTTTGGTCTGTTTGGTCTGTTTGGTCTGTTTGGTCTGTTTGGTCTGTTTGGTCTGTTTGGTCTGTTTGGTCTGTTTGGTCTGTTTGGTCTGTTTGGTCTGTTTGGTCTGTTTGGTCTGTTTGGTCTGTTTGGTCTGTTTGGTCTGTTTGGTCTGTTTGGTCTGTTTGGTCTGTGCGGTCTGTTTGGTCTGTTTGGTCTGTTTGGTCTGTTTGGTCTGTTTGGTCTGTTTGGTCTGTTTGGTCTGTTTGGTCTGTTTGGTCTGTTTGGTCTGTTTGGTCTGTTTTGGACTGTTTGGTCTGTTTGGTCTGTTTGGTCTGTTTGGTCTGTTTGGTCTGTTTGGTCTGTTTGGTCTGTTTGGTCTGTTTGGTCTGTTTGGTCTGTTTGGCCTTTTTGGTCTGTTTGGTCTGTTTGGTCTGTTTGGTCTGTTTGGTCTGTTTGGTCTGTTTGGTCTGTTTGGTCTGTTTGGTCTGTTTGGTCTGTTTGGTCTGTTTGGTCTGTTTGGTCTGTTTGGTCTGTTTGGTCTGTTTGGTCTGTTTGGTCTGTTTGGTCTGTTTGGTCTGTTTGGTCTGTTTGGTCTGTTTGGTCTGTTTGGTCTGTTTGGTCTGTTTGGTCTGTTTGGTCTGTTTGGTCTGTCCTTTTGGTCAGTTTGGTCTGTTTGGTCTGTTTGGTCTGTTTGGTCTGTTTGGTCTGTTTGGTCTGTTTGGTCTGTTTGGTCTGTTTGGTCTGTTTGGTCTGTTTGGTCTGTTTGGTCTGTTTGGTCTGTTTGGTCTGTTTGGTCTGTTTGGTCTGTTTGGTCTGTTTGGTCTGTTTGGTCTGTTTGGTCTGTTTGGTCTGTTTGGTCTGTTTGGTCTGTTTGGTCTGTTTGGTCTGTTTGGTCTGTTTGGTCTGTTTGGTCTGTTTGGTCTGTTTGGTCTGCTTGTCTGTTTGGTCTGCTTGGTCGGTTTGGTCTGGTTTGGTCTGTTTGGTCTGTTTGGTCTGTTTGGTCTGTTTGGTCTGTTTGGTCTGTTTGGTCTGTTTGGTCTGTTTGGTCTGTTTGGTCTGTTTGGTCTGTTTGGTCTGTTTGGTCTGTTTGGTCTGTTTGGTCTGTTTGGTCTGTTTGGTCTGTTTGGTCTGTTTGGTCTGTTTGGTCTGTTTGGTCTGTTTGGTCTGTTTGGTCTGTTTCGTTTGTTTGGTCCTTTTGGACTGTTTGGTCTGTTTGGTCTGTTTGGTCTGTTTGGTCTGTTTGGTCTGTTTGGTCTGTTTGGTCTGTTTGGTCTGTTTGGTCTGTTTGGTCCTTTTGGTCTATTGGTCTATTGTCATGGCATGGTCTGTTTGTCGCCCTGAGCTGCTCCCCACTTCCCATGAGGTGCGCTCTATCCCTCCTGAGGTAACATGTAGTGACTGCTCAGATTGTTTGCTACGTTCCCTCCCTCTCCGCTTTAAAGATCGTGTCCTCTTCAATTCCACTATCATCACCTCTCCCTCCCTCCTCCAACCCTACAAATGGCATGAACACAATTTTCCTCCTGCACCCTCCCTTCAGTCACTCGAGTTGGGTCGTAGCTCTCTCTCACTTCTCCTCCTTCGCCCACCCCTCGTTATAGGCACCCGTGTTGGATCACATCAACCTGACCATCCATCCAGGCGAGCTGGTGGCGCTGGTGGGTCAAAGCGGCATATGAGGCGCCTCAAAAGCCCCTCCCCCATGGCCCCTGAAGGCACCGGTGTTGGATCACATCAACCTGACCATCCAACCCGGCGAGCTGGTGGCGCTGGTGGGTCAAAGCGGCATATGAGGCGCCTCAAAAGCCCCTCCCCCATGGCCCCTGAAGGCACCGGTGTTGGATCACATCAACCTGACCATCCAACCCGGCGAGCTGGTGGCGCTGGTGGGTCAAAGCGGCATATGAGGCGCCTCAAAAGCCCCTCCCCCATGGCCCCTGAAGGCACCGGTGTTGGATCACATCAACCTGACCATCCAACCCGGCGAGCTGGTGGCGCTGGTGGGGCTGAGTGGCAGCGGCAAGAGCACCCTCGTGGGGCTGTTGAGTCACATCATCACAGGAACCGCCACTGCTTTTTCCCTCCCATGGCCCCTGCAGGCACCGGTGTTGGATCACATCAACCTCACCATTCAACCCGGCGAGCTGGTGGCACTGGTGGGGCTGAGTGGCAGCGGCAAGAGCACCCTCGTCGGGCTGCTGCAGCGACTCTACGAGCCCTCAGAGGGGCAGGTGAGAGGGAGTGACGTGCGCTGGTGTGCGCTGGGGCCGTGCTTGAATGTAGTCTTCAAGCACACGTGGCTCGGTGGCAGCAGCAAGAGCATGCTGCTGGGCTTGCTGCAGTGGCAGAGAGAGGTGGCAGAGAGGGGCGTCACATGCAGTCAGAGAGGGGGGTAGGTGAGCAGGAAAGGTGTGAGGGTGGTGCGGAGGGGATGCGGAGGAGATGAAATTGCATAGCTGCGTTCCGGTCTGCAACGCAGCTGATGGGTTCAGTTCTGGATTTCCTACTTACTGCCCGCTTGTGTCACAGGTGCTTATAGACGACGTGCCTCTACCAGAGATTGACATCGCATGGCTGAGAAGCCACATTGGCGTCGTCAGCCAGGTGAGCTCGCCTCTTTCCCCCACTTGCTCCCCTTTTACTCTCGTCGCCATATTCTCCCCCTAGTCCCTGTCAGAAATAGGCTTAGAAGCGATGCATTAGTAATGAGCTTGAAGCTCTTTAAGTACATCCAAGAGGGGTAGGAAAAGGATGGGGAAGGGAATCGGGGGCAATCTCTAGGGATTGGGGGTAATCCCAAGGCAATCTCCAATTGGTGGGTTGGAGATTGGTTGGAGATTACATTTGGGTTTGGTTGGGATGTAGGTGTACACCCAACCAAACACAATGTGCAAACTACACTACTCTAGGATATAGAAAATACAAAGTACAAATTGTGAGATTGAAGACTAACACTAACAGTCCCCCCTCTCCTCCTCACCTCACATGCTATCCCTGCATGCAAAGTCAAGCACCTTGCCACCTGCGTATCGCCACAGGTGCACGTGAATGACGTTTATATGCACACGCATGTGAAGGTGTTCCAGTCCCAGCATGTTCAGTCCCAGCATGCTCCAGTCCCACCATGCTTTATCCTGCACTCCACACTCCTCGCTCCACTCTCCCTACTCCACTCCCCATTCCCAACTCCCCACTCCGCACTCCTCACTCCACACCACTCCCGACCCCTCCCCACTCCACACTACGCCATCAGGAACCCCGTCTCTTCAGCACTGACGTTGCTTCCAACATCGCTTACGGAAGCAGCGAGGAAATTTCTCAAGAGAAAATCACCAGAGCAGCAACGCAGGCCAACGTCCATCAATTTGTTTCCGGGCTGCCCGAGGGCTACGACACAGTGGTGGACAACGCCCGGCTGAGTGGCGGGCAGAAGCAAAGGATTGCAATTGCCCGGGCTCTAGTGCGCGACCCCACTCTGCTGATTCTGGATGAAGCCACGAGTGCTCTGGACGCTGAGAGCGAGCACTACGTGCAGGTGAGGGAAAAGGGGGTGGGTGGAGCGGAGAGCGTGGTGTGGAGTGTAGGGAGTGAATGAGCTGCTGATTTTGGATGAGGCCACGAGTTCTCTGGTTGCTGAGAGCGAGCACTATGTGCAGGTGAGGGAAAAGGGGGTGGGGAGTGCGTGGGATGAGAATAGAGTGAACGAGCTGCTGTTTTTGGTTTTGAGGAAGCATGTGCAGTATGTGCAGGTGATCTTGCTCGATTCCCCATCCTGCTACTCACCCTGATTATCAAATACACCAACTCTCACTTTGTCTCGCACCCATGCTACAGATGGCACTGGACCAAGCCATGCATGAGGACTCGGCAATGGGACGGAGAAAACGAACTATAATTGTGATCGCTCATCGGTATGTTGGAATTTCCTGCTCATTCAAACTGCATTCCCTGTCGTGGTGTTCGTATCGCACCACCGTAACGACACTCATTTTCTGTGGATTGTCATCTCATTCCTGCTTACCCTGCTAAGTGATATTGTGCGTCCCCCTGTCCCTCGTACTGCCAGGTTATCCACAATTCGTTCCGCGGATAGAATAGTGGTCATGTCTGCAGGCAAAATTGTTGAGGTGAGCAACTGGTGCCTCTTGGATTTACACATGGACGCATATAGTCTTCCTACCATCCTCATGACCTTGTGATGTATGCCTGCCTTTCAGGTTGGCACACACCAGCAGCTGATGGAAAGGAAAGGAGAGTACATGAGATTGCATTTGCGCCAAATAGAAGCCCTTGCTTGAATATTGCAGAGGTACAATATGTGCATAGAGCCAGGGGTTATGTGCCGAGGCGTGTACTGGCCGACTTCTGCCATTGAAGGCGAACTCGATAAGGCCGTACGCGACATTGCAGGCTTGACCCCACGACGAGCCAGACAAAACTCCCCACCAACCTCACTTCCGTGCGACGTAAATGCTCGGTTTTGTCGCCAACGCTGAGCCAACGTTCGCGACGGTTTCCGCTGCTGCTGACTTGCTGAATGGTGGTTGCACCTCTACACACACAAATACAACACACAAATGCTTTGCTGTAGGCGTCGCTTTCGCCGAGTTACTATGTGGCTTTCGCAACTGGCTCTCCCACATCTCAGGGAATACGGCAGCTCCTAACTTGGTTGCGAAACATGACTCCCAGGTTCGCCAATGTCACAATGTAGTTTGCGGGCGGGCTCAATCCAATTCTGCTTCATCATATTTTCGCTCGCACTAGCTGTCCAGGAAAATTAGTATTATAAAAATATAGGGTGCATCTCTCAAGAAAGCGCCGTCATTTTCAACATTAGCTGAGTTCGGTATGTACGGATAAACTCAGTCTGTACTAACTGTTGCTGATATTTTTTTTCAGCACCGTTCTCGACGTGAAGTTGATTGCAACGTCACACATAACGTACGGCGTTCGCGTAACAGGCGGATGGGAATGGGTCGCGAGCAGGGCAACGATCAGGAGCTTATTCTGGGCGTGGGTGTCAGCCACGCCGGCAATGTGCTTGTATCTCATAGTTCCAGCTCATTAGCGGATGACTTCAACGAGGTGCTTCGCGAAGCCATCGCCCAAGTCCCGCCGCACATGCGATGGTTCTCCGTCGTAAGTGGATCACGGTAGCGCCTTTCCGTCGCATGATGCAACTCAATCGCTCCACATTCCGTTTCTGTCAATCAATTCTCTCACCGCCCATTTCGTTGGCTGGCCCGCCTTTCACCAGATGGTCGTGCGCCGTTCCGCTGTTCCTCGCTTCCTTCTCCGGGTTCACCGCCCCCCCTCCCCCTACCTCACTCCCCTCCCCATGCTCTCTCTGACCTCACCCTTCCTTCCCCCAATGCCTTCCGTTTCCCCTCCGCCCTTCCGCCAATGCCCTCAGAGCCACGATCAGCGCATGATCATCCACCTCGTTCATCGCAAGCAACCGGGCGCGGAACCGCCACGCGCGGGAGCCTCCGCCTGCGCCGCCGCCACCATCGTCACCGCCGCGGCGCACGAGTGCGCGGATCGGCAGCGCGTTCGCCGCCTGCTGCAGTCCCTTCTCGACGAATGCGCAGCGGAGCTGTTGCCGGCGGTTGACGCCGCGGGAGAGGCGCAGGCGCAGGCGCAAGCCGCGGAGCGCGATGGCGGAGCGGAGCAAAACGGAGCTGCAGCAACAGCCGCGGAAGAGCCTAATGTTGTCCTGTTAGAGCGGAAAAAACAACAGCTAGAGAAGCTAGAGCAGCGGCTTAGGTCTTTAATCGCGTCGCATAGGGGCGTCGTTCCTCCGCGCCCCGTCCTAATGCTCTACCCCGGTGCGCCGAAGCGTTTTCTCACGCGCGCGCCCGAGCCTCCCCCGTGGGAAGGCGGAGCAGGGGGAGCGGGGGAGGAGGATGGGGGGAGAGTGCTGGAGTGCGGGCGCACGCGGTTGCAAAAGGAATTGGCGGAGCTGGACGAAAACGAGGATGATGATAACGAGGATGAAGCGTTTGTGTTCAACGTGGCGGGGAGAGTGGGCGAGGGGGGAAGTCAAGGGGGGCTGCGTGGGGCTGCGAATGGGGGGGCGGGGAATGGGGCCCCGGTGAATGGGGGTGCTGGGAGTGGGGGAACTGGCAATGGGGGAATTGACAGGGTGGTGGAGGTGGGAGAGAGGAGGAAGACAGCAGGAGCCCCTGCAGAAACAGCAGCAGCAGCAGGTGGGGGAGGAAAGAGAGAGCAACAACCGCAGCCACTGGCTAGCGCCGACACAGAATCCCCGTTTCAGGCTCCGCAGCAGCTGCAGCAGCAACGGCTGCAAGCATACCAGGAGGAGGAGGAGAAGACAGAACAGCAGGAGCCCGCACAGGCAGGCACACAACAGGCAGCCTCTGCGGGCGGATCAGGGTGGACCAGCCCCCTGGCCTCTGCTGATTTCTCCTGGGCGGCGCGCGTGGCACCTGACGGCTTGCTAGGCAGCATTGCCAGCGCGGTGGCAGCTGTTGCTTCAGGTTCCTCCACTCCCCCCTCACCCGCTCCACACGGCACCACCAGTGCACTCCCCCCTGCCCACCCTGCTCCCTCCACCCCCCCACCTACACCCAATCCTGGTTCTACCGCCTTCCCCCCCCGTCCTGCCGCTCTCACTGCTTCTGCTCCGCCCACCATCGCCACCGCATCTCCCGGCCCATCCAACCCCAGTGGGATATTCCAATCGGGAATCAATGTGATTTACGAGTCAGCAGTGGCATTCTCTACAGAGTATACAAACACGATGCGCACGCTCACACACACCACCAGCGCCACCAACGCCAACTGGTCTACCCAGTTCTCCAACATGGTTACCGCTGCTGCCATCGCTGCCGGCACCCTGGCCAGCGGGCCGGCTGTTTCAGGGGATGTTTCAGGTGCTGCGTCAGGTGCTGCTGCTGGTGATGCTGCACCAGGCAGCAACAGAGGAGCAAACGCCGCCTCGCACGCTGCGAAAGCAGGTCCGGGTAACGCAGGGTTACCACCGATGCAGGGGAGGCCTAGGGATGGGAAGGTGCGGGGGCGGGTTGGTGACGTGGCGCCATCAGGGCTGTCGTGGGAGGAGGAGATTGCGTCCCAGCTTGCATCTGTGGGCGTGGCTGTTTCGTCCTGGGGCCCTGGGGAAGAGGTGCGGGCGGAGAGGGCAGATGGCAGCGGTGGCAGTGGTGGTGGTGGGGGGGGGGGAGAAGTGGGAGGAGGGAGAGGAGGAGGAGCGAGTGAGGAAGCAGCAGCGGTGGCTGGTAATGGCTCGTCGCTCCCAGCGAGAAAAGCAGGAGCAGTAGCTGAGGGGAGAGACACTGCCCCCACTGCAGCCCCCCCAGCAGGCGCCTCAGCAGGCCTTTCAGCAGCCCCCACAGCAGCCCCCACAGCAGCACGGGGTAGTGGCAACAGGGCAAGGACTCAAAGCATGGTGGGGCTGGTTGGGGGGGGAAGGGCCGCCAAAGGGGCTGATGGGGGAGCGGGAGGGCGGGCCACTCTAGGCATTCATGTGGGGAGGGGGCAGTCAGGGCACAACAGGGCAGCATCTGTAGCGGCGTCTGTAGCCGGGGCACCGCCACCGTCCCCGGGCAGTGCGAGCAAGTTTGGAGGGTTTGGGTTTGGGAGCTTGATTCCCAAGGGGTGGAGAAAGGTGCTTAACCTGGAGTGACTGTGAAGTGACCTGGATACCTGTAGTTGAGGCGCCTCATTACATGCTTTTTCTCTGAAGGGGTGGAGAAAAGCTTTTAACCTGGCGTGACTGTAAAGGGGGGGACTAGAGGGTGGAAGGGGTAAACCCTGCAGCAAGGGCCAGTGTGTGGAGAAGAGTGTTCAGTGTGGAGTGATTGTAAAGGGGTCAATGAGCAGAGGGGAGAGAAGCACCCTTGTGTGAAGGACCAACGGTTCTGATCTGACTCTGAAAAATGCCAGGCACCCTGGTAGTGCCGTGCAGAGAAATGGCTGCTCTGTGTGCTTCTGTGGGAGTGTGTGTTGGCAATGTTACAGGTAGTTTCCAAGGTTGGGTTTTATCGTTTTAGAATCTGGGTTGGTTTGTTATTGGCCTCCTCGCTGCATGGATTGTTCTGCACACATTGCGAAGTGCATGCACCTGTCACGTGCTGTCATCTTTCTGTACTCTGGTGTTTCTTTCTGCCATTCAGCCAGCCACACAGGTTCTTCACAGTGCCATGCCACACATCCTTTTCAAAGTTTTAGTACAAGTCCCTCAGAATTGCCACATCATCTCACGTGCTCACATGCTTCTCCCACAGCAGCACACACACCAGCCAGCAATGGGCAGCGCTGCTGCAGTCACAGCAGCACACAGCCATCCACGGGGTGCGGTGCTACTAGCGAGTGTGCAAGCATCATGTCACTAAATCCATCATCATTGGGACTCCGGTCGGAATCTACTGGATCAGGCAGTTGAGAAGGCCACCCAGTGAAAGGAATCAGGATCTATTAAGAGAGAAGAGAAGCGACGAGCACAGTGACAGGAAGAGGAGTGAAGGGAAAGAGGGAGAATGATTTTTGTGCCAATGAGAGGAGAGAAACGACTGTTACGTAACATGCTGGGATGAACGGCTCAGATGCAGTGCGCACCTTTGGGATTGCATTGTCAAACTACAGAAGCATACCGTAAGTTAATAAAGACATTGTGGAATTGGGGAGTATGCACTGTAGCATGGGTATCATGTCACCCTTATTGAGTGACCGTGAACAGGATGCCCTGTTGGACAAGTCACAGCCACGTGTCATGAAAGCAGAACCCGACAGCTTCAGCTGACGTGTCATCACATCAGAACCCCACAGCCCTGCGAACCTCATCCACACTGCACCCCTCTCGGAATAACCCGCACGTCAGGGCCACCGCGCGCAGCTTCTCAGAAACTTCTGGCGCCGGCCAAACCATCCGGACGACTAGAAGCGCTTCTAGAAACCCTAGAAAGCAGCCAACGGCCACATCGAGAACGAAATGCCGTCCCAGGAACACTCTGGAACCAGCAGTCGCTGCACCCCACACGGCAACCGCTGCAATAAGTAACCAAACCCTAAATTCCGGGCTTATATCGGCTGATAAGGCGGTTGTGAGGTTTTTCGGGAGCAACCGATGCAGATCGGGAGGGATCAGTCGGCCGGGGTTGGCGGGAAGCACGTGGCCGAATTCGGTTGAGATGGGTGGGAGGAGGTGGAAAAGGAGCGCTGCGATCATGATGGCACGCGATGCGTGACCGCTCGGGAAGGACCACTGATCGGGCGCCACGACGACCAGCATCCCGCGATTGTAGTGCGGACGCGGCCGGCGAAACGCGACCTTGAGAATACCGACGACCGCCAGATCGAGTATGCACGCGAGAAACGTTCCTAGAAAGATCTGGCGGATCGTCGCGGTGGTGAAGACGGGAGAAAGCCAGAGCGCGAAGCAGAGCGGGAGGAGGAGCCGGCCATCGCCGGATCGCTCGAGGAGGATCAGGAAGGAGCGGAAGATCGGCAAATGCTCGGTGGCTTTATACAGGCGGGCCGACACAGCCGTGTCCCGGAGTACTAGCCACGTAAGAAGACTAGGTACGGTCCGATCAGCAGCCATGACGGGGAAATCCCGAAACTAGTACTAACATGTTTTACCGATAATCGCATCCTTTTGTCAAAGCCTTCATACTGTCGGGTCCGCGCTAAGGCCAGAATCTCTAGCAACATTGGCCGATATGTATTGGATTATGCTATTCACATGATATTGATTTTGCAAAACGATTTTTTGGCGGATGATATTCTTAGCAGTCGTATCTTGTAACACTGCAGGGATGCGTTGTACTCGAATATGACCTGCGCTTCGTTTCTTGCCTTCGAACGATCTGCACCAGGTGACATCCACAGAGTGCCGCGTCAGCATCATCGGTTTGATTCGAGATTGCCGTCGTTCTCAGGAGAAACCCGAGCAGCCGAGCTTCCTCTGTTCAATATGGCATGCCCGAGGAAAGGAATTTGAGAAAGGACCTGGCCTTGGAAAATGCACGCTTGTATAAGTGGCCTGCCTTGTCGTTTTCATAGACCAACAACTTGCTTCTTGCGAAGCTCGGGAATGCAGAAACTGGTCCCGCTTTTCTGTTTGCTAGTTCCCTCGCACGGTCGCATGAAGGTGCCCATCTTTTTTAGTATGTACGTATTTAATGACAGCTCCCTGGTTTTCTGTACTGCTGTGGTTCGAAACACGCTGACCTCAATATTCGCTAGTCGGGGAAACTAGACGTAAAAAATTGGAATTACGGATTACAATAGGCTCTGCTCTCTGTACCTCCATCAGATTCAAGTGTGGCTGTATTAGCTTGACCCTATCCTATCGTGCTGCTCGTCCTCGTCTCTGACCGTTGCGATGTTGCGAAAACGATGTGTTCGAGCAACCCCTTTTCGCCCACGGTTTCTGCCGCCACGCCAACCCCCCTCCCCTGATTGAAGCTTTGTTGCTACGGCTGGAATGCACGTCCTTCCATTTATCCAAGCAAAACGAGCTGCATTTCCTAATCCGTTCAGTGAAATCATCTCAGGGAGAAGCTAAACTCAAGCATCATGGCGACGACTAAGACCAAAGCCGCACTCATCCTGCTCCTCTGCATAGTAGGCCAAGTTTTCGGACAGGGAACGCAGGGCTCCAACCAGGGCGGCGGCACGGACAACCGCTCGTGCCCCATTTTCCAATGCCAGTCCAAGTCGAAGCAGGCCGGCCGCTTCGATTCCGTCAACCCTAAATTCTCCGAGGCCTTCACGTACAGCGCGACCAAGGACCCGAACGAGGAGTGCTGGAAGGTGTGCCAATACCACAACCAGGGCAACCGCCCCGACCCCGTCGTGTACTGGCAGTACGAGCCCTTCACCGACCCCACCACCGGCGGTAAGCCTGAGCATGTTTGCTTTATATCCACACGTCACCACCTCCCTAACCTCCCAATCTCTGCCTCCTTCCTCCCGAATGCAAGCGTCGATGTTCTCGTTCGGTCCTCATCCTTGAATGTACTCGCTATGGCGTTATCCGCGCAGGTCTGTGCACGTGCTACGGCGAGGAGGTGTGCAAGGACAAGCACTTCATCGACCCGACGCGCGACAACGGCGTGCGCCCCGAGTTCATTTACGTCGGCAAGATCTGCCCCGCCAATGGCACCGGCGACCCGCACTTTGTCGGCGCCGACCTCTCGCGCTTCGACTTCAGCGGCCGGCCTGGTGAGGACTATGCGCTCATCTCCGACGCCCACGTGGCGGTCCAGGCTCACTTCGACGGCCGCTGGGGCGAATGGGAAGGCCGCAACAAGGCGCTGACGTGGATGCGCCAGATCAGCGTTCTCTGGGGACACCACACTATTGTGTTCGAGGCGCGCGAGGGCTGGGCTGCCGACTACCGTACCGGCTATCTCCAGCGTCTCGTGGTTGATAATGAGGAGGTTAAGCTGGGCGTTCCCGGGTCGCACCTCGAGGCCGCGTCGTTCTTTGACGGGCAGGTTGAGATTAAGTGGGTGGCTGCGAAGAAGCCGGTCAAGGACGACCTTGTCGACGAGTACGAGATTCGCATCGGCGACATTCTCGCGCTGCGACTGACTCTGCGACCGGAAATCCCGATGCTTCGCACGGAGGAGGACGGACTGGTGCATTTCACGGTGGACGTGATGAGCGCGAAGCTCTCGCCCAACGTGCACGGCGTGCTCGGCCAGACGTACCGCCCTGACTTCGCCGGCAGACTGTAAGTCGCTGCACTTCTTCCCGCTTCTTACTTCCAAACTGGAGCGAGTCGCTCCCGCTTCTTTCTTTGATGCTGTAATATTCGCATACCTGCGTTCCGCCCTGACATGTGTCTTCTCTTTCTTTCTTTCGCTTCTTGGTATGAATGCAGTGAGAAGCAGAAGCTGGTGTACAGCGAGCTGTTCAAGACGTACGTGGTGCCCGGCGACAACGCCGAGGGTTTCATCGACGGCACCGTCGACGATTACAAGTGCTCCGATCTCACGCACTCCGACTGCGCTTTCTGCCGCTTCGTGCGCGCCGAGGGCCTTGATGACGAGACCGCGCTCGCTGTTGAGATGGCGACTGCCGCGTCGTCTTCGTTCAGCGACAACGGAAATTACTACCCCCGCAAGGCGCTTATCGGGGCTTTCTAGATCAAAGTCACCTCGTAGCGTCGGGGGTGGCGCCTATTCCTTTTGATTTGCTTTGGTTCTGGTTGACATTTTGGTTTTTGCTCGAATGTGTCTGTAATATACCATCACGCTGGTGATTCTTTTCTTTTGCTTCAAATAAATTACTGGACAATTTCATTCACCAGATTCTCAAATGTTAACTTACGTGAAACCATGGTAGATTTACGGAGCGGTATTTAGCCATCGTAACAAAGAGCATTCCAAACAGCCCACCTCGTAACAGGCGATCGTGAAAGCGACCGGCCCGCACGACATTCTGAGATCCCCCAGCTCTAACCCGTTTCTGGGGATTTGGGGGCCTCCAACAGCCTTGGAGTGCGACTACAGATTCTGTTCGTACATGTAATGAATTATTATTCATTACTGTAGAGACTGTCCTTAGCGAGGACAGCCCCGAGCAGTTCGCGTCAGTGTGGCTCGGCCTACACTTTCGCACCGAACCAGCCCCGAGTCGCCCCGCACCAATTGCGACATTCCCGAGCCACGCACATCGAGGTCCTCGCCTAGCACGGTTTCGACCCTATAAATGCTCGCTTCATTATCATTCTCGAGATTCTGTAATTCCATCCTTTTTATAAAGTCTTCCGTGCACTCTTCTTAGTACAACTCATAACAGTACAGAACAGCCAGTTACAAACTTGGAATGCGGCCCATTTCGCCAACACCAAACCGAACCATTTACCAGCGTTGTTTACCGCTCTACACCGAATTTCGCTTCGAGCGCAGCAATTTCTAGTCGGATCTTCACTGCTTGCAGTGAATTTGGCCAGTCCCCAACAACAGCACAGCACGGCACTACAAAAGACATTGGGATTGGCAGGCACTCACGATTTCCCCAACTCTCGATTCACGGCACGGCTGCCCTGCCTGCCGTTTCTCTTCGAGTGCCGTTCTCGCCTCTGATTCAGCCATGGCCGCGCTTCGCGCCGCGCTTCTCGGCGTGCTTGCAGCGGCAGTCGCGTCGTTTATTTACAACGACCCGCTCGCGCTTCGCCAGCCCGTAGACGTGTCGCCCGTCCTCCTCGCGCCGCGTGCCGTGCCGGCAGCTACCGACCCAGCGAACCGCCTTGCTTCCGCCGAAATCAAGTAATCCTCAGTTCTTTTCGCGACGAGGGTGTCAGAAAGGGAAACTTCACATTATGAAATACCAGATTATTTTCTGTCTACTAAAACAGGAGCACCTAGTCACAGTCATGAGCATTAATGGGCATAAGTTAATCCCCGAAGCACAGGCGGATGACTAAATCATCCTCGTCTTGTTATTCTTTCTTTCTTCTTCGCTTTTTTCCGATACATGCGGCGAATGTTGCGCGGCGGATGCTGCGAATGGCAGGTACTTGCACGAGGGAGTCGGCCCTGAGAGTCTCGCCATCGACGCGAGCGGCCGGGGCCCTTACTCCGGCCTCGCAGACGGCCGCGTTGTGCAGCGGAGCGCGGACGACAGCCAATGGGAGCCCTTCGCTCACACCTCCCCGAATCGCACCCCTCAGTTGTGTGACATTCCGCCAAAGTCACAGCCCGACCCGTCTAAGGAGCCTATTTGCGGCCGTCCCCTGGGCCTGCGGTTTCACCCTGTAACCGGAGAGCTTTATATCGCGGACGCGTACTATGGGGTGAATCGGGTTGGCTTAAAAGGGGGACTGGCGGAGCAGCTGGTTGGCGGGAAACCGGTGGGTGGGCAGAAGGTGTCGTTTGTGAACGACCTCGATATTGACGCGGAGGACGCAAACGGAACAGTGTATTTCACTGTTACTAGTACAAAATATGGGATGAGGTAAGCAAGGTCCTGTTCACTGCATTTTGTAAAACTCCAGCCTTCACAGCAGGCCTTCCCTCCTACCCACACCCCCCCAATATCTCTCTTGCAGCCACCTTCCCCATTATCCCCCTCCTCCTGTCACCACCACCATCCTCCTCCCATCACCAACTCTCCTCCGCGCGGATCTGACCGGCAAGCCGCCTCCAATCATCCTCGCTCCCCTCTTCCCCGCCCGTCTGCCGTCCAACAGGCACTTCCTCTCCATGATTCTGGACGGCGGGGCGGACGGCGGAGTGTACAAGTATGACGTGGCGACGGGCGAGGTCACTCAGCTGGTGGCGGGCGTGGCATTCGCCAACGGGATAGCTCTCTCTGTGGATCGCTCTTTCCTCGTGTATTGCGAGACCATCCGAGCCAGGTGGGTGCATGGCAAAGAGGCTGTGGAGTTAAGGCGAATCTTGCAGCACGCCCTGTAACCTTCAGATACCTCCACGTGCCTCCATATACCATATACCTCCGTGTGCTCCCATAAACCTTTATATACCTTCGTTCTTATATCTCCTTCTTTGAATGCATGTGTGTGCATGTGCATGTGCATTTGTGCATGTGCATACGCATGCTGTGCATGTGTGTATCTGTGCATGCCTGTGCATGAGCAGGTGCAACCGCTACTGGCTAACTGGCAGCAAGGCGGGCACACACGAGGTGATGGTGGACTTGCCAGGCGTGCCCGATAACCCCCGCCTCAACCCCCGTGGCCGCTTCTGGATTGCCATGCCTGCCTACCGAACCGCCGCTTATGGTTCGGAAATCCTCTCCCCATTTTCCACTTTCCCACTTACTGCTGCTGCTTCCCAGTCACTTCTCATGCTACCATGCCACCACGCCACCATGCCACCATGCCACCATGCCTCCATATTCCCCATGCCCCACCGCCATCTCTATCTTCTTCTATCATCATCACCTCAAGCCCCCATGTCAGCATGTCTCTTTCACCCCTCTCTCTCTCCACCCCCATCTCACCTCCCCAGATTTCCTTGCTCGCACGCCCCGTCTGCGCTCCATCCTCCTCCGCCTCAACCTCCACCCGCTGCTCCTCTACGCCGGAATTTTCGGGCTGCCCAACGGGGTGATCGCCGAGGTGGACTCGTCCGGGCAGATCACGGAGATTTTGGAGGACCGGGCGGGGAAGCGGGTGCAGGCGCCAAGCGAGGTGATGGAGAGGGATGGGAAGCTGTGGATCGCGTCCCTCATAGTGCCCCACCTGGCCGTGCTGGACTATGCACCACCAGGAGGCACCGCCGCTGCTTAGCCTGAGCCCAGCTTTGAGACTTCTCAACGAAGGGAAGCAGCTGTGGGTTGCGACACGCGTCTCTTCTAGTGCCAGCTGCTGCCCCTGGCTGCTCTGGGCGGCACACCAGCTACCGTAGTAGCACGGGTGCTGCTTTCTTAGCCTGAGCCCAGTTTTGGGATGTCTCAGAAATTGAGGCACTTGTGTGTTGCTGCTGCGAACCTTGGTCCGTCTAGAAACTTGGTTTGCCCTGAAATTTGGTTTGGTTTGGATTGTGTTGAAATTTGGTTTGGTTTGGTTTGGCTTGCGCATATTTTTCCCTAGCCTTTACTATCCTGTTGCCAACCTGCTGCTGTGGCTGACCTGCTGCTGTTGCTCCTGCTGGGGAGGGGAGTAATGAGCAGCCACTGCTGTGGGAATACCAGTGTTACCATGTTTCCATAGTTTGACCATGTACGGTACTACAGTAACATCCTTCTAGCAAGGATGTTACATCCTGATCCTGCTTCGATTGCACAAGGCGAGAATTGGAGAATAAATGCTGTGTTATACTATCCCACAGCCACATTGAACCTGCGTTGCACCTACAGAACAGCTCTTCTAGGAAGCCCTACATGATATAACCACATACCACTCTCATGAGTGCAAGCCAGTACACTAACAAACCCTAACTATAAATGCGGCGAATCACCTACACTAGACCATATTGCAGGGGAATCTGCCCAACCTCACATGCCATTCAGCAAGGCAGCAAGCAGGCACGGGCAGTGCCCTTCCAAACAATCTGCTGCCTGACTAACATCCGAGACAATTCAAGTGCCACCTCTCCAAAGTGATTGGCTGTCAGCACGGCCATATGCTGCCATGCTTTCACGCATGTCAGAGAGTGCCATTCAATTTCCTTCCCCTCTCAGTGTGCCTCTTACCGGCCCACCTCTCACTGCCACAGCTGGTGAGTACCACACAAACCCACTGCACCGCATCCCACCGCAGCTTAGTGACTCTCCCGACGACTCTAAGCACGCACAGGCAGGTCTGCACTGCACCTGCTGATATGCCTGCACTTCTGTGGCAGCTCCTCCTCCCATCTGCCCCTCCTCCCGATCCCCCCCCACCCAACCCTGCCCCAATGCTGCCCACAGAATACACACCCCCAGCTGCATCACTTGTAAGGCGCCTCAATAACAGCCACACCTTCCCCCCCCCCCCCTCCTCAAGCCCTGCTCCGGTGCTGGCGACTGCTAATAATTTGCGGTCACTTGTGAGAGTTTTCAAAAGTGGCTCAAACATTGCTGGCAACGGCCGATAGATCCCCCGCTGATGCCTCAGTCACTGACCGGCTCACCAGCTCGCTCTCCCCCCCTGCTCGCCCCTCCCTCACACCCACACCGCGCCACTCCTGCTCCCCACCGCCCTCCGCCTCTCTCCCTGCCCCTTCCTGTGCCCTGCCCCCGCTCCCCTCCCCCTCTCCCCCGTTCTGCCGCAGCGCCTGCACCAGCAGACCCTCCCTCTCCCGCTCTCGCCCTCGCCCCACTGCCGCACCTGCATCACCTGTGCCATCTGCACCACCAGCACCATCAGCATCAGCATCAGCACCACCAGTACCATCAGCAACATCAGCACCATTAGCAGGATTCGTCCCACCTGTCCCACATGCTCCAACTGTCTCACCTGCCCCACCTGCCCCATCTGCCACACCTGTTCCTGTGGTTGCAGCCTCAGCTGCTGCAAGAGTGCCTGCAGCAGCACCTGCAAGAGCCCCCTCTGCTTCTGCACACGATTTATCTCTACCCCCTGCTAAAGAACCGCCCCTTGCACCTGAATCCACAGCCCCCTCCCCACCCTCTACAGCTACTGCTTCTGCTTCTGCTGCTGCTGGCTCTCCTGCTTCTCCTGCTACCACTGCTGCTGACGCTGACAATGACGATTCCCCCGCTTCTGCTGCAGCAGGCGCGGGGCTGCGCGCGCAGGGCTCCGCCGCGCCCATACGCGCATCTGTCCCCGCGCCCACCATAGTTGCTGCAGCCGCCGCCGCCGTTGCAGCCGCTGCAGCCGCGGCAGCAGCAGGGGACAGCGCGGCTCCCGAGCCTGCTCCCAAGCCTGTAGGCCCGGCAGTCCGAGCCTGCGAGTGAAACTTGGCGCTGAGCAAGGTAGCGTCTGCACTGTCTTTCCACGTGCGCACTGCGGAGGGATTGCGCGTGGCAGCGCCAGCAGCAGCGGCAGCAGGAGGGGAGGGAGAGGGGGCAGCAGCAGCAGTAACGCCAGCACTGTCATCACGAGCAGCAGCAGCAGCAGAAGAAGAAGCGGCAGCAGCGGGAGCAGCTAGGGAACCCAAAACAGCACCTAAACGCCCGACGCCTGGGCCTCCTATATCTGTTGCTGCTGCTCGCGTTGCTCCTGCTGCTGCACCTCCTGCTCTTCCTCCCGCAATCCCCCCACTCCCCCTCCCCCTCTCCCCCCTCCTAATGCTGTTGTGTTAGAGCCAAACGGAGGTGCGGCAGGAGGCAGGTCTTTTCTGGACCCCGGTAGAGTCACAACTGCTGTCTCTCTGCGCCACGACCCCGCGTTACTAGAACTAGCGAACGGATCGAACGGCTGATTGCTGCTGCCCGGCTGCGGGGGAGGCGCGGGGCTGCTGGCGTCATCATAGCAGCCGTTCAGCAGGCTTGATAAGAACGAACCGAGTTTCTCTATAGCGGGTTCGTCGGGGTTGGAGTGCGCGGGTCTAAAGGGATCGTGGCTGCCTTCTCTCGTGCTGTTCGTGCCCCCGCTACTGTCACCTCCGCCTACAGTCACAGCGTCGCTATCACCGGCGGCGCTGCTCGTCCCTTTACCGGTTGAGGGAGGAAGCTTTGTAGGAGAGTTCTCTACCTCGTCGACTACCGCGTAGTTAAACTCCGACTCGTGGAGCCACGCGAGTATTCGCGCGCGACCCGGCGCAGACGCGGCCGCGCTCGACGCCATTGGCACGGGCCGCTGCGTCCCAGGTCCGGCCGCCATCGTAACTGGGCCACCCGCTCCTCCTGCGCCGCCTCCGCCTCCGCCTGCGCCAACACCCCCGCTCGCCCCTCCGATCTCTCCCGGGTGTGCATATTGCGCGTGATGATGACCCCCCTGTGCGGGGCTGTAACTGTGACCTTGCGCCTGGCCCGTTATAAGCATACCCGATAAAGGCGATAGAGGTAGTTTGTCCGCTGTAGCACCAGGTGTCGCGATTCGAGGTTCCGACATGCTATGGACCCCACCGGCCCCGCCAAACCCGCTCCCGCTAACTCCGCTCCCCACAGCAGCAGCATTCGACCCAAACCCCGCACCGGACGCTGCGCCCGGGGTGGATTGGCCTTGATAACTCCGATTCCAATCGCCTGCGACTCCTGGTGACCGCTGCGACTCTCGCGGAGTCGCTCCGCGACTCCCGCCGCGACTCGGCGGCGTGCCGACGGGCCTCGCGTCGCCGGCATTCTCGGAGCGGATGCTGCGGATCTGCGCGGCGTGAAGCACGGCGACGGACGACATCGCGACGCGGTCGTCCGCCGCCGCCATCTGACTCGCGAACTCGTGCACGCCCGCGGATGCTCCGGTGGCCGTTGGCGCGGCGTGCTTGCGATTCGCGGGAGCGGGGGGGAGTGACGTGGCGTAATCGTCGTCATCGTCCGCGGCTCGCGAGCGACAGAAGCAACAGAACATATTAGTGGACGCGGCGACGCGGGAGAATCGGTGACGTGCTCCGTGAGAAGCGGCGGCTGACGCGGGGCAATGTCGAGCGTAGCGCGCACACAGGACACAGAAAATCCACTATGACTAAAAGCTAATAGCTTGGGGAGCGTGAGCAAGCTTAGCTGGAAGCGAAAGGAGAAATGGAGGTAACTAGCAAACTGGAAGGTGGAAGAGACGAGGAGTGATGCGCTGTCCGCGATGCGAGATGAAACACCTCCAGATTCAGAACGATGCTTGCAGCAACTCGCGTTGCGAGCTGAAGAACCTCAAATGAACCGCTGCCCTCAATTAGTGTGCACTGTAAATACCTAAGCTCCACGCGGCGTGGCTTGTGAAAGCAGGTCGATGGAATGTATGGCAAGAAAGCGAAGCGGATCGAGCAAGCAATCAAGCAGGCAGACCCCGAGACAATCAAAGCTCGAGGCAAGCAGCATGATGCATGGTGAGCCATCCGCCTCACCTACAATTCCCATCGATATTGTCACGGCTGGGCGGTAGGAGGCTGCGGTGGTTTGGGAGAATCGAGGGCGACAGGGGGCATGCGCGGTGGGCAAGGTTGGTGGGTTGGTGCGCGCGGGCGGAATGCGCTTGCTGAATGGCGGAGTGCGGTTAGGGGAGCGGACTTTCCTGCTGCGTTTTTTCTACCCGTTTATTACTAATTTATCTTATAACTAAATTACACACACAAGTGCTGACAGATCTGCATTCAGCATGTATAAATATTCATGGTATAATCACTTTCTTGATTTGTGCATAGTCAACCCATTCCCTATTCTTGGGGTTTCGACACCCCACATGAAGTATGATTTGGATGCAGAGTTTTTTGAAACTTGGATGTAGTTTCTCCAAGACAAATTATATATATCATACCCATACAAAACGAGACACACTGCTAATCGAGGTTCTACTTGAGACTCTTCTCAATATCAATAACAAAGCGGTACTTCACGTCGTTCTTCACCATCCTGTCATATGCCTTGTTCACATCCTGGATGTCAATCTTCTCAATCATGGGTGCAACCCCCTTCTCTGCACAGAAGTCCAGCATCTCCTGAGTCTCCTTGATCCCTCCAATCAGACTGCCAGCCAAGGTCTTGCGCCCTGCAATTTGCGAGGAAGGACAGAAGAGACAGCAGCAACCACCAACGCAGTCATAGCCAAGAAACCATAACCAACAGTACCTCCCTGCCAATGAAGATTTCAGAATACAAATTGATAAAACATGCCGGCAGACATGACTCACCGAAGATGAGCTGGCCAGCATGCAGGCCGTAGGGCTCCGGAGGCACGCCAACAAGTACCATCTTGCCGTTGAATGTGAGCAGGTCCAGGTATGGTGCCAGCTCATGCTGCGCTGATACCGTGTCCACAATGCCATCCAGTGTCCCCACTGCTGCCTGGTGGTGATGGGAGAGAGTGTCATGGGCAAACTTATTTTCAGCATGATCACAGGGCCAACAAAGTACAGTAAAGGATGCTTCAACCTGAACTTCAATTTCCATCCTACGATGTAGGAAAGCGCACCATTCGGTACACTCAGCTCATATGCCAGATACTCAGTCATTCCCATATCACCTCGAACCCCACGGTCTCTCACCTTCATGGCGTCAGCATTCTTGGTAACAATGAACTCATCCGCGCCCAGCACCTCCTTCGCCTCCTTCTCCTTGCTCGGACTCGTGCTCAGCACCGTCACGTGCATGCCAAACGCCTTGCCAAACTTCACCGCCATGTGCCCCAGCCCGCCCAGCCCCACCACTCCCAACCGCTTGCCGGGCTGGTTGATGCCGTAGTAGACCATGGGCGAGTACACCGTGATTCCCGCGCACAGCAGCGGCGCCGCCACGTCGGACGGCAGCTTGTCGGGAATCGTCAGCACGAAGCTGCGGGAATCGCGGAAAACGAGAGAGGGGAGAGGGAGGCTTGGAGGACAACGGGGGGACGCGGAAACTTGTCATCAGTGATGCTCGGCAGATTCAAAAGCTGGAGTAAAGAGCAGGAAGCGCGGTAAAAGGGAGCAACGTGCTCCTGGTCTCGGGCGGAGGGTTTCAAGAGACGCACTCCTGGTCGCAGACGTAGAAGGAGGAGTAGCCGCCCTGCGTCATCTCGCCCGTCTTGGGGTCGACCTTGTTGTACGTGTACACGCACTGCGGACAGAACTGCTCCACGTGCTGCACGCATGGCTGGCACGTGCGGCACGAGTCCACCATGCACCCGATGCCCACCCGCTGCCCCACCGCCACCTTGGTTACCTCAGAACCCACCGCCTCCACCACTCCAGCAATCTCGTGTCTGTCGAGAAAGAAACGAAGGGGAGAGAGAGGAACCGGGTAAATAAAGCGGCATGCAGGGAACGATATATTCCAGAGTAGAAGGGTAGAAACGAGGGATCGGTGTCAGGAGAAAGAGAAATAAAGAGCTTGCTTAGCATGAAGAGAAGGGGGAGAGACGAAACGGAAGAGACGAATAGGAAGAGACGAAGCGGAAGAGACGAAGCGGAAGAGACGAAGCGGACAGCGGAAAAGACGAAGCGGAAGAGACGCAGCGGAAGAGACGAAGCGGAAGAGACGCAGCGGAAGAGACGAAGCGGACGTACCCCGGGACCATGGGGTACTGCGAGCCGCCCCATTCGTTCTTGACCTGGTGCAGGTCGCTGTGGCAGATGCCGCAATGCGTGATGCGGACGCGCACGTCCTTGGGCCCCACCTCCCTGCGCGCCACAACACACAACACGCAGGGATGCTTTGAGTTTCTCAACGGCGAACGCGATGCGTGATACGAATGCTTGTAAGGACAAAAAACTTACGATGCTCCAAAAGAGTTTTTTTTTATTCCAAAAAATTGGTGGGTGTTAAGAGGAATGGACTCGCAGAACGGGAGCGGTCATGATGACACGTGTAGTGGAGCGCGGAGCGGCACGGATCCGGCGGAAACGCGGGAAAGATATGAAGAAAGAGAAGCGAACCTGCGGTTGAACTTGAAGGGCGCGAGGGGTCCCGTATGATCCCTGGCGGCATAGCCGATGCAGTTACCCTCTCCGACCTCGGCGGCCATTGCAAAGAGCTGGTGCGTAGTCGGGTATATCCGAGAAAAAAGGGAAACTGAGGGTGGATCGAGAGAATGAGCGTCTAGGCAACTGGAGAATGACAGCAAGATAATGATTCGCAGATTACATATGCCGAGCACTGGGAGATCATGAAAGCCTACGAGTTTCTTGGAGACCTTCCTCGTTGGACAAATTCCTCTTCGGCATCACGTCTCCCGTTCCCGCGTGACCTCCATTTTGGCCAAGGAAACCTCCACACAGAATATTCACGAAGAGGATTCACTTCGCTGATTGCAAATCTCCACGATCTCGAATGTTGATGCCACGTTGACACGTATGGGCCACAGGCATGACGCGAGCAAGTGTGGCAAGCAAGGCTCGGCACAAGACTCTAGGTATGGATGGCTGACATGACTGGCTCTGCGCTGGTTGCGTGGCGGGCACCCAAGCCGAACCTCGATATGGGCGAACGTGTGAAGCAATTTCGCCCTGCACAAATTGCAGACCTGCTGACGTCAACCGAATTGTGGCTTGCAATCCGATGTCAGCTGCTCCGACAAAGGTCGACAGACAACACCCGAACAATGCCGCGTTTCCAATCATCACTTTACATCTCGTTAAAAACCCTTAGCTTCCATATTTGGCCGAAGCATGCAAAGCATACGTTCGCTTCACATATATTCCACTATTACATAAAAACATGTTGAATACTCACTGGCCAATGCAAGGAATCCATGCCGATGTGAAGAGGGAGCGGCTTCCCCGCCACATCAAGCTCACCATCCCATCCTCTATCTGCAGCCCCAGCCCAAGCGGGAACCGTTTCAGCATTTTATGTACATTGTCAGTCACGGTGGTGCGGCGAGCAGCTCCATGAGGACAGGGAGGTGGATGGGCTGGAAGCACCCGAAGTCGATGATGTGCACGTGCGTGCTGCCGCTCACTGCCTCGGCGATTAGGTGGGCGAGAGAGATGCTGCCGAAGAGGGGGAAGGGCTGTGACGAGGAGTATAGAGTCAGGGCCTCGTCTAGTTCCTGGTAGGGAGAGGGGGAGGAACGGAGTGGGGAAGGCCGGGAAGCAGGGGAGAGGGGAAGGAGAGAGCAGGGGAGAGGGGAAGAGGAGAGCAGCTCCATGAGCACGGGCAGGTGGATGGGCTGGAAGCACCCGAAGTCGATGATGTGCACGTGCGTGCTGCCGCTCACTGCCTCGGCTATGAGATGGGCGAGGGAGATGCTGCCGAACAGTGGGAAGGGCTGCGAGGAGGAGTAGAGTGTGAGGGCTTCGTCTAGCTCCTGGGAGGGGGAGGAGAAAGGAGGGGGGAAGGGGAAGGAGGGGATGGGGGAAGAGGGGAAGGAGGGAGCTATTTCTTGAGGATGAATACAGGGTCAATTCCTCAAATAGCTCCTGGGAGGGAGAGCAGGAGTCGAGGGGGAAAGGGAGCAGCAAATTGGTTCAACTTTGCATGAAAATTGAATACCATTCCACCGCCTTTTCTCTGGCTACGGCATAAGCGTCACCCACTCCCAACTCGAAGCCAATTACCTTGGGAGGGCGTCTCAGGGGCGTGCAGAAGTGCTGAAACCCCGTCCCAGCCATTCGTCTCATCAATCCCTCCACAGTCCACCACATAGAGAGTCAACCGCTCCACCACACTCCACCGCACAGAAAGACAGAGAGAGTGGCTGAAGGCTATAATACAAGGCTCATACCTTGGGAGGCCGTCGTAAGGGAGTGCAGAAGTGTTGAAACCCCGTCCCAGCCATGCGCCGCATCAGCCCCTCCACCACGTAGTGAGTCAGCCGCTCCACCGCGTTCCCCCGCACCTTCCCCAGCGGCTTCAGCTGCACAAACGCCAAGTGAAACCGCCCCGTGTCCCCCGCCTCTGCCGCCTCCGCCATCGCCACCATCGGGGAATTCCAAGGCTCCGACCTGCCCCCGAGCCTCCCACCAAGCTGCGGACAGTGCTGCCACTGCAGCGTTGCCTCCTCTTGCCGCGCTCTCCCCCATCTCCCTTATAAGCTGATCTGACATGCCATTTTCTCCTCCTTCCCAGGCCCCCCAGGGCACGCCACGGCCAGACCCACTATAGCCACACCCGTTAAGAGAAACGGCATCTCTATAGTCAAGAGAAACTGCTCCGACCCCAAAAAGGCCGGAAGTGCGGCGGCGAGACCCTGGGGGCTGCAGCGACTGAAGGTCGTCCAATCCGGTCGCGCCACCTGGCATTGCCTCCAAGAGTTCCCTGGCAACAGTGTAGCTGCTGCCACCGCCACCACCACCACCAATCACCGCAGCAGCCGTGGAGAATCCGAAGGAATCCATGCCTCGGACCCTACCGCCCACCACCATCTCTCTGCTCCCTGCCCCACCCACCGCCACCCCCGCCTGCGCCCCTGCCTGCTCCTCCTCCGTGCCGCGCGCACCAGACGCGTCAGGGGAAGCGAGTGTGGGGAAGGCAGCAGTCGGGGCAGAGGCGAAGGCAGGGGGAGAGACGGAGGCGAAGGCATTGGGAGAGACGGAGGCGAAGGCAGGGGGAGAGACGGTGGCGAAGGCAGGGGGAGAGACGGTGGCAGAACCCGAGGGCGGGGAGAGGCGGGAGGCGGAGGCAGAGGCGGGGTGCGGGGCGGGCTTGGACTGAATGTCGTTCAGCACGGCCGCGAGGCGCGACGCTAGGGCGGACGGGGGAGGTCTCCGCGCCCTGCTGTGCGTGCTCCTCGCACCCCCTGCAGCTGCAGTGCCGCTGCTCCTAGCTCCCGCAGCCGCAGATGCAGAGGGGCTCTTGGACGAGGCAGCAGCAGCAGCAACAGCAGCGGCAGCAGCAGCAGCAGCAGGCGCCCCTGTGCGCGTTCTGGACGGCGATTGGCTCTGGCGTGTGCTCGCTGGCTTTGCCGCTTCATGGGGGCCAGTGCTGGTGGGTGTGGGCGGCAGCACGGTGGAGCAGGCTGGCGGGAGCGGGTGAGAGCTGGTCGTGGGGGGAGAATGCGACAAAACAACCCCCGCCACCCCTTCCCCCAACACACCCCCTTCCGTCACCCTTTCCCCCGACGCCCCTTTCCCCAACAACACCCCTCCGCCATGACCTAATGAGCTTCCTCCAGAGCCCGAGGTGGAGTGCGATGGGGAGGAGAGTGCTGACGCTGACGAGGCAGGGGAGTCCGTTGTGGCTGGGGATCCCGAGGCTGTTTCGCAGGCTCGGAAGGATGACGGGGGAGGAGGAGCAGGTGCAGCAGTGCCAACAGCCCCACAACCCACTGCGGTTGCAGCAGCACCAGCAGAGACAGGAGCTGTAGCAGCAGCCATCGCAGCAGCAGCTGCAGCAGCAGCTGAAGGTTTAACGGCAGGAGGAGGGGATAATGCTTGGTCCCTGAGCCTCTTCCCCCCCACTGACGACCGTACATGCACTTCCGGTGCTGCCTTTGTACTGGCAGCAAAATCACCACCATCACCAACAGCAGCACCAGCTGCAGAAGCAGAACGCAGAGGAGCACCAGCAGCAGCCGCCGCAGCAGCAGCAGCCCTGCACTGGTTGATACGCTGTGCCAGCGCCACGGCTTGCGCTTCAATCGCCCCTGCTGATCCCGCACCCACCCCATCAGCCGCAGCACCATCAGCACCATCAGCACCATCAGCACCATCAGCACTGGTTGTTACCCTGTGTCAGCCCCACGCCTTGTGCTTGACCCACCTCACCAGAAGCACGAGCAGAAGCACCCTCGCTCCCGAGTGATGCCCCTCCCAGCAGCTGCTGCAGCAGCTCCCACTCGCCTCCCGCGCCCATGCCACCGCCCCCAACACCCCCCGCGCCTCCCGCGCCCATGCCACCGCTCCCCACACCCCCCGCGCCTCCCGCGCCCATGCCACCGCCCCTCACACCCCCGGCGCCCCCCGCTCCCATACCACTGCCCCCCACAACCCCCGCACTCCCCGCACCCCCCGCCAGCCTCCCCGTGGCTTGCACATCCCAAACTCGCCCCCCCTTGCACGGCGCATCACGCCCTCCGCTCACCCGCGTTGCCACACCCGCCACTGGACCACCTGGCAACCCACCCTCTTGTGCCAACCTGCCTGGGATCCCACCTTCCCCAGATGATGCTCGCAATTCCCCCGCCTCTGGCAACGTTGTGGGGAACCCACTCTCCTCCGATGCAGCTCCCATTGCTGCACCCCCAGTGGCCAGGAAGCTTCCAGGCAACGGCTGGTTCTTCAGCTGAAGCAGAATCTGCTCCCGAGCCTGCCGCCAAGCCACGGAGGCTCGGTCACAGGGGTTGAGAGCGGTGCTGAGCAGGTCGGTTTGCGCTGATGACGGTTGCAATTGGCCTCTCGCTGCTCGCTCTTGCTGCGTTACCGCGTGATGTGTTAACGCTTGCTGTAACTGCGCTTGCTGCGTTAGTGGTTGCTGCGTTAGCGCTTGCTGTGTTAGTGATTGCTGCAGTCGATGATACTGTTGCTGTGTCCTCAGCGCCTGCTCCAGCTGCTGCTGTTGCATCATCTGCTGCTGCTGCTGCATCAGCATGAGATCCTGTGGCGAAGGCACATTGGGCGCTTGTCCCTGTAACAACCGCCGTTGCTGCAAGAGCTGCAGCTGTAGCAACATTCGTTGCTCCTGCTCTTGTCGATGCTGGATTAGCTGCTGCTGCCGCCCATGCTGCTGCTGCTGCTTCTGAAGTTGGGCGAGATGTTGCAGCAGGCGTTGCTGCTGCACCTGCTGGAGCATTTGCTTCGCCAGAGCGGATACATCCTCTTGTTGCTGCCCTTGCTGTTGCTGCTGCTGTCGTTGCCGTTGCTGCTGCTCTTCCTGTTGCTGTTGCTGGTGCTGTTGTTGCTCTTGCTGCTGCTCTTGCTGTTTCTGTCGCTGGTTCTGCTGTAGACCCAGCTGATGCTGAAGCGTCTGTTGCCCCTGCTGCTGCCCTTGATGGTCTTGCTGCTGCTGTTGCTGAAGCAGCATCTGCATTTCCAAGTTCAGTCGCTGCTGCTGCAGCTGAAGCTGCTCCGCATCTAATGACACCAAAGCTTCACCCGCTCCTAAGCTTGTTTCCGAGCCTGCTCCCGAACCGCCATCCGAACCTGCCCCAGAGCTTGATCCAACCATCATGGCCCTAGCAACAGCTTCGTCTAAATCTAACGGCTTGGGAAAAATTACTGGCGAACTGTCAGGCTTCCCTATAGGCAACTGCGTCTGCTTTAAAAGCTCTTCGTCGCTGCTTGTAACGAGTCCAGCGACATCGCTCGGATCCCATGGGAGTTGCGTCGAGTCTGAGAGCCACGTCAGCTGCGATGGATCTAAGAACTGCAAATCCTGCATCAGCTGTTGCTGCTGCTGCTGCTGCTGCTGCTGCTGCTGAGCCTCCTGATGCTGCGGCTGTTGCTGAAGGTCAGGGATGGCAATAGAACCGCATTGTTCTCCCCCGGGCATCCTTCTGATGCCGCCCTTGGGATTCTCAGAGTCGATCGAACCGTGCAGTTCCGACCATAGCTGTGCCACGGACGGCAAAAACGGGGGGGTTTCAACCGCGTTAACGGCTACTTGGCCTGAGCCGTTACCCGGGAGAGCGGTTAGTAAGATATCATCCTGCGAAGTCACAATACTGCCGTGCGAAGTCATGATATTGTCGTGCGAAGTCATGATATTGTCGTGCGAAGTCATGATATTGTCGTGCGATGTCATATTTCTGTCATGCGATGGATTATGAAGAGGTTATATCTAGGAGGACGAGACAAGAAAGAGTTAACATATGCATCCCAACAAACACGGGCCAGCCATAAATGGCAGGACGTAAGTGCAGATGGATTAGGGTTTCGTTGGGAGGCTGCGCAACTCTGCGGGTGGCTGCGAATATCCTGCGGCGCTACAGTGGTACTGTGGATAAGAGAACGAGATTCCAGAAGGCGAGCAATGATGTCTAGAGACACTGTATCTGGGTATGAGAAAAAGTGACTGTAACGGGAAGGGACGACAAAAAGGCGGTGGTGTTCCGAGCGGAAGCGTGTGGAGGATAGAGACAAGCACGTTCCCAAACTCAGCCTTGATTTGGCATTGTCTTTAGACAGAACTTCATTTTCCGAGATTGGCACGATGTGGTTTTCTCGTAAGAGGCCTATACAACGTACACTGATAAATAAAACAATGCAGTTAAGTCAGGATTGACAGCCACATCACCCCACCACCAAGCTCACACAAACGCCTGCTCTCCCTAAGAAACAGGCTGCAACATGCTTTTAGTGGACTTCCGTATAGATTCGTCTTATAAATATTCAAGTTTGGACAATGGGTTGGGTAAAATGCTTTTAGTGGACATGTTTTCAACATGCTTTTAGTGGACTGCGGTACATCAGCAACGGAACCAATCCAGCTGCTGATGAGCTGCCTTATACGGTAATCCAAACCACCCAGCAGATGGGTGGCTAGGAAGTAACTTCACTGTGTGTACTTAGCAATCCACGGATGACCTGAAACAAAACCACACAAAAATAGTCAAACAAAGATGAGCAAGATTGTGATGAAGGAAGATCAGTAGAATCGATGACATGAAGTTGGGATGTGCAACTCACTCACTCTCAGCTCCTTCTCCCAAGACATGTTCCTAGAAAACTCCTCTACAATCTCTAGGACTGCACTCTCACCAAGAATCTCCTTGGCGGTGATTCGTGTCGATGCATCCTTGTCCAGCATGGCGCGCACGAGGCTCTTCGCGTCCTCGCTCACGCCCTCCCAGTGGGGCCCGCGCATGCGCACGGGGCCGTGCAGGATCGCCTCCTGCACGGTACGCCCCAGCGACGCGAAGAAGGGAGTGCGGCCCGACAGCATGATGTGCAGCACCACCCCCGCACTCCAGATGTCGGCTGCAGGGCCGTATGTCCCCGCAAGCACCTCTGGTGCCATGTACTGGAGCGTGCCCAGCTCCTCCGTGCACGGCTCGCCTATGGGGTGTGAAGCGGTGGGGAGGGGTGGAAAGGGGAAGGTTGAATAAAGGGAGATGGTGAGGGCGTGCGGCCCGACAGCATGATGTGCAGCACCACCCCCGCACTCCAGATGTCGGCTGCAGGGCCGTATGTCCCCGCAAGCACCTCTGGTGCCATGTACTGGAGCGTGCCCAGCTCCTCCGTGCACGGCTCGCCTATGGGGTGTGAAGCGGTGGGGAGGGGTGGAAAGGGGAAGGTTGAATAAAGGGAGATGGTGAGGGCGTGCGGCCCGACAGCATGATGTGCAGCACCACCCCCGCACTCCAGATGTCGGCTGCAGGGCCGTATGTCCCCGCAAGCACCTCTGGTGCCATGTACTGGAGCGTGCCCAGCTCCTCCGTGCACGGCTCGCCTATGGGGTGTGAAGCGGTGGGGAGGGGTGGAAAGGGGAAGGTTGAATAAAGGGAGATGGTGAGGGCGTGCGGCCCGAGAGCATGATGTGCAGCACCACCCCCGCACTCCAGATGTCGGCTGCAGGGCCGTATGTCCCCGCAAGCACCTCTGGTGCCATGTACTGGAGCGTGCCCAGCTCCTCCGTGCACGGCTCGCCTATGGGGTGTGAAGCGGTGGGGAGGGGTGGAAAGGGGAAGGTTGAATAAAGGGAGATGGTGAGGGCGTGCGGCCCGAGAGCATGATGTGCAGCACCACCCCCGCGCTCCAGATGTCAGCCGCTGGGCCGTATGTCCCCGCGAGCACCTCTGGGGCCATGTACTGTAGCGTGCCCAGCTCCTCCGTGCACGGCTCGCCTATGGGGTGCAGAGCGGTGGGGAGGTGTGGAAAGGGACAGTTAATGAGCCACGAGAAGCCATTTTACCACGGCACGATGCTAAGAGAACAAGGGCTGGAATGATAGGGAGATGGCTTCGAGAGAAGAGGAAGGGGAGGATGAAAGTAAAGAGCTACCGGCTCACCTCGAGTGAACGTGGCAACGCCGAAGTCAGCGAGCTTGACGTGAATGTCGTCCTCGTCAGCAGCACCACCACCCGCGCCCTTGGCAGGAGCACCCATGATGCCTCCCAGCACCGCCGCAGCCGCGCCCATATTCCCCTTGCTCTGCTCGTCCGCGCCGCTGCTGCCCTCTCTCCGCCCCTTGAGCAGAATGTTCTCGGGCTTCACATCCCGGTGCACCACGCCCGACACGTGGCACCACATCAGCGCCTGCACCAGCTGCCGGCACGCGATCGCAGCTGTCCGTTCCTTCAGCCGGCCCTCGTCCTTCACACGATCAAACAAATCGCCTCCAGAGCACAGCTCCATGACAATATGCACTGCCTCCTCGTCCTCGCATGTATCTTCAATCTTCACCACATGGGGGTGTCCCTTTAACGCTTCCATCACAGCCACCTCGTGCCGAATATCCGCGGCGTCTTGCATGGCCACGATGTTGCTCTTCAGGATGGTCTTGCAGGCGAGAACGCGGTGGGTGCCGCGCTCCACGCACTTGCGGATCACGCCGAACTGCCCGCTGCCCAGCTCCTGCGGCGCGAGCACGAAGCGCCGCAGCAGCGACGAGTACGGGCGGCCGAGGACGAAGTCGCACGGCCGCAGGTGCTGCTGGTTCGTCTCGTGGAAGGCTTGTAGGAGCTGCAGCTTCTGCTGCTGCCGGAGCAGCTGCAGCTGCTGCTGCAGCCGCTGCTGCTCGTCCGCCCACTGCTGCTGCTCCTCTCTCCGCCGCTCCTGCGCGCGCTCGTGCTCCGCCTGCCTCTCCGCCAGCATCTGGCGCACGTCCGCGTCCGCCGCCAGCTGCTTGCGCGGGGTCGCAGTGACGGCGCTTTCGGTTTGCGCCGTTGTCTTCTTGTGCGCGTTGCGCGCCGCGTTGCGCGCCTCCTGCAGCGCGAACTCGCCGACGTAAGCGTCGGGCGCGTCGCCGAAGTACGACGAGAGGAAATCGCCCGGCACTGCCGCCGCTCCGCTCGTCACTCCGCTCGTCACTCCGCCGTGCTCCTTGCTGCTCGGCACCTGCTTTACTCGCGTCGACTCCCGCGACTCGCACGGTTTTTCCCGCGCGCCGCCGTACGGCAGCACGCTCCAACGGTCCAGTTCAATGGCCGACGCGCTCGCCCGCGCCGCAACCCTGCCCTTGCTGCTCTTCTTGCCGCCGCTGCCGCTGCTACGGCCGCTCCGGGTGCTGCCGCTCAAGCCGAAGCTACCGACGGGGATGTTATCCGCGCTGATGCTCGACGCGGGCGCGCCCGCCCCGCCGACGGCGACTGGCGGAAGAGCAGACGGCGGCAGCGGCGCCCGCGCATCCATGCCGACGGGGGAATCAGCAAAAGACACGTCGCCGAGAGACAGCCCGTGGCGGTGCTGCGCCTTGCGCGCATAGCGCGTATGCGCGGCCTTGGGGGCGCTGCTGGGGTGCAGCGGCGTGGGGGAGCGCGGGTCTTCCGCGGGGAGACCGTCGACTCCTTTCTTCTGTCGCGCGCCGAGCAGCAAATTTTCCGAAACCGATCCCAGCTGGTTCCACAGTGAGGGGGACGTGGACCGGTGCATGCTGCCTCCCCCAGGTGCGACCTCCACTACCACCCCCTCGCTCCCGCCCTCGCTCCCCTCCTCGTAGTCCGCCCTGCGCCGTTCCGGGGTCGGCGGAAGCGGCGCAAACTCCCTCGATCCCAAGAGTGGCATCTCTCCGCTGCTGGCGGGGGACCATTGGTTCGCACCGAAAAGCATCTCCTCCGCCTCGAGAAGCGCAATCTCCCCGCTGCTCGCGGGGGACTTCGGGGGCCGCATCAGCGCCATCTCTCCGCTGCTCGCGGGCGACGGGCAGCCGTCGCGCTCGTTGAATCGCCGCGGCTTCAGCGCGAGCGGCGGCTTCTGGCGACGGGCTGCGCCGGCGAGGGGTCGGGACAGTGCGCCCCCCTGCAGCGCGCCGAGCTGCCCCCACGCGGCCGCGTCGGCGCCGCGCACCTTCCGCGCGACGGTCTGCGCTGCGTCCTTCAATATCGTAACCGCCGCGCTGCCTCGACTACTTTTGCTGCCGCCCCCTCCGCCGTCACCTTCGTCGCCGCTCTCCTCTCCGTCACTCCTCCGTATGTCACGGCGCATCTCATGGTGAAGCAGACGCGGTAGCTCTGGTGCTGGTGCCGTTGGCGCGGCTCTGCGCGTCGCGGGAAACCCGCCAATCACAGAATGGTCAGCGCCGGCGCGGGGGCTCGCTGCGGGCATCTCCCTGCGGCTACTCTGGCGCCGCCTGCGGCGCGCGAAAACGCCGAACGAGCCTTGGCACGACACAGTGCTGCTGCTAGTCGTGGTGGAGCTGGAGTCGCCGTCGTCGACCTGCGATAGAGTCACACTCGATTGGCTCTCTAGCTCGCGGAGATCGAAGGGCGACGCGGTATCCGCCATCTGCCGTGCCCCGCAAGAGCTGCTGTGCTGAAGGTTGCGGAATCCTGACTGCGATGGTCCGTGTGGGGAGGTTATAAGCGACGAAACTCGGCGATGGCGTGCGACGTGGGACTCGGCGACCCGCGGCGACGACGCAATACCGTTACTCATTGGCTCGTTAGGGGAAAAAATGGGAGCAGAAATGTCGCTGGACTGACGGTGATGGTTGTGGTGGTATTGATGGTGGGGGTGGTGATGTTGGTAGTGATGGGAAGTGTTCGAGAGAAGCGATGAAACCGACGGCGCCTGAGGCTCCCATTGCTGCTCCTCTAACCGCGACCGAGGCGGCTCGTTGATAAAATCTATGGCTACTGACGACGCCATTTTTGTGACGGCGAACAGATAAGTTGTGTCTTATCGCGATGAGGAACGACTAGGGAATGCACGACGTCTAGGATTCACCCACTACAACAGCAGGATTGGGTTAGGAGCTCAAGGGGACGAGAGAATGAGCGAATTAGACTAGACGAGAGGTCTGTTGCTGTAATGGGAGTCTCTTGGACGTAGGTCACGGACTGGACGAAGTGTGAGATTCAGCCTGAACCCTGGAAGATCTGGGCCAACCAAGACGAAAACGGCACGTTGTGAAATGGCTGTGCAGTGAGGCAGACGAGTGACGGAGGGGTGGCTTGCGTGGGGAAAGGGGTGGTTGAAAGAGAAGTGGAAGGAGAAGGGACACGGAATCCATGGCGGAACGGAACAGAATGGAAACAGAGCGGCGGAGGGGAAGGGCGGGGAAGATGGGATTGGGGTTTGGTTATGGGCGTGCAGCACGCGACAGAACGGCCATTAGTGTGGGATGAACGATGTGCTGTCCTTTTTACTGTTTTCCCATTCGCTGTGGTTCCAAGCCAAGTGCAACCGCTTGGCTGGAAAGGGAAAGATCCAAAACGGACAGCCTTCTTCTCCAATCTATGGCTGACAGGTGGCGGTCACGTAAAACTGGAGCTTGGCGTCAGGTCAGCCCAGGCAAAACAACCCGATCGCGGAATCTTTTGATGGCCAGAATTAAATCGTCTTTCCGGCGCAAACTGAAAGCTTGCCGGTTTCCTTCATAGAAATATATTCCTGGGAACCTGGGCAAAAAATGCTGTCAGATGGTCTTCATTTAGCCATCTGGCAACAAATATTTCGCAGGAGTTGCAATTGCCAGTGCTTTCTCAAGAGAGTACAGTACCTGCTTGTGAAGGGGCAACAGTAGAACTCTGGAAACTTTCGGGTCGAGCTCTCATCAGAACACAGTCCAAGCACCTCGTCAACTTGTTGGCAGAAATTCAGAAATGCAATCAAGCAAAATCAGGAAGCTGCACCAGACCGGAATCTTGCGATGGCGACAATGCTGCAAGCAACAAGGAAAACCAATATAAATGTGCCAAGTGTACCGTCTATGACATCATTCATTCCTTCCGGCAGCAGCGGTCCCCCGCAACAACTGGAACAGCCACCACCACACTTCAAACGAAGCGCATTGACCGCTCTGGGTCATTGCTGCCACATTTGGCACTGTGCAAAACACTGTTCCCCGCTTTCCGCGTGAAATTAATGCAATTCCGTGTGGAAGGATTTGCTCCACAAGCGGCCAGCCCCATATGACGTGGAAATTGAGAAGTCGAGTGTTCGCGAAGAACAGCTACAGTTCATGACTGTTCTGACATTTTCTGGTGGCTTCACCCAAAACATATGCAAACCCCTGTCCTTTTTGGGACATCTCCAATAACCGGCTATATGTATTTTCGTACCCTGCAGGGATTTTCAGCAGAACACTTCATCCAGCATGTCCTCAACCTGGCTTTTTCCAAGGCACAAATTACTAGCGTAAACAATTATATATGGATGAAGATCACAAAACTAATCATGTTCATGTGATGGCATATTCTTACCACTGTTCAATGCTGCGTGCATTGCCCATATGGCAAGAGGGCGCATGTATGCTAATGAACGAAAGCGGCCATCCGTGTCCCACCCCTCTGGAGTCTGAAACCAGTACCTGCCCATTTTGAAGTCAGCAGGAGGAGGAAAACGTGAGGGATGTACCATGCAATGTAGCTCATCCTACCAACCATGCAATGCTACTCACCCTAACTCATCCCAGCCCGCCTGGTGAATGCCCTGTGCCGTGCGAAAGGCTTGAGAACGCATGCCCTGCAGACCACAGGGACAGGAATGGTGGGAGGGGAGATGGCAGGAGTGGCAGGGGGGGGGAACGAGTGTATGCATGTGAACACCATTCTGATGTCATGAATTGGATGTGATCCTGGTAAGAGACACCTAGACGCCATGCCATGCCACACCATGTCACGTGTGCCTTGCCATGCCATGCCATGCCATGCAACACATCGCATGCATAGTGAGATATGACGGCATGGTGCACGAGTTAGACATGAACTCATGGTGCATGATGCATGATGCAGCCCCACCTGATAGATCATTGTGGCGGCCAATCCATACGTGACACCTGTCCACACCTCCCTCGATTGCAAGCACGTGTCATCCACCTGACAGAGTGAGGAGGAGAGTGAGACGGAGAGTGAGGAGGAAAGTGAGGAGGAGAGAGAGGAGGAGATTGAGGAGAGCAAGGAGGAGAAAGAGCAGGAGAGCGAAATCGTGAGTGGTGAGCGAGAAGGAGAATGGAGAGGAGAGTGAAGTGTGGAACGAATGGGGCATGGAGAGCATGGGGCATGAACATGCAGATCCCACCTGCCCACACCCCCCGCCCCCCCTGCCCACATCCCACCTGCCCACACCACCACCCCCTGCCCACATCCCACATGCCCACACCACCACCCCCTGCCCACATCCCACATGCCCACACCACCACCCCCTGCCCACATCCCACATGCCCACACCACCACCCCCTGCCCACATCCCACATGCCCACACCACCACCCCCTGCCCACATCCCACATGCCCACACCACCACCCCCTGCCCACATCCCACATGCCCACACCACCACCCCCTGCCCACATCCCACCTGCCCACACCACCACCCCCTGCCCACATCCCACCTGCCCACACCACCACCCCCTGCCCACATCCCACCTGCCCACACCACCACCCCCTGCCCACATCCCACCTGCCCACACCACCACCCCCTGCCCACATCCCACCTGCCCACACCACCACCCCCTGCCCACATCCCACCTGCCCACACCACCACCCCCTGCCCACATCCCACCTGCCCACACCACACCACCCCCCCCTGCCCACATCCCACCTGCCCACACCACCCCCCCCTGCCCACATCCCACCTGCCCGTTGGGTCGCATGCCATTGACTGCCCCCATGCTGCCCCCCTCCAGCCGCATCACATTGTACCTGATGGTGCCATGCCATGGGGCAGAAATATGGGCATGGGGCACATGGGGCACATGGGGCACATGGGGCACATGGGGCACAAGGGGGATGAAACACGTGGCATGGGGCATACTTTGAAACGAGGTCAGAAAATGCAAGTCTCGCCAGTCACACTGCGCAAACATTCAGTGAAGTATCACCACACAGACTACTGCCAGTCAACAAATATTCAGTATCACAAGCATGACTCGATGCCCATGGGTTATATAGCACCAGTCCGCCCACGCCACTCACTCGAAGATCATTTGCAGCGCCTTGCACGCCATGGCTGAGTCAAAGAGGGGCGGCAGGCCACAGCTCCACAGGTACCTGCCGCGCACATGCAAGAGGGGGAGTGGGGAGAAGGGATTATGGGGGACTATGCACCACCACAGGTACCTGGCAGCGCACACGGGAGGACTTTTGAGACGTCTCAACAGTTGAATGCCATGGCTGAGTCAAAGAGAGGCGGCAGGCCACAGCTCCACAGGTCCCTGCTCCCACACACGGGAGGCGGGTGAGTAGGGAGGGAGGACGGGAGCGGAGAGGGGAGGGAGGAAGGGAACATGGAGAGGGGGCAGGGGTGACAACGAGTCAAAAAGGGGCGGCGGGCGGCAGGCCACAGCTCCACAGGTACCTGCCTCTGCACACTGAGGAGGAGGTGGGGGATGGGGGGAAGACACAGGGACGGAGAGAGGAAGGAAGGAAGTGCGTGCTCAGACTAGCATCGCCACTGCCACACAGTGACCCACCCCCCACACACCCCTGCTAGCTCCACCCATCCGCACCCCCTCTCTTGTCACCCAACCAACCCCCCCGTACCCCAACCCCCCCGCAGCACGTACCACTGGCCTGCGAGCTGATCCGCGTGGATGGAGTTGCTGTTGCTGCTGCTGCCACTGTCGTAGTTAAAGTACCTGCGGGCAGGGCAGCATGGCAGGGGCAGTAAGAGGGGCGCACAGGGCGAGGGGAAATGGGAGGGGCGCACAGGGCGAGGGGAAATGGGAGGGGCGCACAGGGCGAGGGGAAATGGGAGGGGCACATGGGGCGAGGGGAAATGGGAGGGACACATGGGGCGAGGGGAAATGGGAGGGACACATGGGGCGAGGGGAAATGGGAGCGACACATGGGGCGAGGGGAAATGGGAGGGACACATGGGGCGAGGGGAAATGGGAGGGGTGAGGGAGGGGCGTGAGGCAAGGGACAAACGCGCGAGGGAGGTGAGGGGGAAAGGCAAGGAGGGCGAGACACAAGAGTGGGCGAGGGGGAGAGGAGAGGATGCAAGGCAGTAAAGGGGAGAGGGAGCAAGGATGGTAAGGGATGTGGGTGCGAGTGTGCGCACCTGCCATTCCAGAGCTTGGCAATAAATGCCTCCGTGCCCTGGCAGGCCACACACAGAAAGGGAGTGGAGGGGCATGCAGTGAGGCAGGCAGGGAGAGAAAGAGAGGAGTGAGGACCGTTCGGGAGGAGTGAGGTAAGACGATGGGGAACCATCACATAGTTGCATTATCACTATTACCACAACCCCAGCATCTCCACTCACCCGCTCGCACTGCTGCCGCCAGTACTGTGCGTACTTGGCCTCCCCCACTGCATCCGCCATGGCTGCCCCTGCCTGCAGGGCCGCCAGCCACAGCCCCCCACAGTACGCACTCACTCCGTGCACCGGCCTGGGAGAAGAATGGAAACGAAAAAGAGAGAAAAAAAAATTGAGGAAACAACGTGGAATTTGATTTTCCACTGCTGTGCAGGCTGCCACAGCGCCGACTCTTGAGGTGCCTCAAAGGCTGCCACAGCGCTGTGAGACAGCGCTGATCAGAAGGGCCACACAGACGCTGTTGAGACGTTGACATGTGGCACTTGCGCGACGGCGAGGCTACGTGGCTCAGTCGACTCAAACAACGGGGCTACAGGTTGGTGAAACAAGTTGTTCTCAATGAGCTACGCTGTACAAGGTGCTTCAACACCCGGCTTTCTCAATGGGCCCGTCGTCATCACGGTCGAACCTCTCCACGGCACTCACCCCCGTGCAGCACTCACCCCCGTGCACCACTCACCCCCGTGCACCACTCACCCCCGTGCACCACTCACCCCCGTTGCACCAGTCACCTCCGTTGCACCACTCCCCCCTTTGCACCACTCCCCCCTTTGCACCAGTCACCCCTTTGCACCACTCACTCCATCGCACTGACTCTGCCTGCAGCACTGCTAGTACCATGCAGAGACCACATGCCACGCACCAGTTGTCGTAGGTCTGGTCAGGGAAGCCATCGTTCTCAATGAGCCCGTCGTCATCACGGTCAAACCTCTCCACCGCATCCATTGCTGCCACCACCGCCTCCCACACCGCCCTGCAGAACCGCACATTGCCCGTCGCCCTGTAGTCCCGGCACACCTGGTTTAGGGGGCGGGGAGGGGGGGGAGAAAGCGGATCATGAAATGGCATTGTTTGAGCAGTCTAACAAGTTGCCAAGCACCGCACCGCCCTGCAGAACCGCACGTTGCCCGTCGCCCTGTAGTCGCGGCACACCTGGTTGATGGGGTGGGTACACTCTATAGCTGTGAGTCAGAGGAGCAACGGAGAGGACAGACGGGACCTTGATGAGATAGGGGGACAGCATGAGATGAAATGCTTCACCTCGAAGAGGGCGCACCTGCAGCACGATCTTGCAGTTGATGTCCTTGCACTGTGCAGTGTCATGGATGTTCTATGCGTTGGGGAAGTGCAGGGAGAGGAGAGCAGAGAGGAGAGAACAATAGGGGGAGAAGAGACGCAGGCGAGCAGGGGGGGGGGAGAGAGGAGAAGAAGAGGGCGCACCTTCAGCACAAACTTGCAGTTGAGATCTTTCCACTGGGCTGTATCATGGATGTTGTATGCGTTGGGGAAGACCCATGGGTCATGGCAGCCCAGGTCGGAACACAGGAGGGAGAACACAGTGGGAAGGCGGGTACGCACCTGCAGCAAAAACTTGCAGTTGAGATCTTTCCACTCCGCGGTGTCATGGATGTTGTACGCATTGGGGAAGCACAGGGAGAGGAGAGCAGAGAGGAGAGAACAATAGGGGGAGAAGAGACGCAGGCGAGCAGAGGGGGGGGAGAGAGGAGAAGAAGAGGGCGCACCTGCAGCACAAACTTGCAGTTGAGGTCCTTCCACTGGGCGGTGTCATGGATGTTGTATGCGTTGGGGAAGACCCATGGGTCATGGCACCCCAGGTCGTGCGGCACACTGCCCCGCATCTTGTTCACGCCTGAAGCTCCGTCTGCTAGAAACCTCGTCATGCGCCGTTGCTGATGGGAGGGGGGGAAAAGGGGGTATAGGGAGGGAAGTGGAGGAAGGAAATGGGGGAGAAAGGGTGAGGGAGTGGAGAGGAGGGGCATGCCAGGCGTTGAGGGAAGATGGAGTTGCGGTGACAATTTTGCACTGGAAAATTTGGATGGGATCCTTTGAACTGACACAGAAGCCTAATGGAGGAGTGAGTATGTCTTGAAATGAGAGTTGACAGGTGGACCGTAAGAGGTACCTGCAGCAGTGTGCTGACGGCGAAGTCCTGTTGCAGGCTGAGCTCGAGCAGCGGGAAGAGGGCGAGCAGCGCAAAGGACGCATAGAAATGCACGTCGTAGCTGGTGGTGGTGTGGGTGGGAGGGGTGAGCGGCGGGAGAAGACGAAAGGGCAAATTGAGGGGAAGGGGGAGTGGAAGGAGGAGGGGGGAGCATAGAAAAGGAGGTGACGCTGCAGAGATTGCAGGATGGCAATTGAAAGAATGGGCTGTAGCGATAGGTGGTGCATCTATGATGCAAGCGTGTACTCACGTGTTCCACATGATGTACTCGAGCCCCTCCAGATACAGAAACTGCCCCACATTCTCCTCCTCCTCCTCCCCCGCCCCATCCCCATCCCCCTCCGTCTGCTCCCGCTCCCTCCCCTCCCCATCGCCCCTCACCCCCGCACCGCCGTCCCCCCTGCCCTGCGCCAGCAGCTGCACGCCAGAGCAGAGGCGCCAGCTGTAGTGCTCATGCGGCCCCAGAGGCCCCCCTGCCAGCCGCCCTGCCATGGGCGCAGGCAGGTCCAGCGCCTTCTCGTGCGGGGTGAGCGGCGGGGGCGAGTGGGAGGAGGGCTGCTGGGTTGATGTGAGGGAGAGGGATGGGCGGGGGGGTGGTGTGTGGGAGGTGCGGGGTTGTGGTGGGGTGGATGAGAGGGAGGAGGGAGAGGGAGGGGAGGCGAGGGAGGTAGATGTGGTGTCGCTGCTTTGCCTGGCGGACTGTGGTGTGTCTGTGTTGTTGCTGCTGCTTCTATTGGATGTCTCTTCCTGAAGCGCCTCAAATATTGCTTCTGTGCCTTGTGCGTCGTTTAACCCTCTCTCTCCCGCTGCTGCTGTTGCCCCACCCACATCACTGCGTGCCGAATCCAGCACCCTAGCGCCGACACCGTAGCCCGTCCTCCTCTCTCCCCCGCTCTCCCTTTCGGCATCCTCTTCCTCTTGCCGCTCCGATATTCTCCCAATAGACCCCACCACCAACCCAGCGTCATTCAAGGACAGCCCCGACCGCAAATCCCGCTGACCTGCCTGGAAATCCACCTGAGGGCTTTGGGCGGCAAAATCAGCTTCGTTCAGTGACAACCCAGACCGCAGATCTCGCTTACCTACCTGAGAATTCACCTGAGGACTTTGGGCTAGGATACTGGAAAGAGAAGGACCGAGAATAGGCGGAGTGAGGGATGACGACGCAGGCAGGCCACCACGCGAAGCAGCACCGGTGGCACCAACAGAACTGGCAGCAGCAGGTTTGCGAGAGGAGAGGGGCATGGGGGAGGCAGGGAACAGGCCAATGGCCATGTTACTGAACAGGCTGGAAGTGCTGGATAGCAGGCGACCAGGGGTGATGGGCGCAGAGGATGCTCTTGGCAGGGTGGATGGGGGCAGTGAGGGGGAGTCCAGGGGGAGGAGGTTCTTGGGGAGGCTGGGGGGGAGGGGCGCCCTGCCTGGGATGGGGGGAGGCTTGTTCCAGGGGCCCGGGAGGGGTGTGGGGGAGAAGGGCGAGGGAGGGGCGAGGTGGGGCGGCTGCTGGGTTGTGCATTCGCCTGTGGGTGGTGTTGCTGCTGCTGCTGCTGCTGCTGCTGTGGATGGAGTGATTGAAGGTGGAGTAGGTTCGACTGCGTTGCCTTGGTCATCCTTGTCCGCTGTGGGAAGGTTAGGAGAACGGGGACAGAGGAAGGGCAAATTGAGGGGAAAAGGGGGAAGCCTGAGTGGCTGGGTTCAAGGAAAGGGGTGAATACGGGGAGGAAAGGTAGGAGAAGGAGCAGGAGGAGATGGGACAGGGGGAGCAGGAACAGGAGGAGGAGATGGGAGGTGTCGAAAGCAGGGGGAGCGAGAGCAATGACAACGCTGAGACACCGGGAGAAAAGTTTTGGTGTTTCAGTGGTGAGCGCGAACGGGCAGGAGGGAAGGCATGAAGAGAGCAAGGAAGGTGAGGCAAGTAGGTGAGGGCGTACAGGGCAAGGGCGTGAGAAGCACGGATCGAGCGAGGGAATCAGAGGGGTCTTGCGGCTTGAGCCACTCGTGCTGCTCCCTCTCCTCCAGCCGCGGCCCTCCGTCTGCAGGGGAGGGGAGGCATGGGAAAAGGGGGGGGGAAGGTGGTAGTTCATGGGGCAACGACAGGGACGAGTCGGAAGTGATTGATGCAAAGGGGAGCAGGAGAGGTGGGAGCTACGAGGGCCACAGATGGATAATCGGACGTACACAAGTCACCCAAGATATCCAGACATCTGAGGTACCCCATTTGTGCTCCTTACCCGTCCACAGCCTGCCCTTACCCGTCCACAGCCTGCCCTTACCCGTCCACAGCCTGCCCTTACCCGTCCACAGCCTGCCCTTACCCGTCCACAGCCTGCCCTTACCCGTCCACAGCCTGCCCTTACCCGTCCACAGCCTGCCCTTACCCGTCCACAGCCTGCCCTTACCCGTCCACAGCCTGCCATTACCCGTCCACAGCCTGCCCTTACCCGTCCACAGCCTGCCCTTACCCGTCCACACGGTGCCGCCTGCAGTGAGGAAGTATAGCTCGTTGAAGAGCGTCACTCGGTACCTGGGAGCCAGGTGTGTGTGCGAGGTGTGTGTGCGAGGTGTGTGTGCGAGGTGTGTGCGGAGGACAGGAAGAGAGGGGTGAGGCAGATGGTGAGCAGGGCATGGTGGAGCATTCCACTCAGGCAGTGAAAAGCTCGTTGAAAGCGCGTCACCCTGTACCTGTGAAGGGTCAGGCAGGCAGGCGGTGCAGGGATCGAAAAGGAGGGGAGGTTGGGAGGATAGAATACAGCAGTAATGCAGTGAAGTGCAAAGAAGAGAAAACAGAGAGGCGAGGAGTTTCACAAGTGAGGTGGATGCACAGGAAGGGGAGCAGACACACGCGTACCATTCAGGCAGTGAGTCGTCTTGCAGAATGGGCTGCTGCCATGCATCTATGGCCGTCTCCCAGTTGCTGTATCCTGTCATGCCATGGCGCAAGCAATCGACATGGTACAATCGACGTCTGAGCGCACCACCGTCTATCGCTCACATTTAAGAGACACTCAAGAGACGTCTGAGATTTTGATATAACAGGTCAAAACGAAAGTGCATCAGGCATCACATCATGCATTCCCTTCACTGTCACTTCACCGTGACTCACCCAAGAGAGCGTCTCGGGCCAGCAGGTGAGCTGCCACCCCATGGTGCCCGTAGAACCGCGTGTAGCGCCTGCCATGGGTGCACAGTGCATGGTGGACAGTGAAGAAGAGGGAGAGGGAGAGGATGAGTGAAGGAGAGGGAGAGGGAGAGGATGAGTGAAGGAGAGGGAGAGGGAGAGGATGAGAGGGAGAGGATGAGTGAAGGAGTGTACCTGATGCACCAGGGGCAGCCCGTACGTCAGGGAATGAACCACACCATACCTGAGGTGCTGGCTGCCACTCACCCCCAAGGTTTCACCCTTTAGGACTCACCCTTTAAGCCTCACCGCCCTAACCTAAGTACCAAACCCCCCAAACCAGCCTGTGAGGGGTGGTGCAACCGACCTGAGGTAGTGGCTATCGGGGTTGAAGCGCGCAACAGGCACGTCCCAGCAGAGTGTGAAGTCCACGTGGCGGGTGGCTCCCGGCGGCACTGACACTGACGCCGCCACTGCTGCCCCGATGGCCGTGCCGGGGAAGGAGGGGTGCGATGCCAGGGCTGACTCGTGGTGAGGGGGTAAGGTGCCCGTCTGTGGACAAACGAGAGGGGAGGTGGGGGGGTTGAGTTGGGGTGAGTGGGAGGTGCTGAGAGGGAGAAGCAATGTCTGCTGCCCCGATGGCCGTGCCGGGGAACGAGGGGTGCGATGCCAGGGCTGACTCGTGGTGAGGGGGTAAGGTGCCCGTCTGTGGTTGGGGAGAGGGAGGAGAGGGGTGGGTGGAGGTATGGGAGTGTGAGGCAGTGATTGCTGCTCTGATGGGTGTTCCTGGGAGGGAGGGGGGTGACGCTAGGGCTGACTCGTGGTGGGCAGGGTAAGGTGCCGGTCTGTTGGGTGGAAACGGGGAGGGTGAGGCGGCGGATGGAGCGTGTGAAGAAGTGAGCGCGCAGCAGAAGGGCGAAAAAGGAGGGATGTCATGTGGGCGGGCAGAGCTAACTTGTTTGTCGTTTTGGTTGAGACCAACGTACCTTCTCTAGGTGCTGCCACATGTCAGCAGCCGATAGGCCCTTGCAGGGGCCTGAGAGGACGAAGTGTGGGCAGACAGACACGCGCACCCTGTCAGTGGCACCACCTGTGGCGCCACTCTCACTACAGGTGGCGCCAGTGCCCTCTCGCGCTGCAATGGCTAGAGTCACTGGGCCACCCACTTTGGAGGACCTGCATGCAGAGGAGGAGTGACAGGTTTGTTTAGAGCCATTGTTATGGGGAGTGAGGAATGAGCGTTAGGCATTGTGTGCATGGATGGGACGAGAGGCATGCATGGTGGTGGAAGGCCCCCCCACCTGTGCTGCAGTTTCACGCCTTTGATGCCCTGGTCCATCCTGACACACACACACAAAGGCGCCAGAAGCATTGTTGGCAGGACGAAAGAGAGAAACTCAAACTAATGGCTCGAAGGCATGGGAAGAGCCATGCGGAAAGAACGTGCAGGCAGCTGGTGCCATGGCTCCAAATTGATGGTTGATGGGTGATGATTGATGGCGTATTCTCACTCAAAGGCAGTGTTGAGATGGCCACCAGTCGTTGCAGAGTCTCCCCCTATGGAGTTCTGCAATGTCCGAAAGGGGAAAAGGATCAATGCACGAGATGATAATGGGTGGACAGGAGGGAGTGCGCAGTGCAGTATAGCATGCACCGGCGTGACTTTTGAGTCGACTCAAAAGTCACCTTATAGCATGCACCGACTAGAGTAACAGCATGCGAGGAACTTGAGTGGCAGGCCACGCATCGGGAGACTCACTGCAAGGGAGAAGACGAGTGTGGCGTCAGCAGCTGTGGTGCCTGTGTTAGCCACCTGATGAGAGAGGGCAAGGCAGGAGCATAAGTGCACACGGTAAGCACAGGTCCATCGACATGGGCCTGTGCCTGGACCATAGGGTCCATGGCTGAATACAACAGAATACAACAGAGTAAGCAATGCGATCTTGAGGAAGACGGGGAGGGGGATGAAGCCAGAACGACAACGTTAGTTGTGAGGGGGAGAGTGGGGAAGAGCTGGGAGGGGGACAGGGAAGGAGGCAGGGAGGCGAGAGCGTACAGTGAAAGCGAAGACGGAGGAGGGGAGGGAGGACTCCTGGTAGTTGTTGGGAATGAAGGGCGAGACCTGGCGACACGAAATGGTCATCAGTGGGTCTGGCTCTGCACGCACAGGGAGGCAGGCACACACACACCGGCAACACACAGAAACGCACAGGTATATGTACAAATCGGGATACAAGACGGGCTCATCAGCCACAACAGCACTTGGAGCTCTTGGTGTGATCACTTGCATCAAATGCATTCACATAATTCCACTTCCCATCCTAGTATACAGAAACACTAATGCACTACCTTGGTAGAGGGTCCAGGCGCGCGGGAAGAGAGCATAGTAGGTGCTGCGGGATCCATCCATGTTCCACCCCCACGCGTCGATGCCCGACCCACTCGCCTTCCTCCGAACGCCCTTGGGCACGCCAGGGTACAGCACGGAGGAGAACTTGCGAGGCTGCTCTGCTGGGTTTTCCCCTTGCCGTGTGATGAATACCTGCACAGGCAGCACCAGGAAACGAACGGAGCCAACAGCTTCAGATAGAGGGTCCTCGAAGGCCTTTGGGCACGCCAGGGTACAGCACAGATGAGAACTTGAGAGGCTCGTCCGCTGGGCTCTCTGCTTGCCGTGTGATGAACACCTGCACAGGCAGCACCAGGAAACGAACGGAGCCAACAGCTTCAGAGAGAGGGTCCTTGAACGCCCTTGGGCACGCCAGGGAACAGCACGGACGAGAACTTGAGGGGCTGGTCTGCTGAGCTCTCCGCCTGCCTTGTGATGAACACCTGCAGAGGCAGTGCCACCGGGGAGAAGAGTTTCAGTTGGAAGCTCCTCCAAGGGCCTTGACCGCGCCTGGGCAGCGCATGGGTGGCAGGTGCACCCCTGTGCCTGTTGTCGCTTCGTCCCATTCTCTCGCACAATGCCCTGCTCAAACCAGACTGGCCAACTGGCACGCAAGTGTTTGTTCTCGTAGTTGCTGTGATCGAAGCATTTGCAGGGGACGGATGAGAGGGAGGCCTCACAGAGAACTGATCGGCGTCCACGGGTGCGTCCTCGCACTGCCCCGCTGCAAACTGCCATCGGTTGAACTCCCCCCGGAACCCCCGGCCTATGCTGCACGCCCTGCAGGCACGAAACAGGACGCAGGCAACAAGCAGCAGGAAAGAGGGCGGAGGGCGGACAGGGAGACATGCGGTGGCAGGTGAACCGGGAGGGAACCGTGAACACAGAGCAGGGTAGGGCAGGCAAGATGGTGGAGGGAAGATAGGCGGACGAACGTGGGCAGGTGAGAGGGGAAGGGAGCTGGGGTTACCAATGGCCATGCATTGTGAAGCCTTAGAGGTAGGTGGGCGCTTACCCAATGCCTCCTAGAGGCACTCCATGGCATGCTGATGGCTGTGTTTCACGGGAGAAAGGGTCGATCACTGGCACCTGCAGGGGCATGGACGTGGGGGGTGATGCAGGAGGCACAGCAAGGGAATGTTTTGAGACGTCTCAAAACTCGATCAATGGCACCTGCAAGGGCATGGGCGTGGGGGATGCATGGGGCAGAGCGGGGGAATGGGCATGGCTTGGCATTGGCATGCATGACGACCAGGCGAGTGGCTGGGAGATGACATGACATTGACAAAACAATAGCACATCTCCAGAGGTCATGCCAGAGGCTATGTTTCACATCACAGAGCAGTACGTAGGAGCATCATGAGTCGACATGAGTGATGCGCGTAGCAAACACCATGCACTCACCCGGCCCTGCGACTTCTCCCTCTGGTTGTGCGACCACAGGCGCACCCCCAGTGGCAGCTGCACGTGCCAAGAGGGCAGGGCAGGGCGGAGCATGATGGGGGGGTTGCAGTAGAGAGGAAGAGGAATTTACAATCAACTATTTTTGGCAAAGGCTCGATACAATGAGCGATTAAGACAATCTGCATCCTGCGCCTGCATTCATTCGTACAACACGCGTGACAATATGCCAGATAAGCAACTCGCTCTAACAACACCCGCGCACCATCACAGCACCTGTAGCACCACACGCAGCACGCACGTTGCGCAGGGCCTCAGAGAAGGTGACGGAGAACTCGTTGATGCCCAAGGAATGTACTACTTCGACACAGCGTTGCATGCACATGCATGTACCACATCACATGCCCATCACATGCACCAACCACAGCACCACACGCAGCACGCACGTTGCGCAGGGCCTCAGAGAAGGTGACGGAGAACTCCTTACCTTCAAGGCACGTACTACTCCTACCCCGCACTGCATGCACATGCACCACATCACATGCCCTTCATCCGCCTCCAACCAACCACAGCACCACCCACAGCACCACCCACAGCACCACCCACAGCACCACCCACAGCACCACCCACAGCACCACACATAGCACAGCACGCACGTTGCGCAGGGCCTCCGTGAAGGTGACGGAGAACTCCTTGAGGCTCAAGGCATCTCTCGTACAAGGCACTGCATGCATGCACATGCACCACATCACATCCCATCTCTCCCCATAGCACGCACGTTGCGCAGGGCCTCAGAGAAGGTGACGGAGAACTCCTTGAGGGGCGCCGCATGCGCGTCCAGAGGGCGCACCCACGCCACCTCGGGCGGCGCTGCTGCTGTCCCCGCCAGCTGGCGCGCGGAGAGGGGCGGGGAGAAGAGCGCATTGGAGGGAGGGGAGGAGGGAAGAGATGCAAAAGAGTTTTTGAGAAGTGTGTGTGGGCTAATAGGGGATGGGAGAGGCACGGGACGACATGACCAAGGCTATGTTGTGCCACTAAGGTGTACGAACGATCAAGGGAGAAAGGCACGAGCAAGCGCTGATCTAAACTTGAGTACCAGAGACGCTCCCGGGAAGCGGGAGAACGTGACTGACGATCGCAGCTTCATCCCTTGCTCCTCCGGGGAACACTCTCCTGCCGCTACTGCCGCCGCTGCTGCTGCTGCTGTGGGGGAGTCGGGTGACGCACCGCAGGCCCACCCGGCGCTCCTGCAGATGGCCGACAGCATGTTGCCGTTGCAGAACCTGGGAGGGAGCAGCAGGGAGTTCCAAGCACCGTCAGAATCTGGCAGAGAGAATGGTTAGGAGGAGCACCGCTGAAGATCAGTCAACGCCATATGGGGAACGGATGTACGCGCGAACAAGGAAGGAGGTCGTTTCTAATGTTCCGCCTTGCATGCCAGAAATATGACGTAGATGGAGAGAACAAGTCGCTAGAGCTGTGCACCTCGTGAGCGTCGTATGAGACATCCAAGCCTCCTCTATAAAAAAGCCTGCGAAATTCTAAAATCTTTTAACCATTCTCGTCAGGCACCCCCTTACATTGTAACAGGTTGAAGTCAACACCAAGACGCCGACGGGAAATCGCTGTGAGCCGTTGATCTAATTGGCATCGCTGATGGCACACTCGTAGTGCCGGGTCGGCGACAACTGCTGCTGGCGCTAACTGTTCAATGATGCAATACGATATGATTCGAATGCGATGCAGACGTCAGACTCAGCGATACGGAGCGAGCATCACGCATCAACGCAAGGTGAACAACCTCGGAATCTCTTGATCGTTTCTCGGCGAATCATGCCTGGCATTCATGATGGGATGTAAACTAAGAATTCGTAACCGCACACTTCTACCGCAAGTCACGCTTGGTGCCTAGTTTCCGCCTTCTGTTACGAATACCGTCATGAACAGCACGAGCAGGACGTTCTAGATTCGTGACCTGCCAAAAACTAAGGGCGCGTAACCAATATGCACCCGACGGTTCGAACCGTGGACCGTCCAAGTGGCGAAAAGGTAACAGAATACGCATTACGTCGTAAGTTTGTTCGCTAAGGTGTTGGCGACATCGCCAACAAAGCGGACTGTCGTGACACTTTTTCCTATTTTCATCGGTCCGAGATCTGAACCGTGGACAGTCCGAATCTCAAACGGACTGTCCGAAAGTCCTTGCACACGATTGGCGCAGGATGTAAAAATTGTCGAGTCACCTCGTCCACCAACAAAATCATGCGATGCTGCTTCACGCATTAGCATTGACAACCTAAAAACAAAAATGATTCGATGACGATATCGACGACCGTGAATGAATTTCGTAACGCTTGTACAGTGATCGCGAAATTGTACATTAGGAAAAAAGTGTCACAACTGTCTTCGGACAGTTGCAAAAAACTCAATCGGACGGTCCCGTTCTCGATAAGTGGACCGTCCGCTCCGGTTTTAGCGGACAGTCCGTCAAAATCGAAAAATGCAAAATGGTTACGCGCCCTAAGGGAGTGAAAAGATAAGTGCTACGCTTCGTGATTGATGATCAGTTACGGTTTCGGCCATGCCCTTCTGGCCATGAACAAATCACCCACCCCAAATCAAGCCCCCGCTGCCATCATTGTCAGATTGGCGGGAAACGCAAATCTTCGTCGTAGCCTAGCTCGACTGAAGTTTTTTACTGACAGAATTGGGTAACCACAACCAGGAAACGATTATAACTTCATTACTGGCTAATGTTATATTTTCATAACTTGTCACAACAAAAGTTTTCTCACGGAGTGACCTTCAGTAAGCAGTGAGGCAGCAGTGATAAATGTTTAACTTGCAAATCGTTTCAAATGCTTTCAGCTTGCAATTTTGATGCATAACAGTATACACAAGTATCAATATATACAAAATGCTACAAAAGATCAACTTGCCCTAAAGCATGTTCTATGAATACAAGATACCTGCAGATAACAAAAGAGAGCGTTAGGGCGTATTCCTATCCTCCTATCAAGAAAACCTCTTATCAAGCTCACACTGAAAAATTCCCTAAACCCAAAATCTCTCGCTACTTTCACCAGGCAAAATGTGCATTCTTGATAGGAGGTTTCTTGATAGGAGGCCGTAGGAATACGCCCTTAGTATCCAGGCAGAGGTACAAGAAGTTGAACTTAAGCAACCAAAACGACTTACATGGATACACAGTCTTGGCCTGGAATACAAGATACCTGCAGAGGACAAAACAAAGCGTTAGTATCCAGGCAGAGGTATAAGCAGTTAAACTGAAGCAACCAAAACGACTCACATGGATACACTGTCTTGGCCTGGAAACAGTGGCTGCAGGAGGCATGGCAATTGGCTGCTGAAGGCACCGTCAGAGTCGCTAAACCCAAGGCATGCGGGAGCCCATTTTCACAGACTGAATCTGCCGATACAGAGCTGCTGCAGTCAGCTCTGTATGACAGAATCAGTCTGCTACATGGCCCGGATCCGAGTCTTTAGACAACCCCAAGGGTCCCTCAGCACCATGCTTTGCCTCCCCACGCCTTCAGGTTATCTGCACAACAACAAGAGAGATTTATGAGTCCTCAGCCAGAGTGAGCAAGAATGCAGTAAGCATTGGATTGAACTGCTAAAAGGATAAAGACATACCTTGATTGCTGAATTCAGCATCTTCAGTGATGGATGTCATTTGAAGATCTTGATTGCTGAGTTCAGCATCTTCAGTGATGGCTGACATTTGAAGATCTTCCATGTTGAACCACCTGCAGGATGAGAAGGAAGAGTTAGTAAATGTTATACACCACACAAGCTAGATGCTGGAAATTGAAACTCACCTTGAAGGCCTTGGATCTTAACTTGAAGATATTCCCATGAAAGCTTGAAACTTGGGACTTCATAGACTGTTGACAATCTTCAGTGAAGTGTCTGTTGACATGTTGAAACCCCTGCAGGAAGAAAAGCGGAATGTTAGTGTGTGTGCCACAAAGTAAAACTGCCAAAAGATTTATATGTTACCTTGTAAGAAAAGCTTGAATGTTGGAACTTCAGATAAAAGACTCTCTTGGCCATCTTCATTGGAATCACCGCTGACATGTTGAAGCTCCTGCAGGAAGAAAAGCAGAATGTTAGTGAGTGTACCACACACGAAAACTGTCAAAAGGACTAGAACTTACCTTGAGAAGCTTCAGTCTTGGAGCTTGAAATGATTGACTTCCAAACGTCTTTGAACAATGAAGGCCTTCAGTGTTGAGGTACCTGCAAAGCGAGAGAAGGAAAAGGAGGGGGGTGTATGAGTAATGGTGGCAGAAGGTGGTCCAGAAAGGCAAGTGTATGCATGCATGATGGGTGGAAGATGCAGTAGCATGGATGCAAGGATGCTCACCACCACAGCCACAAGAGCCATATACCAGAATACCTTAAGGGACCTGAAGGACTCACCAGAAAAGTGTACCTTAAAAAAATACCAGGGAAGGCTCAAGTGGTGGTAGAGGAGTGCTCAAGCATCATGCCATGCAATGCAAGGCGAAAATGTAATTATGATGGCGGAAAGAGCAGAAACATGATTAACAAGAAACAACAATAGAGAAGCCAAGTTCGAGTGGTACTTAGCTTTTCAACTGAGGTGTTGACGTTGTGCAGATTTGGCCTCTGGACTCAGACACGAGCTGAAGACATGTGTAGGGTTGGCTCCACGACTTGCATGTTGACTGTTAAGCGCCTTGGTGCATGTGCTGGCGAACGACCTCTGCCAGTAAAAAGAGGCAGAAGGGGGAGTAAGTACTGGAAGGTCCAAACAAAAAAGGCAAGCATGAATGTGCATGATGAGTGGCATGAATGAATTTGCATTACCATCATGAGCTCTTATCACAACATACCACAGGAGCCAAGTACCAGAAAAAATACCAAAGGATTACCTTGGTCTCACCAGAAAAGGGTTACCTTGAAAAAAAATACCAGGGGGAATGGAACATGCAGCAGTTGTGATAAGCGCCGATAAAACATGAAACAAATGTCATGACCATGATAACGGAAATGATAAGGAGCGGAGAAAGGGGGGAAGAAGTACTTATCTGCACGTGGGGTTGCTTGTCTTGAGCGTTGATTCGAATCTCGGCTTGGAAGTTGCCTTGAAGACTTGACTTGAGGAGCGCTGGCTTGTAGTGCTGATCCTCTTGATCTTCGATCCTTACATCCCTTGGCTGCTCCCAGATAATTGAAGGAAGACCTGAACGCAATAGAACAAAAATAAAACAGCAAAGTCAGTTTCAAGTGACAGTGGGATGCCATAAAGACAAAAGCGGTAAAGTTGTGTGTGGGGATATCGGGAATGTTTTCCAGCCGAAGCAACCGCACTGCAAAGCTCTGACGGACCGACGCGCTTGACTTAGCAACGCTGACGCTAGACCGACCTAAAGAGGCTAAACCAGACCTAGGGTAGGAGACAGGGAGCTCTACAGGCGGCGCTTTGGCTGGAAAACAGATTTAACAGCACGAACAAAAAGCTGGAAATGTGAAAAGAACTTCGACAGCAGTGGAAGGAGCACTTAGCTGCAAAGGTCGACAGCGGGCTGGTGAAAAGCTAGATGGCGAAATCGACGCTCAGCACGATGCCCGATGCCCGTGCACGTTGCAGCTTGAAGCGATTGAAGCTCTCCCCAAGGAGAGAGAATGACCTGTTGTCTATATATCCGAGGCTAACCACGGATTGAGAGCAAGCAATGAGCAATTTCCACACGGAACCTACACGGTTTCGAGCCGCGAAGCAAAGCGATGAACAATTTCCACACGAAATGTCCACAGATTCGAATTGCGTTGGAGCTGGCGGTAAACAAACGGCTCTTGGGTGGTAGAAATTCGCGGTGGGCCTTGTGCGATTAGTGAAGAATGAGGGAGGGAGCGGCTGAGGCAGAGGAGGTGTAAGTGAAATTTGGATCTGGTGGGTGGGAGCGGCTGTGCAAGGACAAAGGGGTGGGAGCTAGGGTTTCAGGGTGGGATGGGGTGATGGTCAGCTGAGATGACTGACCTTGGAGTTTGGTGTTCGGCGAACTTCACGAAGCTCGTTGTGCTGATGGTTTCACTGTTTCGCAATTGCAAAAACATTCTTCGCGAGCTGATTGGTGATGAAATTTGGTCATGAAATGAAGCATCATGCCATGGTAGGGTGTTTCCATTCCATGCATATCCACGCGAAATATGGCAAGCTTGGTTTGATTGGCACGGCGCGCGGGGCGAAGCGCACTGTGCAGCGCGGAGCGGAGTGCAGAGCGCCGCAAAGTACAGTATCACCCCGAATGGCGCGTGGGGCGAAGCGCAATCTGCGCGGAGCGGGTCCACCGTCCATTGCGCCGCAAGGTATCGGGTAATATCAAAGGCAGTTGAGCATGGCGTCAAATCCCTTATGTGTACCCCACAGCACACCTCTAAACAATGAAAAGCACACTTGTGAACAACCAATATCTTTATCAATCTATAGCTCTCTTAAAATGTTCTTATGGTCTCCAAGTGTGACCACAATTCCATTCATTCAAAAATGCTTGTTTGATCATTTTTTTTATTACTCCAATCGAATACTTAAATGCAGAAGGACATTTGAAAATAGTTCACACGCAGGGCATGTGTGGCTCACCCATAAGCCAAATCTAGTACCGTTATGAACAGTGAAGGTGGTAATTTAAACATGGGTTTGTCACGTCTGAATAATAATAACGAGTCGCTGGAATGGAACCAGTTCTGGGGAAATTTTCTGGTGGGGCGGAATGAAGCACTAGGATTGTATCATAGCGTCGTAAGAGATGGGCCCGGAAATAGCGATAGAGGACGAGAACGGACTCGTTACGACGGTGCGCAAGCGGAAATCCCAAAACAAGGATTCTGAGCGCCTCGTCGACGACAGCGAGCCACCGAAGCACGAGGATCGGCGGAATGCGGTACTACTGGATGAAACGGCGGGCTCAGCGGAGGCGTTTAAGCGCGGAACACGCAGCGTTCCAGTGGCGTCGCGGAGGCCAATTTCCGCGCTGTGCGCCGTGTTGCCGGGGGGGAGCTGGTGGGACCTGCGGAAGCTAGCTAGGGGGAAGGCAGCGCGCGGGAAAAGCGCCAGCGGTAGCAGCAGCAGTGGGGATAGCACGGGGAGTGTTAGGGAGAGCGTGAGCGGGGGTTTCAAAGGGAATTCGCCGGGCGAGCTGTGGGACGCCATTCGCAAGCTCTGGCGGTTCTGCGCGACCATGCTCGTCCTCGCCTCGCTCTGCCTCGCCCTCGCCGCCGTCAGTCCTCCTCCCTTCTTCTCCCTCCACCTCCATTACTGCTCCTCATCCCCTTCCTTCCCCTCCCCTCCCAGCCGTCAATGTGAACCCCTTCTCTCCTTTCTCTCCGCCCCACCCCACTCCCACTCTCCTCTACCCGCCACCAGCTATCAGAGGTGGCCACTTCCTAGCGGCGGCCATATTCAACGCGTCTCACGGCCTCACAGATCAGTTCAACCACAACGTGCGCCTCCTCATCGCCATGACTATCGCCTGCGGCCTCTTCAGGTAAATGTCTGCCGCGTTCCAGTGAGTGCGTGAGTGTGTGCGTTTTCTAACCATGTCCTGATGGTACCTGCTCTTTCCTGTGCTCGTGCTGCCGTGATCCGTGCGGTGGGCTGAGGGCTGCCTCTTTCACCATCTTCAATGTCCAATTGGTGAGCTCACGCGCACCGGCACTGCACCTGCTGTTTCAACACACTCTAGCTCTTACTTTCTCCCATGCTACATGCTCTCGCTCTGCGCTCTCACACGCTCTTGCTCTTACGCTCTCACATGCTCTCCCTCCTTCATCCTCTCCCTCTCCCGCATTCCCTTGCTTCCCACGGTGTCTCATTTAGATGCGACGAATGCGGCTTGCTCTGTACGAGACGCTCATCTGGGAAGGCGCCGCTGCTCCTGGGGGCCTGTGAGGGTGGAGGCGCGCTGCTCCTATGCGCGTGTGAGGGCGGGGCGCCGCTGCTCCTGGTTGCGTGTGAGGGCGGGGCGCCGCTGCTCCTGGTTGCGTGTGAGTGGGGAGGCGCCGTTGCCCCTGGTTGCGTGTGAGTGGGGAGGCGCCGCTGCTCCTGGTTGCGTGTGAGTGGGGAGGCGCCGCTGCTCCTGGTTGCGTGTGAGTGGGGAGGCGCCGCTGCTCCTGGTTGCGTGTGAGTGGGGAGGCGCCGCTGCTCCTGGTTGCGTGTGAGTGGGGAGGCGCCGTTGCTCCTGGGGGCGTGTGAGTGGGGAGGCGCCGTTGCTCCTGGGGGCGTGTGACGGAGAAGGCGCCGCTGCTCCTGGGGGCGTGTGAGGGGAAAGGCGCCGCTGCTTCTGGGGATGTGTGAGGGGGGAGGCGCGGCTGCTCCTAGGGGCGTGTGAGGAGGGAGACGCTGCTGCTCCTGGGGGCGTGTGAGGGGAGAGGCGCTTCTGTTCCTAGAGGCGTGTGAGGAGGGAGGCGCCACTGCTCCTAGGGGCGTGTGAGGGCGGGGCGTGTGGGTGGATGGGCGACTGTGGATGGGCGACTGTGGGTGTGGGTGGGTCGGTGAGCGAGTTTGGTTGAATGGGCGAGTGTGGGAGGCTGGTGGGGTGAGCGAGTTTGGTTGGGTGGGCGAGTGTGGGAGGGTGGGTGGGTGGGTGGGTGGGTGGGCGGGCGAGTGTGGAGTGTGGATGAGTGTGCGACTGTAAGTGGGTGGATGAGTGGGAGACTGTTGGTGGGTGGATGAGTGGGAGATTGTTGGTGGGTGGATGAGTGGGCGACTGTGGGTGTGGGAGGATGGGCGACTGTGGGTGTGGGTGAATGGGTGGGCGAGGTTGGGTGGGTGGGTGGGTGGGTGGGTGGGCGGGTGAGTGTGGGTGGTTCGGTGGGTGGGTATGTGGATGGGTGGGTGAGAGAGTGGGTATGGTTGGAGTGGGAGTCAAGGCGGCAGAGCTGAGGGGGAGTCAAGGCGGCAGAGCTGAGGGGGAGTCAAGGCGGCAGAGCTGAGGGGGAGTCAAGGCGGCAGGGCTGAGGGGGAGAGAAGAGCAGAATGATGGCGTTGATCCATACCGCTGCGGACGCAAGGGCAGCACTCTGTTGCCGGGCCCGATGGGCAGGAGGGTACACCACACGTCTGGTGGGGAGCCGGCAGTAAGGGGGTAGGAGTGGGGAGGGTGGGGGGGGGAGGGGGGTGGGTGAGACTGAAAAGGAGGAAAGGGTAGGGGAGAAAGGGAAGGACCAGAAGGGCGGGTGTTGCAGACAAAGATAAGATAAGAGCACACAGCGCAGCAGGCATACATCCAAACAGGCATGTAGGGAGGGGAGCGGAGGGAAAGGGAGGGGGAGGGGAGGGTGAGGGGAGGGTAGGGGGAGGGGAGGGTAAGGGGACGGGAGGCGATGGTAGGAGGGGGGATTGGGGAGGGGAGAGGAGGGGAGGATATGGGAGTGGATGGTTGGGGAAGGGAGTGGAGGTGTGTAGCGCGTGGGATACGATGGGGTGAATGGAATGAGGTGCATGGGACGACACTCTCCGCCCTCCCCCCTCCCCAACCTCACCCCCCCCCCTTCCCCCCTCCCCCTCCCCCCCGCTGTCTCCCGCTCCCCAAACCCCAACGTCCCCTGTCAGCACGCACCGATTGGACTTGTCATGGGCGGGGGGCAGCATTTGGACCTTGTGCCCGTCAAGGGCGCACACGCACACGAGCAAGGTGTCGACACCTTGTTCACGCAGCCACGTGTCAGCGCCTCGTTTGCCGCGACAACCTCCCCCACATGGCGTGTGGACCGTGCCGGGGTCTTCACTCATAGCGCCAGAGTTTACTAGGCGCAATCCTTGAGACGCCTCAACAAACGTCTCCTGCGCCTCTCCCCGTGGCCAGCTGTCATACCTTGCTGTGGTTTCAAGACGCATGGGAGACAGGGGAGGAGGACGGAGGGAGGGAATGGCATGCCAAAAAACTCAATTTCATGCGCCTACACGCATTCAGTTGCCACGGCAATATGCATCAGATGCTGGTGGTGAGCTAGATGCTGGTGGCAGCAGCGAGAACATAAGCACTAGAGACGGCATGGTGAAGAATGGAATCAGAAGCGTTCACACCACCTGCAGCATTGGCGCGGAGGGGCAGCACTGTCTGCTGTTCTCGCATCCCCCAAGCTAACCCCCCCTCCTCGCTCTCCCCTTTCCTCCCCCTCCGTCCATGTGATGGTGTGGCATCAGGGTGCAGACACACATGAGGGAGGTGCGCACCCGACCACGTGTGAGCGCCTGTTTAGCGGCCTTGAGCACACTCACTCGCATGCCCGTCTCGTCTCCTCCGCCTCTGCCTCATGGCCTGCGACAGTGCACGGGGTGGGGGGATCGCGAGGGAAGGAGGAGGGGAAAGGGATGGAGGGGAGGAGGGCAGCTGCCAGAAGGATTGATGAGGGTGGCGAGGAGTTGAAAGACTTTGGAGATGCTTCTGTAGCGACCCCGCCCATGGCGAGAGCGACGCGCACCTTGTGCAGCAGCAGGCGGCTCACTACACACGCCTTGAGGGAATGGGATGGGCAGAAATGGCGCTGGGGGATGCAGATGCAACGGAGGGCAGCAAGAAGGCAAATCTAGAGGCACCATGCAGCAGGAACTACAAGGACAAACAGAGCGGACAAAGATCAGAGCAAGAGTGAGAGTGTGAGTGAGTGACTGAGTGAGTGAGTGGGTGGTAAAACGAGACAACGGTTCCCGATGCCCGACCCACCCGCCCTCCTCCGCACGCCCTTGGGCACGCCAGGGAACAGCATGGAGGAGAACTCGAGGGGCTGGTCTGCTGGGCTCTCAGCCTGCCTCGTGATGAACACCTGCACAGGCCACGGTACGAACAGAACAAACGGTTGCAGATGGAGCGACCTCAAACGCCCTTGGGCACGCCAGGGTAGAGCACGGACGAGAACTTGAGGGGCTGGTCTGCTGCAAGCTAAGCAAATTGCCAGACCGGATGTGATGTAATGTAGCTGTTGTAACATAACGAATATGCAGAGCATCCAGAGGCCGGGTGAAGGAGGGGACGATAGGGAGGGCTCACAGCCAAGTGGTTGACGTTCACGAGTGAAGTGGCATTCATTCGTGTAGCTGCTGTGACTGGAGAGAGGGGAAGGGGACGAGAGGGCTCACAGAGAACTGATCGGCGTCCACGGGTGCATCCTCACACTGCCCCGCTGCAAACTGCCATTCAGTGTCCCAAGGGTCTTCGCTCATAGTGGAAGAGCAACAATTCTAAAGAGTAGCGCTTAAAGCAACAAAAGGAAACGAAACTGAAAAAATCTTTCCTGGAAAAACGATCAGTAGAAACCGTAAAACCCCTTCACTAAAGAGAATCCTTACAGCACAAACATGTTTCGGCTTACGGGGATCATACCCGCTTAGCCTTCATCAGTGTGACTCAGATCCACAAAAGAGAAAGAGTTCGGACAGAAGCAAGCTAAGTAGCTAGCAAAATGCCCTCGAGATCTACATATGTACAGTCGACTACCCAGAGTGACATGCACTCGGCCAACAAAGCAAATGGGGTACACCCAGGGTGCAAAGTCAGCCTTCGAGAAAAGTCTTCGTCAACCAATTTGTTGATGTAACCGCGCGCGCACCAGTAACTTTTGCAAGTTACACGCACACTTCCAAGCTGTAATAATTCTCTCCGTATGAAATCCGCGAGCAGTGAGGTGCATTTTGAGGCGCCTCAAAAGGACCCCCAGCTTGAGGCGAGCTGTCACCGGAGTGAACAGAATCTTCAAGACCAAGGGTCCGCGTTGGGGAGAGGGATGAGCTTGTGAGCTTGGCGCGCAGCAGTAGTCTCCAAAAGGAGAGGGCGGTTTCGGAAGAACACACTCCGAAAAATGGGCAGAAGAAAGTCCCCAGGATAACCGCGACGTCTAAGCCGATGGAAAAATTCGTGCTTAGAGGCTAGGAAAGCTTTGGCAGATGTCGAGCGTAACAGGTACCGTCTCAGTTCTGCACGGATGAAGCTAACCTTGCAGTGTCGCGGGTGGTAAGAAGAAAACGGCAGGTACAGGTAACTATTCATGGGTTTCTGAAATGTCTTCAGATCCAGGTTACCCTTCTCGGCAAAACGTGGTCCCTTGAAGATGACCATATCAAGAAAGTCAGCCGAGGAGTCCGAGATGTGCCACGTCAACTTGATGTTGGGATCCAAACCGTTGAAAGTGCTGAGATAGCACTCCAACTCACTCCGAGAACCTGGCCAAACAATGAAGCCATCATCGATGTATCTCACGTGGCACAACGGCTGCGTCCCGAACCACCTGTGTTTCAGCACCTCGTCCAGACGGCTCATAAACAGCACCGCGAAACACACTGCTGCAGAAGTTCCCATAGCAGTTCCTTGTCGCTGTAAGTACAACTGGCCGTCGAACTCAACAACAGAGTTCATCATCACCCACTCCAGCAAGGCGATGACCGGGAGGTGATTATGGTACTTCCCACTCTGAAGAATGCTACTCACTGCGTCGATACCTCTCTGAAGTGGAATGCTGGGGTAGAGAGCAGTAACGTCGTAGGTGGCTAGGAAGATCCCTTTCGGGAAGGCGGTTTCTTCCAGCTTCAAGAGTAGCGAGAGGGAATCACGGAGGTATGTCTGCTGCTGCAGTACCCACGGTCGTAGTTCAGCATCGAGCCAACGGCTAACGTTCGAAGTCACCCATGAGTGTGAGGCGGCGATCGGGCGCCCCACAAGCTTCTTCTTATGCAGCTTCGGCAAGATGTAGAAGGCCGCGGGCTTCCACCCTCCAGGCGGCTGGTTGAAAAAATACTTCCACAAAGTTTCGGGAAGAGCAGGGCCCCAAACGCTGTGCAGTTCACGTAGCTTCCGGTAGACATCGGCGGTAGGATCGTGAGAGAGCAGAGAGTAAGTCGTGCTGTCACCAAGGTGCTCCATGCACAACCGAATGTAATGTCCCCAATCCATCATGGTAATCCCAACATTCTTGTCAGCCGGTTTAATCACCACGTCTCGATCCGCAGCGATGGTGCGCAACGCCTTCCTAACGCCAGCTGAAAGATTCCGACGTCGGTCAGGCTGAGTTGCCTTCAACAAGACGGACAAGTCAGAAGACGAGTCCTTGAAGACCTGCTCCGGAATCACCATCCGATCGGGCAGCCACGTCGGGTTACGCACATGAAACCGCGAATCCCTAAGTGGACCGTCCGCATCCTTGAAGAAAAAATGTAACGAGATCTGCCGGAAAAGCTGATCGAGCTCAATTCCGGCCGAAAGGGAAACGGTGGGCGTGGGGATGAACTTCAAACCCAACCCCAGCGCTGTCTTCTCATCCGAAGATAAGATTTTAGCGCTAAGGTTGTGTACTCCGCGGTTTTGGACGCGCAACGCAGCTTGCCGAGGCGTCAGCCGTCCAAACCAACGGAGAGCCAGCTCATGGCTGGTTAGTTCTTCTTGCGCGGCCCTTTTTCGGGGCCGCCTCCGCCGTTTTTTGGTCCCTTGGCCGCATCAGATTTGACAGGGCCTCCCGCCTGCTTGTCTTTGTCGGTGCCGGAATTCTGCTTCTGATTCTTTTTCTTCCCACCCCGCTTCCTCCTCGGCTTCGATCCAGCAGGTGCAGCGTTGCCATTCTCCTGACTTTTCTGCTTTCCCGCCGTATTCTTCTGCTTCGGATTGGCAGCAGTGGCCTGCGCAGGGTCTTGTTCCTTAAGAGAGAGATTCTTCTGCAGTTTCTTCGTAAGACTGGCCTCAACCTTCGCAGTAATTTCCTTGCGAAGCTTGTCTTCAATCTTCTTAACCTGCTTCGCGAGAATCTCCTCTAACGCAGGTTCTAGCTCCATCTCCTGCACCTCCTCAGACGCAGCAGCTTTCTTCAAATCCTCGGCGGCTTTCTTGCGTTGTCTATCCAGCTCCCGGATGGTAAGTTCATCCTTGGCAGCAGCGATGTCGGCTTGGGCTTTCTCTATGCAGAATCCTTTGAGTAGACGAAACTTCTCCTTGGCAGCGTCAGACACCACCAGGTCCGGATCCGCACTCAGCCCCTGTATGTAATCCTCCATCCTTGTCGCCAGAGCAGTGATACGCGAGTTAGCCGCCTTCGCGATCTCCTCAACCTCCAGTGCTTTCGAGGCGATAAACTCTGCCTGGATCCGCTTCTGATTCTGCAGATGGATTTCAGCAACGGACGCCTTAGCTTTCTCCCTGACAGAGTCAATGTTAGTCTGGAAATCGACAGCTTTAGTACGGATGCTATGCAGAATCGTGCCTTCAGCATCGAGTTCCATCATCTTCTTAAGCTTGCTTTTCGCCTTAAGCAGCTTCTTGAAATCGTCCCGGAAATCTCTCACTGCTTCCGCAAGCCATTCCTTGAAAGGATTCTGGATGGGAGTCGCACCAGTGGATTCCGCCATGACGGTAGGACGAATTCGCAAAGGTCCAGCGGGAGGATCACGCGGTTGCTCACTTTGAGGCGCCTCAAAATGCACCTCAGGGCTCACAGCCAAGTGGTTGACGTTCACGAGTGAAGTGGCATTCATTCGTGTAGCTGCTGTGACTGGAGAGAGGGGAAGGGGACGAGAGGCCTCACAGAGAACTGATCGGCGTCCACGGGTGCATCCTCGCACTGCCCCGCTGCAAACTGCCATCGGTTGAACTCCCCCCGGAACCCCCGCCCAATGCTGCACGCCCTGCAGGCACGCAGCAGTGCGCAGTGGGGGTCAGGCAACAAGCAGCAGGGAAGAGGACGGAGGGCAGAGAGGGAGACACGCGGTGGCAGGTGAACCGTGAACCGTGAACACAAAGCGGGGCAGGGCAGGCAAGTTGGTGGACGAACGTGGGCAGGCAGGTGAGAGGGGAAGGGAGCTGGGCGTACGAATGGACATGCATTGTGAAGCGGTGGACTTACCCGATGCCTCCTAGAGGGACCCTGTGGCATGCTGTTGGCTGTGTTTCAAGCGAGAAAGGGTCGATCACTGGCACCTGCAGGGCCATGGGCGTGGGGGGGGATGCATGGGGATTGGGAATGGGCATGGCTTTGCATTGGCATGCATGAGGACGAGGCGAGTGAGTGCGTGTTGCTGGGAGGTGGCTGGGAGGTGACACGGCACTGACGAAACAAGAGCAAATCACGTCCCATGCCAGAGCATGATGGGGGGAAAGCAAGGAGGAGGGGTTGGAGAGGAACTCACTTGTTGACGGAGGCTCGATATGTGACTGTTTGAGACAAGATGCATCCTGCATTCATTCACATAGCACGCCTGATTCGCCACTCACACCAACAGCAACCCCCACCACCACATCACCCACAGCAGCACACGCAGCACGCACGTTGCGCAGGGCCTCAGAGAAGGTGGCGGGGACTCCTCCTTGGGCTCATGGCATGCACTGCCTCTACACAACCCCGTGCATGCATGCACACCCGTCGCATCACAAGCTCTCCATACAGCATCCCACCAATCACAGTACCAAGCATCAAGCACGACAGCACGCACGTTGCGCAGCGCCTCAGTCAAGGTGACGGAGAACTCCTTGAGGGGCGCCGCATGCAATGACTACACACAGAACTGCATGCATGCACATGCATTCTCATGCACCACCCACAGCACCACAAGCAGCACCACAGCACCACACGCAGCACCACACGCAGCACCACACGCAGCACCACACGCAGCACCACACGCAGCACCACACGCAGCACCACCCACAGCATCAAGCACACAGCACGCACGTTGCGCAGGGCCTCAGAGAACTCCTTGAGCGGCGCCGCATGCGCGTCCAGAGGGCGCACCCACGCCACCTCGGGCGGCGCTGCTGCTGTCCCCGCCAGCTGCGGGTGCGGAGAGTGGGGGGGTTAACGGCAGGGCATTGGAGTGGGAAAGGAGTGGCCGGGGACGGGGCGAGGAGCCGGGCAATGGAGGCGGGAGGAGTGGGTGGGGAGAGCGGAGAGAGATGCAAGTGAGGATCTGAGAAGTGGGAGTGGAGGAGTGGACTAATAGGGGACAGAGCCAGGTGACATGTGGGAGGGTGTGTTGTGACACTAATGGGGAGAGGGGGATAACGGAGAGGGACACGAACGATCAATGGAGAAGGGACGTGCAAGGGCTGATCGAGGCTAGGGCTGATCTAAATGCGAGTACGGGTGCCATGTCAGCGGCTGTGTGGTACCAGAGAAGCTCCGGGGAAGCGGGAGAACGTGACTGACGATCGCAGCTTCATCCCTTGATTGTCCGGGGAACACTCCCCCGCCGCAACTGCTGCTGCTGCTGCTGCTGCTGTGGGGGAGTCGGGTGAGGCACCGCAGGCCCACCCGGCGCTACTGCAGATGGCGGACAGCATGTTGCCGTTGCAGAACCTGGGGGGAGCGGCAGGGGTTTTAAAGCACCGTCAGAATCTGGCAGAGAGAATGCTGGCGCTGCAGAGCCTAGGAGGAGCACCGTTGAAGATCAGTCAACGCCATATGGGGAACGGATGCACGCGCGAACAAGGAAAGAGGTCGTTTCTAATGTTCCGCCTTGCATGCCAGAAATATGACGTAGATGGAGAGAACAAGTCGCTATAGCTGTGCACCTCGTAAGCGTCGTATGAGACATCCAAGCCTCCTTTATAAAAAAGCCAGCAAAGTCTACATTCTTTGAACCATTCTCGTCAGGCACCCCCTTACATTGTAACAGGTTGAAGTCAACACCAAGACGCCGACGGGAAATCGCTGTGAGCCGTTGATCTAATGGGCATCACTGATGGCACACTCGTAGTGCCAGGCCGGCAACAACTGCTGCTGGCGCTAACTGTTCAATGATGCAATACGATATGATTCGAATGCGATGCAGACGTCAGACTCAGCGATACGGAGCGAGCATCACGCATCAACGCAAGGTAAACAACCTCGGAATCTCTTGATCGTTTCTCGGCGAATTATGCCTCGCATTCATGATGGGAAGAAAACATAACATTAGCCAGTAGTGAACTTCATGGTTTCCTAAACTAAGAATTCGTAACCGCACACTTCTACCGCAAATCACGCTTGGTACCTAGTTTCCGCCTTCTGTTAAGAATACCGTCAGGAACAGCACGAGCAGGACGTTCTAGATTCGTGACCTGCCAAAAACTAAGGGAGTAAAAGTGAAGTGCTACGCTTCGTGAATGATGATCAGTTACGGTTTCGGCCATGCCCTTCTGGCCATGAACAAATCACCCACCCCAAATCAAGCCCCCGCTGCCATCATTGTCAGACTGGCGGGAAACGCAAATCTTCGTCGTAGCCTAGCTCGACTGAAGTTTTTTACTGACAGAATTGGGTAACCACAATCAGGACACCATGAAGTTCACTACTGGCTAATGTTATGTTTTCAGTCAGCAGTGAGGCAGCAGTGATAAATGCTTAACTTTTAAATCGTTTCAGATGCTTTCAGCTTCCAAATTCGATGCATAACAGTATACATTCAAGTATCAATATATACAAAATGCTACAAAAGATCAACTTGCCCTAAAGCATGTTCTTTAAATACAAGATACCTGCAGATAACAAAAGAGAGCGTTAGTATCCAGGCAGAGGTACAAGCAGTTGAACTTAAGCAACCAAAACGACTTACATGGATACACAGTCTTGGCCTGGAATACAAGATGCCTGCAGAGTACAGAACAAAGCGTTAGTATCCAGGCAGAGGTATAAGCAGTTAAACTGAAGCAACCAAAACGACTCACATGTATACACTGTCTTGGCTCGGAAAGAGTGGCTGCAGGAGGCATGGCAATTGGCTGCTGAAGGCACCCTCAGAGTCGCTAAACCCAAGGCATGCGGGAGCCCATTTTCACAGACTGAATCTGCCGATACAAAGCTGCTGCAGTCAGCTCTGTATGACAGAATCAGTCTGCTACATGGCCCGGATCCGAGTCTTTAGACAACCCCAAGGGTCCCTCAGCACCATGCTTTGCCTCCCATGCCTTCAGGTTACCTGCACAACAAGAAGAGAGAAGGAACAGTTAGTAAATGTTATACACCACACAAACTAGATGCTGGAAATTGAAACTCACCTTGAAGGCCTTGAATCTTAACTTGATTATTCCCATGAAAGCTTGAAACTTGGGACTTCATAGACTGTTGACCATCTTCAGTGAAGTGTCTGTTGACATGTTGAAACCCCTGCAGGAAGAAAAGCGGAATGTTAGTGTGTGTGCCACAAAGTAAAACTGCCAAAAGATTTATATGTTACCTTGTAAGAAAAGCTTGAACGTTGGAACTTCAGATAAAAGACTCTCTTGGCCATCTTCATTGGAATCACCGCTGACATGTTGAAGCTCCTGCAGGAAGAAAAGCAGAATGTTAGTGAGTGTACCACACAAGAAAACTGTCAAAAGGACTAGAACTTACCTTGAGAAGCTTCAGTCTTGGGGCTTGAAATAATTGACTTCCAAACGTCTTTGAACATTGAAGGCCTTCAGTGTTGAGGTACCTGCAAAGCGAGAGAAGGAAAAGGAGAGGGGTGTATGAGTAATGGTGGCAGAAGGTGGTCCAGAAAGGCAAGTGTATGCATGCATGATGGGTGGAAGATGCAGTAGCATGGATGCAAGGATGCTCACCACTACAGCCACAAGAGCCATATACCAGAATACCTTAAGGGACCTGAAGGACTCACCAGAAAAGAGTACCTTAAAAAAATACCAGGGAAGGCTCAAGTGGTGGTAGAGGAGTGCTCAAGCATCATGCCATGCAATGCAAGGCGAAAATGTAATTATGATGGCGGAAAGAGCAGAAACATGATTAACAGGAAACAAATAAAGAGAAGCCAAGTTCGAGTGGTACTTAGCTTTTCAACTGAGGTGTTGACGTTGTGCAGATTTGGCCTCTGGACTCAGACACGAGCTGAAGACATGTGCAGTGTTGGCTCCACGGCTTGCATGTTGACTGTTAAGCGCCTTGGTGCCAGTAAAAAGAGGGAGAAGGGGGAGTAAGTACTGGAAGGTCCAAACAAGAGAGGCAAGCATGCGTGTGCATGATGATTGGCATGATTGAATTTGCATTACACATCAAGAGCGCTTATCACAACATACCACAGGAGCCAAGTACCAGAAAAAATACCAGAGGGATTACCTAGGGTCTCACCAGAAAAGGGTTACCTTAAAAAAAAAATACCAGGGGGAATGGAACATGCAGCAGTTGTGATAAGCGCCGATAAAACATGAAACCAATGTCATGACCACGATGAACGGAAATGATAATTAGCGTAGAAAGGGGGGAAGAAGTACTTATCTGTACGTGGGGTTGCTTGTCTTGAGCGTTGATTCGAATCTCGGCTTGGAAGTTGCCTTGAAGACTTGACTTGAGGAGCGCTGGCTTGTAGTGCTGATCCTCTTGATCTTCGATCCTTACATCCCTTGGCTGCTCCCAGATGATTGAAGGAAGACCTGAACGCATTAGAACAAAAATAAAACAGCAAAGTCAGTTTCAAGTGACAGTGGGATGCCATAAAGACAAAAGCGGTAAAGTTGTGTGTGGGGATATCGGGAATGTTTTCCAGCCGAAGCAACCGCACTGCAAAGCTCTGACGGACCGACGCGCTTGACTTAGCGACGCTGACGCTAGACCGACCTAAAGAGGCTAAACCAGACCTAGGGTAGGAGACAGGGAGCTCTACAGGCGGCGCTTTGGCTGGAAAACAGATTTAACAGCACGAACAAAAAGCTGGAAATATGAAAAGAACTTCGACAGCACTTAGCTGCAAAGGTCGACAGCGGGCTGGTGAAAAGCTAGATGGCGAAATCGACGCTCAGCACGATGCCCGATGCCCGTGCACGTTGCAGCTTGAAGCGATTGAAGCTCTCCCCAAGGAGAGAGAATGACCTGTTGTCTATATATCCGAGGCTAACCACGGATTGAGAGCAAGCAATGAGCAATTTCCACACGGAACCTACACGGTTTCGAGCCGCGAAGCAAAGCGATGAACAATTTCCACACGAAATGTCCATTGTTTCAAGCCGCGTTGGAGCTGGCGGTAAACAAACGGCTGTTTGGTGGTTCAGATTCGCGGTGGGCCTTGTGCGATTAGTGAAAAATGAGGGAGGGAGCGGCTGAGGCAGAGGAGGTGTAAGTGAAATTTGGATCTGGTGGGTGGGAGCGGCTATGCAAGGACGGTGGGGTGGGAGCTAAGGTTTCAGGATGGGATGGGGCGATGCTGAGCCGAGATGACTGACCTTGGAGGTTGGTGTTCAGTGCGCTTCACGAAGCACGGGATTTTGCCGGTTTCACTGTTTCGCACTAGCAAAACATTCTTCGCGAGCTGATTGGTGATGAAATTTGAACCACTAATGAAGCATGATGCCATCGTAGGGTGTTTGCTTCCATTCCATGGATATCCACGCGAAATATGGCAAGCTGGTTTGGTTGGCACGGCGCGCGGGGCGAAGCGCACTGTGCAGCGCGGAGCGGAGTGCAGAGCGCCGCAAGTATCACCCCGAATGGCGCGTGGGGCGAAACGCAGTCTGCGCGGAGCGGGGTCTACCGTCCACTGCGCCGCAAGGTATCGGGTAATATCGAAGCAGTTGAGCATGTCGTCAAATCCCTTATGTGTACCCCACAGCACACCTCTAAACAATGAAAAGCACACTAGGGAACAACCAATCTCTTTATCAATCTATAGCTCACTTAAAATGTTATAATGGTCTCCAAGTGTGACCACAATTCCATGCAGTCAAAACTGCTTGTTTGTTCTTTTTTTTTATTACCCAAATCGAGCACTATGCAGAAGGACATTTCAAAAAAGTTCACACACAGTGCATGTGTGGTTCACCCATAAGCCAAATATTGTACCAGTTATGAACAGTGATTGTGGTAATTAAAACATGGATTTGTCACGTCTGAATGATAATAACGAATCGCTGGGATGGGACCAGTTCTGGAGAAATTTTCTGATGGGGCGGAATGACGCACTGAAAGCTAATACTAGGATTGTATCATAGCATCCTAAGAGATGGGCCCGGAAATAGCGATAGAGGACGACAACGGACTCGTTACGACGGTGCGCAAGCGGAGATCCCAAAACAAGGATTCCGAGCGCCTCGTCGACGACACCGAGCCACCGAAGCACGAGGATCGGCGGAATGCGGTACTGCTGGATGAAACGGCGGGTTCAGCGGAGGCGTTTAAGCGCGCAACTCGCAGGGTTCCAGTGGCGTTTCAGCGGAGGGCGACTGCTGCGCTGCGCGCCGTGCTGCCAGGCGGGAGCTGGTGGGACCTGCGGAAGCTGTCTGGGGGGAAGGCAGCACGCGGGAAAGAGGGCAGTGAGGATAGCACTGGGAGTGAGAGCGGGACCGGGGGTGGGGATTCGGCGGGCGAGCTGTGGGACGCCATTCGCAAGCTCTGGCGGTTCTGCGCGCCCAACAGGACCATGCTCGTCCTCGCCTCAACCTGCCTCGCCCTCGCCGCCGTCGGTCCTGCTTCCTTGCTCTTCCCCTTCCTGACTTCCCCTCTCCTCCCCTCACTTACCCTCTTTTCCACTTCCCCTCTCCTCCCTTCCCCTTCCCCCCCCTCCGTCTCCCCTCCCAGTCTTCAAAATGACCCCCTTCTCCCCTTTCGCCCTCCTCTCCTTCCCTCTCCTCTCTGCGCTCCACCAGCTATCAGAGGTGGCCATGCCGCACTACCTAGCAGCGGCCGTATTCGCCGCGTCAAACGGGCTCACAGACGAGTTCAACAGCAACGTGCGCCTCCTCATCGCCATGACTCTCGCCTGCGGCCTCTTCAGGTGCGTACCATGTTCTGGTGGTTGCCGTTTTCATTGGATTGCCGTGTTCAGGTGTGTGCGAGTGTTAGTGCGTGCGTGCGTGTTCTAACCATGCCCTGACGTTACCTGCTCTCTCATGTGCGCGTCTTGCCTTGAAACGCAGTGGTCTAAGGGCCGCCCTTTTCACCATCTTCAACGTCCAAATGGTCAGTGGGTGTCCAAATGGTGACTCCACGCACTTGCACCTGCGCCTACCTTTTCACCAGCTCCCCTGTCCCGAGTTACACACTCTTATTTTGACAATTTTCATGCTCTCGCTCTCACTCTCTCGCATGGCCACATCCTCGAAATATTTCCTCACTCAATCTGCTTCGCCTCCTTTCATCATCTCCCTCCCATTTTCCGTTTTCTGCTGCCGCTTCTGTCCAGATGCGGCGAATGCGGCTGGCGCTATACGAGACGCTGATCCGGCAGGACATTGCCTTCTTTGACGGCCAGTCGGTGGGCGACCTCACGTCCCACCTCGGCTCCGACTGCCAGGCAGCGGGGTACACCATGGGCAGCGACCTCAACATCGTGCTGCGCCACTCGCTGCTGGTGAGGCTGCTAGAGTGAGGCAGGGCATGGGGTACTGGAAATGAGAGTTTAGGTAGTGGTGGCTCATGGGTTAGTGAGTGCGCTCGGCTCCAACTGCCAGGCAGCGTGGTACACGATGGGCAGCGACCTCAACATCGTGCTGCGCCACTCGCTGCTGGTGGGTGTTGGGAAGGAAGCGATGGGTTGGTGAATGAGAAAGGGGGTGGCGAATGGGAGGAACGGGGTGGAGTATGCTGGGAACCCCATTTGAATGCCTGTTGCATTTCTCATGCCACCGCATGCCCTCATATTCCTTCACCATGCCATTTCCCAAACCCCACCCCATCATGGCCGATCAGGGCTTACGGGCATCTCTGGCCCTTATACCCCTTCCATTGTTTCCTTTGCCCCATCCCCCATCCCCCATTCCACATCCCCCATCCACCATTCCCCAACCTTATCCGTCACAACACGTGTGTGGGCAGGGCATAGGAACGTTTGTCTTCCTTCTTCGTCAGAGCTGGCAGATGGCCCTTATGACCGCTGCCCTCTGTGGCATCATGTGGTATCTGCTCGTCATCTACGGCGAGTACGTGTGACTGACAGGCATATGCGGTTCTCATACCAGATGTCTTGTACTGTGCTCTCTACAGCTGCCCTCTGTGGAGTCATGTGGTATCTGCTCGTGGTCTACGGAAAGTGCGTGTCACTGACACGCATATGCTTCACTCCGCTGCCAAACATCTCCTGTTCTGCTCTCTACTCTTTGAATCTCTTTAGCTTCTGCACAGTAATTGCCTTCCTTCCGTGTTTCCTTGCCTCCCTTCTGCCCTGCTCTCTGTGTGTCTCACCATCCAGCTTCTCCCGGCTGAGCTCCATGGTCCTACAGGACAATGAGGCCGCAGCCAATGAGGTGCGCCCGCCTCCTAGTGACCCAATTTCTGCGTGACTCAATATCTGGTTGGCTCTTTATTTGGTGACTCATGGTTAGCGTGATCCAAGCTTTGTATTTAATTTTCGAGCCCCTACCTCATACTGTTAGTGATGTTTTCTTCCTTGTATTCCTCATGGTAACCACACCCATCGATATCAAATCACACCCATCGTTTCCCATCCAAACCCATTCATACCCATCCACACCCACCCACACCCACCCACACCCACCCACACCCATCCGCACCACCAATGGCCCCACTTCCCAGGTAGCGGAGGAGACTATGTCTCTTGTTCGAGTGGTGCGGACGTTTGGCACAGAAAGCGAGGAGGTGAAGAGGTGAGGTGGAGGTAGAGGAGGTGAAGTTGTGAGTTGGAGGGAGAGGAGGTGAGTTGTGAGTTGGAGGGAGAGGGGGTGAAGTTGTGAGTTGGAGGGAGAGGGGGTGAAGTTGTGAGTTGGAGGGAGAGGAGGTGAGTTGTGAGTTGGAGGGAGAGGGGGTGAAGTTGTGAGTTGGAGGGAGAGGGGGTGAAGTTGTGAGGTGGAGGGGGAGGAGGTGAAGTTGTGAGGTAGAGGGGGAGGAGGTGAAGTTGTGAGGTGGAGGGGGAGGAGGCTGTTAGGCGGCGAGTGAGGCTGTCCTGTTTCTATACCGTAGGTCCCTCATCTCCTGCATTTTGTTCCATCTCATTCCAACCACTCCATTCACTGGTCGCTTAAACTGCATGCCCTGTTCCATTCATTTTCTCAAACTCTATGCAAATGCGTTTGTGACACATGCTTTGCCTTGCCTTGCCTTGCCTTGCCGTGCCGTGCCTTGCCAGGTATGACGAGCCTCTCAAGAGGCTGGTAGAGGTGGGGATGCGGCGGAGTGTGGCGAATGGGTTGTGGACATGCGCTGACACCATTGTCTATAACACCTCCATGGTACATGCTGGTGCGGGTGCATGGTTCTGCAGGTGCATGGTTCTGCAGGTGCATGGTTCTGCAGGTGCATGGTTCTGCAGGTGCATGGTTCTGCAGGTGCATGGTTCTGCAGGTGCATGGTTCTGCAGGTGCATGGTTCTGCAGGTGCATGGTTCTGCAGGTGCATGGTTCTGCAGGTGCATGGTTCTGCAGGTGCATGGTTCTGCAGGTGCATGGTTCTGCAGGTGCATGGTTCTGCAGGTGCATGGTTCTGCAGGTGCATGGTTCTGCAGGTGCATGGTTCTGCAGGTGCATGGTTCTGCAGGTGCATGGTTCTGCAGGTGCATGGTTCTGCAGGTGCATGGTTCTGCAGGTGCATGGTTCTGCAGGTGCATGGTTCTGCAGGTGCATGGTTCTGCAGGTGCATGGCCCATGCCACACAATGATGCATTCCTCGTGGCAGTGCATGTGGGGCGCTAGTCGCACAATGGCTGGTTGAGTCGACTCAAAAGCTTCCATCCCGCTCCCTGCCCCCCAGGTGGCAGTAGTCATAATGGTGGGCGGGGCACTGATGACAAATAGGATACAGTTCGTGATGTACGCTGACTGGATGGCATACAACATGTGGTGCGCTGACGAGCGCTGTGACTGGGCCACTCTAGTTTTGATTGAGACGTCTCAACATTCTCTCCCCACCCTGCAGGTGGCAGTGGTGACAATGGCGGGCGGGGCACTAATGACAGGGCGCATAACAGCGGAGCAGGTGACACAGTTTGTGATGTATGCGGACTGGATGGCCTACAACATGTGGTGCGCGGGCGACCACTGGGCCACCCTCATGGACTCCATCGGCGCCTGCCACCGCGTGTTCCAGCTGCTCGACCTGCCGCACCCAGAGCAGCTCAATAAGGGGCACGGTGAGTGGGAGGACGCACAGAGAGAGGAGAGTGCTGCATGGCTGGGGTGGGCAACCACTGGGCCACCCTCATGGACTCCATTGGTGCCTGCCACCGCGTGTTCCAACTGCTGGACCTGCCGCATCCGGAGCAGCTGTCACAGGGGCATGGTGAGTGGGAGTGCGCAGGGAGAGGAGTGCGCAGCATGGCTATGGCAGGCGAGCATTGGGCCACCCTCATGGACTCCATTGGTGCCTGCCACCGCGTGTTCCAACTGCTGGACCTGCCGCATCCGGAGCAGCTGTCACAGGGGCATGGTGAGTGGGAGTGCGCAGGGAGAGGAGTGCGCAGCATGGCTATGGCAGGCGAGCATTGGGCCACCCTCATGGACTCCATTGGTGCCTGCCACCGCGTGTTCCAACTGCTCGACCTGCCAAATCCGGAGCAGCTTACTCAGGGAGCTGGTGAGTGGGAGGGTGAACGCAGGGCCATGGTGAGTGAAGAAAATCGCAGGGACTCACATGTTTGTGAATCGCTCTTGTTGCTCGCACGCTCATATATGTGCGTGAATTACTGCAAGCTGCTGTGCTTCACGTCCTCCCTGCCTCACTTGCCGCTTCCCTGTCCTCTTCTAGGCCGTGTGCTGCCATCCCTGATGGGCAAGCTGGAGTTCCTCAATCTCTCCTTCCGCTACCCCACCCGCCCTGAGGTAACCTGGAAAAGTATCTGTTGTGCATGATTTACCAGCTTCCCTGTCTCTAAACTTTAAGAGTTGAAACTGCCTTGAAGTCCGTCGCACCTGAGGCATGGGGAGAGCCGACTCGCCTCACTCCTCTCTTTCCCTTGCCCCCCCTTCTCCCCCTCTCTGCAGGCTCTTGTGCTGGAGGGTATCAACCTGACCATCCGGGCGGGCGAGCTGGTGGCACTGGTGGGGCACAACGGCAGTGGCAAGAGCACCCTCCTCAGGCTGCTGCAGCGCCTCTACGAGCCCACGGAGGGGCAGGTGAGAGGGGCAGGTGGGAGGAGCAGGTGAGGAGGGAGGTTAGTTGCATGCATGTGCTTGTCTTTTGAGGTGTGCTTATGCTTCATATCTGTTTCCTGTTTCATATCTGAGGTGTGCTTGTGCTTGTTTCCGCAGGTGCTTATAGACGACGTGCCTCTACCAGAGATTGACATCGCATGGCTGAGAAGCCACATTGGGGTCGTCAGCCAGGTGAGCTCGCCTCTCCCCTCGCTCTCTCTCTAATCCCAGCCAGGTGAGCTCGCCTCTCCCCTCACTCTCTCTCTAATCCCAGCCAGGTGAGCTCGCCTCTCCCCTCACTCTCTTTCTAATCCCCTCCCAGTATCGCCTCTCCCCTCACTCTCCTGCCTGCACGCTATCCCAATCCATCCCAGTCCATTCCAATTCATGCCATTCCATTCGAATCCATCCCATTTCATCCCAATCCGTCAAGCCCCACTCACCTGCCCCTCCCATCATGCTTGTTCTACCCACCACCCTCCACACACACTCAGCACGGCCCACCACCCTCCACACACACCCCATGTATGGCCAAAGGTCCAAGCGCATAATGGTTTACCTCCTGTACACATGCGCATGTGAGCCGTTCACACATGAGTAGTACCAACACTCCCACACTCTCCTCATTCCGCACCCTCTTATTCCGTATACACCCACCCAGGAGCCTCTTCTGTTCAGCAGAGATGTGGCATCCAACATTGCATACGGAAGCAACCAGAAAGTTTCCTGGGAAGACATTATCCGGGCAGCGACGCAGGCCAACGCGCACCAATTTATTTCCGAGCTGCCCGAGGGCTACGACACAGTGGTGGACAACGCCCGGCTGAGCGGCGGGCAGAAGCAAAGAATAGCAATTGCCCGGGCTTTGGTGCGCGACCCCACGCTGCTGTTCCTGGATGAGGCCACGAGTGCCCTGGATGCTGAGAGCGAGCACTACGTGCAGGTGAAGGGGGAGGGGGGGTGAGGGGGTGAAGGGTTGTAGGGGGAAGAAGGGGCACTATGTGTAGATCACAAGAGAGACGGGAGAGTGCACGAGCACTGGATTGGAGAATGACTCTCGGAGTATGAATGTTGGACTAAGCGTCTGTTGTCCCTTCACCCCTTGCTGTCCCTTCATTCCCCCAAGCTGCTGCTTCCAGGAACCGTTGCTGCTGCTCTCCCAGTCTGTTTGCATGTATCTGCTTTAGTTCTTACTCTCATGTGTGTTCATGAGCAGATGGCATTGAACCAAGTCATTCATGACAACTCCCATGCAAGTGGGGGCAGAAGTCGAACCAGAGTCGTCATTGCACATCGGTATGTTGTAACGAGCCAGGTAGACTTTCCTCTCCTCTCCAGCAATTAGTTCTCACCCGGTGCAAGCTTGTCATCGTGCCATGCACCTCAACACATGCTACCCACTTCTACTTTTAAGTTCGCTGCTCTTTCTCTCTTTCTCCTCGTCCATGACATCTCTCTCTCTACCCATTACCAGGTTATCCACCATCCGTTCTGCTGATAGAATAGTGGTTGTGTCTCACGGGAAGATCATCGAGGTGAGTGGTGCACCTCTTTATTCGTCCAGTGCATTTGTCCGGCCGATCGGGAAGCCCGGCCCATTTGTCCAGCCGACCAACTTTGCTAATTGGCATAATCGTACTTCCTGGTTCATGCTCGCAGGTTGGCACACATGAGCAGCTGATGGAGCGAAAGGGGGCGTACATGGAATTGCACTCGCGCCGAAATGAAGCCCTTGCGGCCCAATGAATGCAAACTTGCGATCCGTGTTTCCACCATCTTGTGGTTTGAGCAACTTGGAGTCAGGGATCCAATTTGGCTTACCGTATGTCGCTGACCTGGTGGAAAGGTTGGGGTAGTGTAGTGCAATTGTATAACATATATATTTTGTTATCAAGTTATTGCAGCTACATATCTTTATCCCTATATGTTGTATTGTAGCCCTTGTTTAGAACTTTGTTCCGGCTCCATCATTAGAAGATGCAATTTGAAAGGGTGTTTGTGTCACATTTTCCATATGAAGCATCTGCCTGAGCCAGTCCGTATGCATTACAGAAACTTAGAATGTAAGTGTTCAATCAGCAAGGTACCTGTTAGCGGAGACGATTCTCGAGTTCTGTTGCTCCAAAGCTGGATTGTTGCTGTGAATTTGCTGGCTTCACAAAGCTTTGCAGGAACCACGACGAGCAATGGTAGGAGCTTTGTACAGAAGCTAGTCCCGTTTCGCGTTCGCTCCATTCGTTTGTTAGCTTTCGTGCCAACTGACGTGCGGTTTCTGTGAATAAATTGTCGCTTCTTTCGATCAGGATCCAAGCATGTCCCTCCCGCATCTTGAGGCTCCTCGTGATGTTTTGCGATCTGGTCTCCATCAGCTCCGCGACGAAGTGTCTTTTGCTCATCCAGTAGAAGAAATTCAGAGACAGGTGTGTGATATGTTTGACTCTGTGTCTTATCGTGAGCATCAGTGTCCACGTATACCCTTCGCTCACGCTCTCCGCCTCCCTGTGGTCCATCGACCCACTTATGGTTACCTTTAATAATTGCACACCAGTGTCAGGTTAGAAGAGAACTTTCGTTATTGTAGCAATCATGGCGGTATGGCGTACTGGTTCGTCGACTTGTTTCCTTGATTTTTTTGGTTTTCAATTCGAGTTTGCCGTGTAGGGACCTTTCGAAACTTGTGGCTAGGTTATGAGAGCTTCCCTGACAATTTTTAGTAATTATTTGTCCTCTTTTTTCAGAGAAGGAAGGAGCCTGAGGGAACCGTTGACATGAACTTGGGTAGGGTCTATGGTTCAGCTTTCCCTGCTCAGCTGCACATGGAACGACAAATACTTTCCAAGTAAGGTTGATCAATGTCCAGATCGTTTGTCCCGGCTTTGAATCGTTACGGCTGTTGCTGTTGGTGCTTTGTCGCTGGCAACATGGTAATGGCTTCTCTGTACTGAATCTTATGCTCTTCTACTTCTATTTTCTCAGATTCAGGAGGTTGCCTGGTCTGCCGTCATCTCTCCTGGGCCTGCATTCAATGATGGGTACACTTGATGAGCTTGCAGTGGAGGATGTGGTTGGTAAGTGGCCTGTAGTGCATTCTCTTGACCTGATACAGTCTGTGTAGCTTATGTAAGCCATCCCGTGGTTGACATTTCATGAATTATGACCTCAGTTTGCGTTGCTGATGCTGTTTTCCTCATGATTTTGCAGGATACGGAGATAAGGTGGAAATTCCCCGTGTGGACTTGCATGAGATAATGGAATACAAGCTTGGCTTGTAGCAGCTCCTCCTAGATCATACTTGCGTTTGCAGAAGACAATTGAAAATATGGAACTACTGAATTTTATGCTGTTCTGATCTCCTTCACACAAGCATGTAGCTGTACAGTTCAATCGAGTTCTCGGCGTGTGCCGCGCCAGTACTCATTTGGCTTCACTTTTGAGTTGAAGGGCTATTGGTCGGTTGCGCCAGTCTCCGTGCGCCCTTCCGCCATGATCATTGACAACCGCTACGGGGACGCAACTGCAACAGAAACAATTCCCTAGGCCGCTCCTCTCCGCTCCACCCACCCAACCTAGCCCAACACCATCTGGGCAGGTCACTTTGCCCTGTCACTCGACAAAACACCACCACTCCGTCCGTACGGTACTGTACTTGTCGGGTGTGTGTCTGTGGTGTTGCTGGCCTTGGGCTTGACGAAATAGTTCGCAGAGTGTCGCAGAGTTCCTTACTGATCAATTCTTGAAAGAAGTCGTTGGACGTTCGCAGGCTCTGTCTTAGACTTCTAACCGTGAGGTCCGAGGGAGGTTAGCTGACACGCTTATCGACGTCAGTTGCGGGACGGTGTCAGGGGGAAGCGAATGTTGACGGTGTCAGTGACAAAAGTACATTTCTTCCTCGCGTCAACATTTCGGCGTTCTCGATGAAAGCGCAGGTCGTTACAAAGTAACCCTACTTCAATTGAGAAAGTCAAGCGTCTTTGACGTGCCGTCATGGCTTTCGACAGCATGGTTGTTCAAAAATGCCTCTGTCTCGGCATCAGCACGCCTGCTGAGAGCTGATAGTACTCGTTCTACTACTAGTAGCAGCCACGGCGGTTTGGTGCCGTGCCTGAAGCCAGCAGCGGCATGGACTCACGGCACCAACCAACCAGAGCGAACGATCCAGGCGAACGGCTCTTGCCACGTGACGTCGCCGAAGCGGCCGTCATCAGTATCGACCAATCGCCGCAGGCGGACCTTGCGCGGGTGAGCCAAGGCGCACTGACCGGCCTCCCCGTGCTGGCCTCGTTCCGCGCGGAAGACTGGGACCTGGAGCAGGGGGAACCGCGCGAGGCGCAGGGCGCAAGCGGGGAAGAACCTGCGGGGGATCGGTCAGGCGCTGTAGCAGGCGTCGGCAATTCAGGCAGCCTTGGGATTGACGCGCTTCCAGCAGCAGCGAGAGCAGGCTCGGATGCCGCCCGGGGAAGGGAAGAAGTCAACGAGGGGAGCAGAGAAGACGGTCGCGAGAGGAGACTGGAGGCCGAAGAGGAGATTCCCGGGGCGAGTAGAGGACGAGGCAATAACAAAGAGCACTCGTCCAGTGATGACGAAGGGAGCAGTTCAGGGGAGGACGACGGCGAGACAAGCCATTCCGACTCAGACACCTCAGACCCCTCGTGCACATCAGACCCAGCCTCCACATGCTCTTCCGAGGCCATCATAGCATGCTTCGTGCATGGACCCGACCGGCCGCTGTGGCCCTTCTGCGTGGACGCGCGGCGGCTGTGGTGGTACTGGCGCGCGCTGCTGCTGCTGCTGGTGGCGCTGGTGCTGTACGGCGCGTCGCTGGGCATGGCATGGCTGGGCAAGATTGGGGATGCGCTGCTCGTGCCCTGCCCCGTCTGGCCCACCTCTGGCCTCGCGCTCTACGCTGTGCTCGTGAGCCTAGCTATCCCAATTCCGTCAACCCTATGCGTGCACCAAGACCTTGCAAACCTATTTCTTTCTGCAGCCCCATCCTGCCCGGCAGCCCTACTTCTTGAAACCCTATCATTGCGTGCTCCTGGTGTTTCAGAATTGCGTTTCCTTTTCCTCCACGAGCCGATCCTTCCACTCCATCCCGCCCCCCCACCCATTAGGTGTTCGGCATGGGCACATGGCCGGGCATATTCCTGGGCGGCGCACTCCTCGTGTACACCGGATCCGCATGGCACCTCTCTGAACACCTCTCCACCGTGCAGATCGTCCTCGCATCCCTCACCATCGCTGCATTCCTCACAGCCTCCGTGCTCTGCCTCTCCTTCTTCCTCACACGCGTGCTGCACCGCCTACGCCCCCACGACCTCACCCCTCTGGACCGAGTCAAAGACATTTTTCTCTTCGCGCTCTTCTCCTTCCTGGTCTCTTTGCTGTTTGAAGGCGTCGTCGCCGTCGTAGTCAGCGCGTGGGATGCCAACCTGGCAGGTGACAGCGTGGCAGTGGCAGCAGGGCTAAGAACGCTAGGGTCGTTCACGGGGATCATGCTGACGGTGCCACTGCTCCTGCAGCTCACCGCTTCCTGCCTGTGCTGCTGTGCCCGGCAGCATGGGCAGGATAGGAAGGAGGGGAAAGAGGAGCAGGAGCAGGAGGGCAAGGAGGAGACGCCTGGGCAGGAGGGGAAGCTGGGGCAGGAGCGGCAGGAGGAGGGGATGAGCGTCGCTGAATCACCCCGGTCCGAAGCAGAGTCTCACTATGCATCTGCCACGCGCCTCCAGCCACCCCTGGGCGAGCAGCACGGGCGACGGCCTGTAAACCTGGCAGTAGTAGGTGTGGGGAGCGAGGTAGACTTGGAGTCTGTGGGGGATACGGTAGGCAGCAGCGCAAGGCTCCACACACCCCCTTCCTTCCGCACTCTGCCCTTCCCCTCCCACCTCCCCTCCCACCCCCCCCACTCCAACCCCAACTATTTATCCATCCGCCGCCCCATCCATTACCACCTGAAAAAACTCCTGAAAAGCCCCCTGGTGGTCAGCATCCGGGACTCCCTTGTCTCCCTGCGCTTCTGGGAGTTCATCTTTCTGCTGCTGCTCAATGCTGCCACGGCCTGCCTCATCTTCTCCACCCCTGCAGCCCCCACTTCCTCCTCCTCCACCACTGCTGTCCCTGCTGCTACTACTGCCACTGCTGCTCTCCCCTACCTGCTCTTCCCGGGGGTACTCTGGGCTTGCATTCGCTTCCACCGCAAGGGCTCCGGGCTCGTACTCATTATAGTCGTCCTCATTGTATGCTTCTGCACGGCGCAGGGGCGTGGGCCGCTGGTGAGGGAGACGGCGAGTGGGACGGTGCTGCAGGTGCAGGTACTGGTGCTGGTGCTGAGCTTGGGCGCTGTACTGCTGGCGGCTGCTGTGAGGGACACCAGGCGCCTGCGAGAGGGGCTGAGGCAGCTGAACCTGTCGCTGGAGGGCGAGGTGGCGAGACGGACTGAGCAGATGCAGGCAGTCAATGAGGTGAGAATGAGTCGAAGAGAGGGGTGTGGGAGGGGAAGGGGGAGGTGAGGGGAGCAGCTGTAAAGCTGAGCGGGAGGGTTTAAGGCAGCTGAACTGAACCTGTCTCTGGAGTGGCCTGACGCACCGGGCAGATGCAGGCAGTCCATGAGGTGGGGAAATGGGGGACATGGAATGTGCTGAAGCCACGTGGCACAGGCAAGGAGCATCCACCCTGGCTTGCTTGTTAACCACGCTGTCTCTCCCTCCCTATGTCTCTCTCTGTGTGTTCGCGCGCGCGTGTGCGTGCTTGTGTGCATGCAGGATCTGAAGAGGTCCAAGGAGGAGTTGGAAGAGGCAGGGCGGGCCAAGACAGAGTTCCTTGCCAACATGAGCCATGAGATCCGGTACGAGCCTGCACAGTGCCCTGCCGCACCTACCCATTTATGGGAGTTTCCAGCTCACTGTGTGTAGCCCCCCACATGGCACGTCTTTTCACTCCACCAGCACCTCCATAACAACCCTTGCGTTTTACACCCTCCTCAAGTCCTTCCACCCCATGCCCTGGACTGCAACTCTCAGCACCCTGCTTCCTTATTCCCTTGCCCTTTCCCCTCCCCACTTCCCCCACCTGCCCCGCTCGCGCTTCTCCCCCCCCAACTCCAGCACGCCCATCCACGGCATCATCGGCATGACAGCACTGGCCCTAGACGCCCTCCAGATTTTTGCTCCTCACTTTCACCCTTTACTCCTCGTTGTCCCTCCCCTCTGCCTGATTCTTCCCACCCATCCCCCCACTGCAGCACACCCATCCACGGCATCATTGGCATGACAGCACTGGCTCTAGACGCGCTCGAGTCGCTCCATGATCCCCACGACCCCCACGACCCCACCACACACCCTTCCTCGGACGCGCTGGCGCTGCGGAACGATCTGACGGTGGAGCTGCATGAGCATCTGACGGTTGTGGCGCAATCTGCCGACTGCCTGCTGAACATTGCCAACACTGTCTTGGACCTGGCGAGGATAGAGGCGGGGCAGCTGGCGCTGGATAAAGTGCCGTTCGCGCTGAGAGATGTAGTGGGGTCTACTATGAGAATGCTGCAGGTGAGTGGGGTCAAAGAGAAGCAGGGTTGGCATTGCTGACTGACTGACTGACTGCCTGTCTGCTGAACATCGCAAACACGGTTCTGGACCTGGCGAGGATAGAGGCGGGGCAGCTGGCTCTGGATAAAGTGCCGTTTGCATTGAGGGACGTGGTCGGCTCCACTATGAGAATGCTGCAGGTGAGTTCGCTATTAGGCAACTGAAAGTCGACAGTGTTGGCGCAGTTCGCTGAATAGAGTTCCAATGCGACTGCCTCTGACGCTGCCCTTCTCCCTTCCCACCCCACAGGTGCGCGCAGAGCAGAAGCAGCTGCTGTTCTCATGGCACGTGGCGGAGGGGGTGCCGCACACGGTGGTGGGGGACCCAGGCAGGCTGCAGCAGTGCATCATCAACCTGGGTAAGTCCACTTGGCCAATTCTCATTCACTTTTTTGGCTTGTTTTCCCCAATGTGCTCGTGGTTGCCAGTTTTTTTGCTGTGTTCAGAGTTTCCTGTCTTTATCATGCTTTGTTTGAGCCAGCACTTGTACCAGTGCTCGTTTGGTCACCATCTATTACCGCTATGCCCTGGTGTGGTTGGTTGGCCTGGGGTATGCGTGGGATGTCATGGCGTGGAATGGCATCGCATGGCATGGCATCGCATGGTTGGCATGACATCGCATGGCATGACGTACCATGGCAGTGGGCAATGCGATAAAGTTCACCCACCAAGGGTCGGTGGACCTCGAAATTACTCTGCTCTTCCGCCCGCCCTCTCGCACGCGGCACCATGGTAGAAGCGCAGGCAGCAGCCAGCAACAGGCGCGGAGCAGCAACAGCAGCAGCCTGCACCACAAGGCACGCAGCAGCAACAGCGGTAGCCACCGTCAAACCCATCGACAGCACCACCATCACCAGCAGCAGCACCATCAGCGGCAGCGAGAACAAGAGGAGCAGCACGAGAAGCAAGATCAAGGGAAGCAAGAGCAAGAGAATCAGGAACCGCATCACCCAAAGGAGCAGCAGCAGTTGCAATACTCACCTCTGTACGTCCCTCGAGCAGCCACGTGCCCTGCGTCCTCCTCCCCTCCACACTCCCCTCCGCTCACCCCTCCCCCCTCTCGGGAAGGCCCTGAGGGAGCCCTGTCTGCTCGTCTCTCTGACCCCTTCCCCTCCTCAAGCCCTGCCCACCTTAGCAGTAGCAACCACCCCAATACCAACACCACCAACGCTGACCCTAGGGCTAACACCAACAGCAACACCTATTCATTCGCTAACCCTGGCATTAACACCAATGTGTTTGTTCCCACGGAGGTCTCTCGTGCTCTCAGGCAGCGAATGCTGGAGAAAGGTAATGCAGGGGCGGGGAGCAACCTCAGTCAGCAGGTTGATGCGGAGGCAGGGACTTGCAGAGAGAGAGGGCGCGAGGCAGGGAGTGATGGGAAGGAGCGAGGGGGCAAGGTGGGGAGGCACAGGCACAGGCACCGACAGGGGAACGGTCATGCAGGGAGGAGCTCAGGGAGAGAGAGGGGGGATTGGAGAGGAGGAGGAGGAGAAGAGGGGAGAGAGGTGTGTTCTGGGCCAGAGGGGGTGGGAGAAGGGTCAGGGAGAGAGGAGGGCAGGGAGGAAGGGATCAGGAGGGAAGTGGGGAGGAGTGTGAGTGAATTTCAAAGTGGTAGAAGCGATGCTGCTTGGTATTCAGACTCCTCTGCTCGTCCCATAGCTAGAGCGACTCGTGCAAGCTTGGTTAGGTCCGGAAGCGAGCAAGTCAAGCTGTTTGGTCCGGGTGGGAGGAGCGGGAGAAGACGACCGGGTGCAGATGACGGGGTGGGGGTGTCCCAGGGGGGTAGAATTGATGCGACACCAGTGGGGGTGTCGCAGGGGGGGTGGTCAGACCCTGGTGATTCTGACACGAGTGACAGGGATGCTGCAGCGAGGGCCAGGCAGACTCTGGACGCCTTTCGAGCCCAGCTGCTCTCTACCAGCCAGCAGCCAAAGCCTGAGGGTTCCTCTCTTCCCTCTGGCCACCGCAGGCGCAGGAGCAGAGAGAGCAGACGGAGCAGAGGGAGCAGGGGGGGCGGCGGAAGCAGTGGCAGCAGCAGCAGCAGCAGCGGCGGCGGCAGCAGCAGCTCGGATGAGAACAACCACAACAATGCTCATCCTACCCATGCTAATGACAACGACGACGATGATGATGATGTTGACATCACGCCTCGAGCAGTCATCAGCAGCAGCAGCAGCTGCCTGCGCACCATCGGGCGGATAGCAGCAGCAGGACTCGTCTCCTCCTCCTACCCCTCCCTCCCCTCCCACTCCGCCCAGCGCGCAGCAGAGCGGCCCCTGCTGGGGCCCAACTACCAGGATGGGGGGAATTCGAGCTCGGGAGGGGAGGAGCTGGTGGGTAGTGCGATGAGAGCAAGGGACATGCAGCGATCTGCTACTGAAGGCTCACCTGGGGGTTCTGGGGTGGTTGTGTCTGCACGGAAGGGCGGGTCTGGGGTGCTGGGCTCCGCACTCAAGGGGGGAAGTGGTAGTGTTGGTGCTGCTGGTGTGGATGGTGGGTCTGGTGGTAGTGGTGGTGGGTCAGGGGGGAAGTCTAGAGGTGTGTCTCGCAGTGAATCTCGATCGGGGTCTAGGAGTGTGTCAAGAAGAGGGTCGAGAACCAACCTTGCTGTGTGGTTCGCTGATGCTGCCCGTGGGGACAGTGACACAGATAAACGCGCAGCGGCTGGGTTCTCTGCTGCAGCAGCACCTGAAGCTTCACCTGATGCCGCATCTGGGGCTTCGGCTTCACCTGAGGTGATGGCAGGTGGTGCTGCCAGTGGTGCGTGTGTGAGGACAGGGGACCGGGAAGGAGTAGGGGAGGGACGGGGAGAGGGCGAGGGCACGGGGAATTTGAGGAGAAAAGGGAGCGAAGGGTCAGGGGCGTTCAAGTCGAGCGCAGAGCTGCAATGGTCGGACCTTGGCAGTACGTTTGTTAGGAGGGAGGGCGCAGAGGCAGGCATTAAGGCGGCAGCAGGGAAGAAGGTCAGGAGCCCCCCGCTCTCATCAAAGGTGCCTGAGGATACAAGCTCAGGAGGCCGAGGGGGGTCTCAGGCAGCGCCTGCACCAGTTGCAGCCTTCCCCCGGGCTGTTTCAGGGGGGTTCCAGGACAAGCCCGCAGCCAACATACTTAGCATGGGGTCGTTAAGGAGTCAGCCCAGCAATGCCACTTCTGTCTTCAGCCGCAGCAGCAGCACCCGCTCCCGTGCCTTCGTCCCAGACTCTCTCGTCGCTGCTTCCGAACCCTCTATGTACCCCGCTGCCTTGGACTCGTCTTTGATTATCCCTGCCTCTGACCCTGCGCTAAGGTCACGCGCAGACCACACTTATGTAAGCGTCAGTGGGAGCGCGGGTGCGAGGGTAGGCAGGAGTGGGCGGATGGGGGAGGATGCGGCGTCACGGCCGATTAGCAGAGGGGGGTTGGGGAGGAGCAGGAGGAGGAGGGGCAGCGGGCGGGAGGGCGAGATGGTGGGATCGAGTATGGGCTCTGGCATGTGGGGCATGTTCAGCAGGCAAGTGGACAGCGGTTGGTCGGGTCATAGCGGGGAGTCTGGTAGGAGAGCAGGTGGGTCGGGGAGGCGGGTGGGGAGAGGGGGAGGCAGAGAGGAGGAGCACGTGGAAGGGGAATTGGAAGAGGAGGAGGAGGAGAAGGAGGTGTGGATTTTGGTATCGGTGAAGGACACGGGGATTGGCATCAGTGCGGAGAAGCAGGGGGAGATTTTCCACAACTTCGTGCAGGCAGACACGTCGTACACACGGGACTATGGGGGAATAGGGCTCGGGCTCAGCATCGTGCAGAGGTAAGTGCTCTCCTTCCCTTGCTCCGTGAGTGTGAGAGAGGGCACATTCTAAACAGCTTAGTGCAGGCAGACACGCTGTACGCGCGCTACTATGGGGGCATAGGGCTCGGTCTCAGTATCGTGCAGAGGTGAGTGGGTGCTGTGCTGCCCTTAGTCCCCCCCCTCCTCGCCCCTCCCCCTGGCCCCACACAGTCTGGTGCACATGATGGGCGGGGAGGTGTGGGTGGAGAGGGACCTGGGCAAGCATGGCGTCTCTGTGATGTGCGCCTCACGTCATGTCCCCTCACCCTCCCTGTCTCCCTCCATCCCCGTCTTGCCCCATCCACAGTCTGGTGCACATGATGGGCGGGGAGGTGTGGGTGGAGAGCGACCTGGGCAAGGGCTCAACATTCTTCTTCACAGCTCGCCTCGAAACCGCCCCTGCCGGCACCACCGCTCCCGCACACCCCCCCCAGGCCTTCGACCCGTCCGCTCCTCCTTCTCTCGCCGCCTCCTCCTCCTCTCTCTCTACGCCCTTTCTTCTGAACTTCCCCCGGGGTTTCCCCTTGCTGGATACGGGGCTGAGATCGCTCGATTTGATTCTTCTGTGAGCATGTCAGATCACGGGGCTTATAACGAGTATGTTCCGTTACAAGCAGGAGCCTCGGCAGAACACACGCCTGCTCGCTCGGTGTATGCATCAGCCCGGTCGGGGTACACTACAGAATACGCCACTGCTCCTCAGTCCCCTCTCGACTCCTCCCCTGAAAGCCCCCCCTCGTCCCTGCCTTGCCTCCCTCTCACTACCCTAGTGCCCACTACCCCAGCACAAGTCCCGCCACCATGCCTCTTCCTCTCTCCCTCTCCTCTGACTCAACCCAATCCGCACCCCCTTTTGCTGCTGCTTCTGCTGCTGCTTCTGCTGCTGGTGCGAGTGCCCCTTCTCCCGTCCCTGCTGCTGCTGCCTCTGCTGCGTCATCTCTAGCAATCCACCCGTCAAGCTACACTCCAACACCCCGCACCCCTCGCTCACTTCTCCGCATACAGCCTCCCGCGCCCCTGCTCTCTGCAGCATCACTTCCTGCTAAAACCGGTTCTAGAGTGGGCGGGAGGGTACAAGGAGAGGAGGGGGAGAGTGATGATGGTGGTGCAAAGAGCGGAGGGGAGAGTGGGCAAGGAAGTGCAGGCGGGAGGGGGGGGCTGTTCATCCCTCCCTCCGTCACACTCCCTCCCACCCTCAACATCCCCAGCCCTCGCCCCTTCCCAACCTCCACCTCCGAAGGCCGGCCCCTGCCAGCACGTTCGGCGTACTTCTCAGGCCCGGTGCTAGGCTCGGGAGGAGCAGCAGCAGCCACAGTGCGCCCGAGCCTGCAAACCATCCCTGCGGACGCGTCATCCCCGAGCCTGCATTCTCCGAAGCTGCTATCTCCAACGTGGTGGCACTCCAATAATAAGCTTCCGTCGCCCACAGGAAGCAGAGAGGGCGCAGCAGGGTCACATGCTGCTGCTCCCCCTGCTGGCTTTGCTGTCGCGCCTCTGTCCACGCCCTCCCCCCATGGCCGCCGCATCTGGAGGGACCTAGAGGACCCCTCCCCCCGTGCTGCTGCTGCTTTTGCTGCTGCTCCCTTCTCCCCTCGCACGCCACGAGGGTGGGGGGTGGCCAGGGGGAAAGGGGTTGCAGGGAGTGGCGGATGGGGGGGAAGCGGAGGGGAAAGTGGCGGAGGCAGTGGCGGAGGCAGTGGGGGAGGCAGCTGGGGTGGGGGTGTGCAGGGGAGACAAGCTGTCGAGGGAAGTGTATTAGTGCCTGGTGGTGATGTTGCTTCGGCAGTGAAGCTTGGAGAAGGAGCAGAAGGGGGAGGAACAGGGGGAGCAGAAGTGAGATCCGTAGCAGGGACTGCTGGGGCGAGACAAACAGCAGAGGTAACCAGTCCGGTGGGTTTAACACCAACCACTGTAGCATCATCAGGAGCAGCAGGCACAGCAGATTGTGGTGCAGCAACAGAAGCAACAGCAGCAAGGGCAGACGTGCTGGCAGGAGCAGACGGCACATACGCTCCCTCACTCTCAGACACTTCTTCCACTGATGGCACTGTTCCTCCCTCCCCAGCAGCAGTGGCGAGAGGCAAGTCAGTGGCAGCACGGTCAGCTGCGGCGCGCGCATTCTCACGGGATGTGAGCCTCTCAGGAGGGATTGCAGGCTCACCTGGCTCCTCCCGCCGCCACCTCTCCCCCCCACTCTCTAAACTCGGAGCCTCTGAATCCTCTCACTCGCTCTTCTCCCCAAATCTCGCCCGTCCTAGCACCCTATCGCCGGACCAGGCCTTGTCTCCCGAGCCTGCGCAACCAGGCTCGGCAGCGTCGGCCGGAGACATGCAGCTGATAGACGATTGGGGCTTTCTAGCCCCCGGACCTGCCACTTCGGTTCGGGCTGCGAACGCAAACTTTTCTCCAGCTGCCCGACCGCTCGCTGCAGCGTTACCTGCTCGGCGGGGGCATGCAACTCACATCAGCATGGATGAGAGGTCGACCACGAGTTTCCGGTCCTCTCGGCCCAGCTCTGGTAGTGTTGCCACTGGGAGCAGTGGGGATGTTGATGCTGCTGATCTCGATGCCCTGACAGGTACTTCTGTCAACGTCGTTTCTGCTTCTTCTCCTGCTGCTGCCACTGCTGCTGCTGGTGCTACTGCTGCTGCTGCTGCTGCTGCTGGGAGTGTTGGGGCTGGAGCTGCTTTTAACACCGCTGCTTCTGCTTCTGCTGCTGCACCACCTTACAGCCTCATTGATGCTCCACCTGCCAATCCAGCAAACATGGCGGGCCAACGCATGGCGATAGGGTTAGGAGCATTGCCAGGCACGGCTTGGGATGATTCCACAACATCAGCTCCAGCTCTCCGAACCTCAGCCCCAGGTCTGGCAAGCATGAGAGGCAGCAGGTCCGGAGGGAGCTACGAGCCTGCAGCAGCTGCGGCATTGGCAGCATTGGAAGTAGAGCATCTCACCAGCAACACCTCTAGAGGAGGCGATGGTACTCCTGCAAGTGCGCTCTCTCTGCCGGTTCATTCTTCCTCTCATGCACACCCTTCGGTACTTGCCGTTCCAGTGTTACAGAGGAGCCCTTCCAAGAAGGACCCTGCTCTCCCCTTGCCTCCTCCTGCTCGCAGACGCTCCCCGTCCCTCTCCGCTGCTCCTGATGCCTCTGCTGCCTCTGCTGCTGCTTCTGCTGCTGCTGCTCTCTCTCCTGCTCCTTCTTCTGCTGTTCCAGCTGCTTCTGCTCCCACAATCACCCCTTCCTCTGCTGCCGCTGCTGCCTCTACTGCTGCCTCCAGCGGTACAGCTCTAGACGCCCCGCCCACCACATCTCCAGCAGAAACAAAATCTCCGATTCTCGCTCCTGTCACCGCCTCTCCTCCTCCTCCTTCGCTCGCCCCTCTCCTCCCTCCGATGTTCCCTGGAGCCTTCCCTCACTCCCCTTGGCTGGGTCGGTCGCGCTCATACAGAGGCATGACTGCAGCAGAGAGAGAAGCACTGACCGCAGCAGCAGCTGTGACCGCCACAGCAGCACCAGGTGGTTTCTCAGGTGCGAGCCACGGTTTCCCAGGTGGTTTATCAGGTGGGCACTACCACCCGCTGCTGGGGCCTCTGCCTGAGCAGCAGACACCTGCTGCTGCTGAGATTGTGTCTGACCCTGTGCTCTTCCAGCCCACCCCCCAGCAGAAGCAGCGGCAGATTCTGCTCCTGCAGCAGCAGAAGCTGCAGCAGCTGAGGCGTCAGCAGCAACAGCAGCACGGGCACGATAAGCAGGACCCACAACAGCAGCAGCAGCACGAGCAGCAAGACCAACTGCAGCAGCTTCAACACCAGCAGCAGCAGCAGCAAGACCAGCTGCAGCAGCTTCACCAGCAGCAGCAGCAGCGGCAGCAGCAGGAGGCGTGGCAGCGGCAGCAGATGCAGGAGTTAGAGCTGCGAAGCAGAGTGTCGTCGCAGTTCTACCGCTTCCCCCCGCCACACCTCGCCTCTCTCTTTCAACTTCCCCCCAGGCGCCTGGAGCACCGGCGCTCTGACCCTGGGTTGCTGCTGCTGCACCTCGCTGCTGTGGAGTCTGCTTCGGCTTTGCAGCGAGGGGAGGTGTCAACTGGGGGAGGTGAGGCTGCAGGGAAGAGCGAGGGAGGTTTGGTGGCAGGAGCAGGGAGAGAAGCGGGTGCAGCAGGCATGGGAAGAGCAGCAAAGGTTTCTGTGGCTGCTGGTGCTGCTGGTGCGAGTGTTACTGGTAAGGCAGCTGCTGCTGGTGCTGCTGCTGGCCGGACCAAGGCGGTTAGGTTCGTCTCACACACCAGGGCTGCCTCGTACGGCCGAACGTCCAGATCAGGTTTAGGACTGTTTGGTCCGGCAGCATCAAAAGACCCACCATTGTTCGTCCCACCACCAGCAGCAACAGCAGCATCAGCATCAGCAGGAAGAGTGGCAAACGCAGCTGCTGCCGCCTCTGCCCAAGGCTCACTCCCATCTGCCCCCCTCCGCTCTGTCCGCTCACTGCCTGTGAAGCCCAAGCCAGGTCTCCTCCAGGGGCCTCCCTTCCCGCTGCTTGGCCCCTCCGTTGCAACCCAGAAGGCACAGCAGGCACAGCAGCAGGCTCCTCAGCAGGCACAGCAGCAGCAGGCACAGCAGCAGCAGGCACAGCAGCAGCAGGCACAGCAGCAGGCTCCTCAGCAGGCACAGCAGCAGCAGGCACAGCAGCAGCAGGCACAGCAGCAGCAGGCACAGCAGCAGCAGGCACAGCAGCAGCAGGCACAGCAGCAGCAGGCGCAGCAGCAGGCACAGCAGCAGGCTCAGCAGCAGCAGGCGCAGCAGCAGGCACAGCAGCAGGCTCAGCAGCAGGCTCAGCAGCAGGCTCAGCAATTGCATAAGGCCACCGCCACCTCAGCCTTGCCAGCTCAGCCATCCACACATCCACATCAGCAATCTGCTTCTCCACCTGCCAGGTTGGAGCTTCGGGTCGCTCCCCAGGTGCATCCAGCAGCAGCAGCAGCAGCAGCAGCAGCAGCAAGAGAGGTGCGATCAAGGCAGGGAGCTGATGCTGCAGCAGGTAGAGGTGGGCCTGCAGACACAATCAAGGCCAAGGGGTTGGACCCTGGGAGTACGGGCAAGCAAGTGGAGTCGGAAAAGGTCAGCCTGGAAGGGTCGGAGTCAGGTACTGGTGCAAGCTCTGGCCGGCCCTCATGCTCCTCCACCTCCTCCTCTTCGCTCTTTTCCACCTCGAGTTCTACCACTAGCACTTCCACTGCCACTACCATTGCCACTGCTAGCACCACTGCTAGCACCAGCAGCACTGGCAGTGGAAGTGGTGCTACTGGTGGTGCTGCGTGGGGCATCGGGGTTTCTCCGCTGCTGGTGTCAAGTGTACAGGCGCCACAGCGCAAGCCAGCAGCAGAATCCTCACCGTCAATACCACTAGCAGCAGCATCTCCAACAGCAGCAGCAGCATCCAGAGCAGCAGCAGTGCCAGGGGGTATAACACCAGCAGCAGTGGCGCGGGTGCGCACGCCAGTGAAGTCCATGTCGGGCCCTCTGGTGCCCTCCAGTCGAACCCGGGGTCCGCTCTTACTGGCGGGGGTGCGTGTACTGCTGGCGGAGGACAACATGGTCAACCAGCGCGTGGCCAAGCATGCTCTCACCAAGGTGGGGGCTGCTGTGGAGATTGCTGGTAACGGACAGCTGGCGCTCACTGCCGTTGAGGAGCGGGCGGCGTCGTTCGACGTCATTCTGATGGATATTCAGGTGATGGGAGGGTGTGAGTGATGCGGTGTGAGTGGAGTTGGGGAGGTGCTTGTGTTGCGAATGGTGTCTGTCTCATCACCGATTGTCGCTCTCCTTTCCTTTCTCTCCTGTTGACCATTCGCCCTCATTTCTTTTATTATTCCTCTGCACAGATGCCTGTCATGGATGGCTTGGAGGCAACGAAAAGAATACGGCAATTTGAAGCAGGTAATGCTGGTAATAAAAGGTCCCCACAAGCAAAAGGAGGAATTCCCATTTTGGGATTGACAGCACATGCCATGGCAGGGTATAAGGAGCAGTGCTATGAAGCGGGGATGGATGGGTATGCAGTGAAGCCATTCAAAATAGAGCAGCTGTCAAGAGGAATCCAAGCTGTTCTCAAAGGGGAAAAGAATGTGGATGTCACACAGATGTGAATGTAAGTTATTGTCAGTGTCTTCTCTAAGCTCATAGAGGTCTCAACAAAACAGTGTTTTTGTGTTGTGTGGTCCTATTTCTCATGATCGGAACGGCAAATGCCGCTACGCGACAGCTCTTGTCCCAACTGTGGCTTTTCCAACATCGAAATGCCTCGATACAAGCACAATTCCACCCAGTCCTGAGGTAGCTGTTTTGATTCTGTTTCTCGAAACTGTCACCCTGTTTTGGGAACACCGCGAGTCGAGTCGAGACAAGCCCGGTGTGTTTCTCTCCTCTCTACCATCACCATACCACCCCATTCCGCTCCATCAACTCGGATCATCAGATCACATTCCCCATTCTTTTCCAGTCCTAGATTCTGTGTGACGCTGGCGCCGTAGGCGGGTATCTCTCCGTTTTTCCCGCTTCTGTCCCATCCAATGGACGACGACGAGCCTGTCCCGCAGCTGCTGCGATGCGAGGCTGTGCGACCCCGCAAGCCGTCGCAGGACTTTCAAGCGACGGAAGTCCTTGCGACAAATAGTCGCACATCGGTGTCGCCAGAGTCGCCGACCCTTTCCGACGGCGAAAATCACGAGCTCGCGTCAATGCCTTCCGCCGACACCGGATGGTTTGGCCCCGCGCAGGTCCGCGCAAGGATCGCTCCGCCACCCGCTTCCGCCAGGATGGGGGGAAACGCGGGGGGAGCGGGGGCCGCAGCTGGCACTGGTGCGAGCGATTCACGCGGTTTCAACCGTTCGTTGTCGCAGCCGGCACGCAAGCTCAACGCGATCGATCCGCGAAGACCGTTGGGTGCCGTGAGAGGGCAAATGCCCGCGCCGAATGCAGGCCCGGCAGCGTTTGCCCCGGGTAGCTTTAGCTCCGGTTCGGCCGCAGGTCCGGCAAGAGGTATGGCTGTACCTGGCGGCGGGATCTCCCGGCCGCAACAGCCTCCGGCGCAGCCACCGCCGTCGGCGCAACCATTACAGCAGTCACCGTCGCCCCAGCAGGGGGTGTACCCGCACCGCCCCCCGCCGCAGCGGATGCATCGGCGCATGATGTCGGCATCGCGCGCGGAGACGAGCTCGTGGGAGGTTCTGGACGTGAGCGGCGCAGATCCGCAGGTGCAGCAGGTGCAGATGCAGCGACTGCTGGTGACGCAGGAGCAGCACCAGCAGCAGCAGCAATACCAGCAGCAACAACAGCAATACCAGCAGCAGCAGTACCAGCAGCAGCAGCAGCAGCAGCAGTATCAGCGGCAGATATCGCTTCCGGTGATGGATTCAGCCAATCAGCGGCGGCTTCAGAAGGCCACCACTTCGCCCGCGATGCGCCCGGGGATGGTCGACTCCGCGGCTGCCGCCGCTGGCGCTGGACGCGGGGGAGGAGGCGCAAGCCACGCGCAACGGTTCGCGCCGCAGCATCACCCCCCTACCGCGCAGATGACCCCCGCGCAACAGCACCAGTTGCGCCAGCAGGCGTCTCCGCAACCCCCCGCTGCCCCCCTGGCGCTCCATCCGCGCGGACCCCCTCCCCCAGTGCGTGGACACCGCCCGCGGATGCGGTCCATGGGGCAACTGGCGGAGCTGTTACCTGCGGACAGGGGGGATTCGGGGGCGCCGCGGGCGGGGGGTTCGCGGGGGATGGCGCATCGGCTTTTGCAGATGGATTGCGGGTGGATCGGCTAGATCTGGAAGGGGAGCAAGGGGGAAGCGGCGGAGGTGGGGGATGGGGAACTGGCGCGGAGGCGGGCAGCGATCCGGTGTATTTAAGATCGAATACTGGTTCCGGGCAGGGCTTTTTTAGGTCGAACAGCGGCAGTGGTAATAGAATGGACGGCCTTCCCCCTGTTGCGACGGCACGGCCGCCGCGCGCGCTCAGGAGGGTCAGTAGCGAGTGGGGCGAGCGGGGCGGAGAGGGGGAAGAGGGGAGGAGGCTCAGCGCGGGTGCAGCAGGGGGGATGGGCGGGGGAGGGGGGGATGGGCGGAGTGCACAGATCCTCCAGTGGGGGGAGTAATGAGAGGCGGCCCGTGGGGGGAGCTGCGGGAGGAGTTGGGGGAGGAGTGGGGGGAGGAGGCAGCATGGGGGGAGGATTGGTGCGCGGAAGGGGGCAGTACGGGTCAGTGGTGGAGCGGGGAGGACGGCACCTGCACCACCGCACCATGTCCCTTGATAGCTCCGCGCTCATGCAAGGCGGAATGATTGCCCGCGGAGGAGCCGCGGGGCCGGCGATGGGCGCAGGGAGAGGCGGGGCAGGGGGAGTACCAGTGGGTGGGGTGGGCGGATTGGGGCCAGCAGCAGCAGGGGCAGGAGGTATGGGTGGAGTGGCAGGGGGGATAGCCTCCCGGGCAGTAGCAGCAGCGGGACCAAGTCCGCGGACGCCTGAGGGGGAGGACGAGGCGACGAGGGTGCTGGAGCGGGAGTGGCAGATGGGGTGGGAGCAGGAGCGGGAGGAGGACGACGGGGGACTGCCTGGGCTCGTGGGGGCGTCTGGGGAGCATGTGGTAGGCGGAGGCAGGGAGTATTCCCCTTCCCCTAGCAGCAGCAGTGGGTATTCGCCTGCGGGTGCAAGGAGAGGGTCCCCGGGTGACGAGAGGGAGCAGGCTGGGTTTGCCGCGCAGAGGCGAAACGCGTTTCCGCTTTCTCAGCAGCAGCTTCTGCAGCAGTCGCCGCAGCAGCTGAGCGCGTCGTTCACGGCTCATGATGCCGCCATGGTGCAGAAGGGGTTGCGCATTCAGCAGCGGCTAGACGCTCTAGAGCAGCAAAAGCAACAGCAGCTCTCACAACTTAATCACCCCTCCCTCCAGCACCAGCCGCAACACCAGGGGCAGCAGCAGCAGGGGGCGGGTGTGGCAGAGGCACAGGAGGAGCGGAGGGGGTGGGCGGGGCCGCGGAGGCACCGCGTGGGGATGGACGCGGTTTTCCGCGCGTTTGTGCTGGGGCAGCCGTATAGCGACATAGGAGAGCAGTACGAGGTGCGGCGGCACGAGGTGGTGGCCATGGGCGAATTCAGTGTCGTGCGCGTGTGCCGTGAGGTGGACACGGGAGTCATGCTCGCCTGCAAGACGATCGAAAAGGATTCCATTCACGTGAGTGGTTGGTTTGGGTGGTTACAGGGGGTAGCTAGAGGGTGGCCATGGGCGAGTTCAGCGTCGTGTGCGTTTGCTGTGAGGTGGAGAGTGGAGTCATGCTGGCATGCAAGACCATCAACAGGGACTCCATCCGTGTGAGTTCGCCGCTCCAGGAAGGGGCTATTGTGTGGCTAGAGTGACGTCTCAGGTGTGTCAAAAGGCAAGTTCAGCGTTGCACACATGTGCCGCCTCAGATATTCACTCTCTGCCCTCAACCTTTCCATCCTTGCCCCTTCCCGTCCAATGCCTTGGGCGCTGCTGTGTGTGTGTGGCAGTCAGCGGAGGAGGCGCGGGATCTGAGGAGGGAGGTGGAGATGATGGAGCGAGTGGCAGGGCACTGCAATGTCGTGCGCCTGCACGCCGTCTTCGAGGACCATGAGGTGCGTGAGGTGCACTTAGGGCATTACCACGAGAGCACTGTGGGATAAGAGCATGCTTTCATCGTGATCACTGTGGGATGAACGCCACCCGTGGTGTTTTGGTCATGTTTAATCGTGTGACATGCACGCATCATCTTCACAATGGGTGGTTGCTCGTCCCTGCCCCTAACTACCAACAGCCAACCTCTTTCCAAGCAAATTCTGTCACACCCGGCTGCAACAGCCCATGTAGCGTTGCCGCTCTCATCTTCTCCACCACACTCCACCTATGTCCACACCCCACTCCCCAAACACCCCTCAACTCTCACATCCTTCATGAACAGAACATTCATCTGGTGATGGAGCTCTGTCGGGGGGGAGGCCTCTTTGACTACATGCGCACCAACGGCCCACTCACCGAGCGGGCGGCGGCGTCCGTCTGTTTCCAGCTGCTGTCAGCGCTGGATCACTGCCACGCGTGCGGCGTGCTGCACCGGGACGTGAAGCCGGAGAATGTGCTTCTAGCGAGGGCTGAGAGTGACTTTGGCAGCATTAAGCTCATCGATTTTGGAATTGCCGCTGAGCATCAACCAGGTAACTTGCCTATATTTAGAACAATAATAGTGTCTTCAAACCTCTTACACCCACCTGCTCCACCCCCTTCACCGCATCACTCTCCCATCGCTCCCATCAACCCACCCACATCCCCCTGCCCCTTGTTCCCCCCCCCCTCTCCTACAGGTGTGCGCAGCAGCACCCTGTGTGGCACGCCTCTCTATCTCGCACCTGAAACCCTCGACGGGGTCTGGTCTCCACAGGCTGACGTGTGGGCGGCTGGCGTTGTCTCATATGCAGCACTCTGTGGCGTGCCGCCCTTTTGGGCGGAAACCAATGAGGGGATTTTCCGAGCCATCCGCTCGGAACCTCTGCGGTTTGCCTTGGCAGCCTGGGTCGGCGTGTCCGAAGCTGCCAAGGACCTTGTTCGGGCAATGCTGGATAAGAACCCACACCGGCGAATCACAGCACAGCAAGCTCTTGGTAAGGAAATTGCAGGGAATGCTGTGTGTGAGGAGATCACGGGGGATGATTGTGTATTTCATGTTTTCTCGCACATGTATTTCGTGCTCCACTCCTTACTCTACCTTTTGTGTTGGTTGTTGCTGTGATTTAATCATCTGTTGTTGTGTGTTTCTGTCTATTACAGGACATAGATGGTTTCAAGAGGTGTAGACTGCAGCATCAGTAGAAGTGCTGCTAAAACTAGGTAGGTCCTTTATGTACTAATTACTAAAGCATTACTGTGCTTCATGAGAAAAATGACTCAAATAAGTTATTTCATCAATTGCCAGTGATTTGGCTTGCACCTTTTTCTCTTCATGACCCCCTCAGCCAATGCTCATGCCATCCACACACTCATGGCTGCTGCCCCGAGCCGTAACCATGTTGGTTTTCACGATAGAAGCGATGTCACATTCAGTCGCTTACGCCCATCGACAGTGCTGTCAATGGCCCACTGTGACTGGGCGAAACGCGAAGTGTCGCTTTGCGACAGGCTGGTGGTTGAATAATCCGATTTCGCCAGCTGCCACCAGCTTGTCCGTGCCTAGTTTTTGTCGCCCGCTGCCTGCAATGCTTGTGGGCATTGTCATGGAGCTTGTCCGCGACTCGCTGCCTCTTGCTTCGCTAGCTCCACGCCACATGATCCAGCGCATTCCTTCGAACCCATCCAGCCGTTGATTCTCAATCTCGTCACACCCAAACCCAGGCTTCTCCAGTTCCCGCCTCAGCAGCACAGCTCTGTCTTCAGCTCCGAACCAAAGTCGCCGAAACAGCTCGACATTCCCAAGGCCAGCCTGAACTTCTGCTCATAATCATCAACCCCAGTCAGATTCGTGTTTGGACCTTGCAGGGAGGTCATACTAGCAGCTATTGGGCCTTGCAGGGAGGTCATACTAGCAGCTAGCAGACCATTTCAACACATAGCCATGCTTGGCAATGCAAGGCTGCAGCCATATGTCTTAGGCAAATTTTGTTCTGCTAGGGCCGTCCCTAGACGCAGGCGACCGTATCCCTACCACGTCACGACGCGTTATTCGAGATATTTGGTGGCGAATTCTGCTTTCACATTCGTTCACTTATCCATGAAGAACGATTTAACTATGTGGCATTAAACGCGGAGCCACGTGCTTTTTCAGCTGTATCCGTCACAATGGCCAACGTTGACTCAGAGAACTCTTTTCTCAGCGACACACGGAACTCGTGGCACTTGCCAATCCGCGCCGAGTGCGAATTCATGGAGCATCGGAACCGTCGCGACGACGAGCCGACTCAGCACGGCCAGCACCGAAGATCACGCAGTAGAGGCTCCATCCAAGACAATCCCTGCCGGTCTTCTTCACATTCGACTTCCCATTCAAGCCACGCGCACCAGAGACCGCGAGCGTACAGAAATTTACCAATTCCCAGTAACCAGCCGCACCCTCCCGGAGCGAACCAAGCGGAGGTTCTCCGCTGGCTTGACGACGCGGCGAATGCGTCGAGGCGTTCTCCCATAGCGGGGGAAGCGGACGCGGACGCGAGTGTAGCGAGTGAGCGACTCGACTCCTCCTCGAGCATGGGAATCTGTACCTCACATCTGGACGGACATCATCATGCGCTTCGGAGCAGCGTCAAGGCGACGCGGGCGCGGCCGTCTACGGCTCCTCTCGCGGACAGGCCGTTTACTCGCGACCATCGTGGTGTCTCGGCGGATGGTTCGGGTGGTTCCGGTGGTTCCGGTGGTTCAGGCTCAAGCTCTACGTCGGTCATTCGCCTTGATGGTAGTAACGCAGATGCTGGGAGACGGAGAGAGACGGCAGGAGGCAGCGCGATGACGCATGCTTCTCAGGTGTCTCCTGAACACGCCGCTGTGCGACCGTCGTCCAGACGAAGTTCCAGAAAGGCCGTTCCATCGGACAACGCGGCGACTCAGCGATGCAGCTCGCGACAGATCACGCTGGACGGGTCGCCTTCCCCGCCGCTATCTGCGACGGACGATCAGAGCAGCCCGTGCTACTCCGCCTTCCCGCAATCCAGCTCCGACGGCTCACAGTCACACCGCTCATTGTCACACCCGATGCAGTCACGCATGCCGCGGTCGCAGACGCAAGTGGATGAAAGGGTTCACCCGTGCGGTCAAGCGCTGTTTCCTCACTCCCAGTCAGAATCGTGCGCTACTGGCAAGCATCAGAGCCAGTCAAGGACCCGCAGGGATGCTCGCTCTCCACCCACCGCGCAGGAACACCACCCTGCTCCTGACAGCCTCGGCGAGGCTATACCCCACATAAGCACGTCCATAATCAGCGGCAACAACGAGGGGGGCTCCATTGTCAAGCCCAGGCGATCTCGCACGGACGGTGATAGCAGGCGCCCTCCCAGCAGGAGCTCGGAGAAGCGATCTCAGCCGTTGGCTCTTCCACAGCCACAATCTGCACCAGATGTGCTCGTTTTGACCAGTCCAGAGAGTTCTTTCGACGCTGCTACGAGTCAGCAGGCGAGTCCGGCTGAGGAGGTGCGACGCTCTGCTACGCCGCCTGTGCCAGAAACCGATGTGTGCACGGAGGGTTGCTGGAGTGATTATAACGAGATGATGGTTGTGCGAGAAGGAAGCAGGAATCACTCTATGCGGCCAAATACGGCTCCTGCACCAGATGAAGGGCGAGACTTCCGGGAAAGGCTTAGCAGACCTAGTAGCTGCGAGGATGGTTTGGATGTTACCAGTGGCGAAGTGGCGGATTCTGATTGGCTGGCGGAGTGCAACGCAGGGAATGAGAAGATGGCTCTATTCAAGCAGAAGCTGAAGGGTTTGAAGGTGCGGAGGCACTCTGATGACGGGGTGCTTGGAACCAAAATGTCCCTGTTTCGCCTCAGACTCAAGGCGCTGAGAATGGGAAGCGAGAAGAGCAATGAAGGGGATGGAAACGATGAGCAGAGAAAGATGGATGAGTTTAGAAGCCGGATAGGGGACTTGAAGGTGAAAGGGCAGGAGAGGGATGAGGAGAGGAGGCGGAAGGAGAAGGAGAGGCGGAAAAGTAGCAGGGAGGAAGGGAGAGGTGGAGGGAGAAGGGGAGAGAGAGGGGGAGAGAGAGGGGGAGATGGAGAGAAGAGGCGGAGCAGGAGCAGGAGCAAGAGCTACGACCAGTCAGCATATGCAAGTATGGCGGGCGATTTGAGCGAGGAGGCGGTTCACATTAGAATCGATGGAGAGAGCATGGTGAGGATACAGCTGCAGGGGAACAAGGGGGAGAGATTGCCAGAGGGCAGGGCTAATGTGGAGAGCAGGGAGGAGCGAGAGCGGAGTGGGGCGCATGGGAAGAGGGCGGCAGGGAGGAGGGAGTCAGAGCAGTGCCATGGGATGGTGCAGGCACGGTCGTCAGGAAAAGAGGGCCAGGAGGGGGAGAAACATAGTCGGCACAGCCGGTCTAAGAGCATGGAGGGCAGCAGGAAAGGCCCGTCTCACAGGCGGGGAGTGAGTATGGACGCGTCCTTGCATGGTGCTCATGCTCGCTCAGGAAGTGCTACTGCTGCTGCGAGTGCTGTGGCTTCTGCTGCTGCTGCTGCTGCTGCTGCTGCTGCTGCTGCTGGTGCTGGGAATGCCAATGCTGCAATGGCTGCTAATGCTGCTGCAGCTGCATTGCCCCCCTGTGTCGACCAGAGGTGGAGACTCACCCAATCGGCCAGCTTTGGTGGCCGCGCTGCAGTTCCCACCGCACCACCCACTGCTGCGCTCACGCACACACGAACCTTCCACAGCACCTCTGCCTCCACCCAAGCTGCGGCATCCGCTGCTGCTGCCGCTGCCACCGCTGCTGGTGCTGCCACTGTCACTGCTACAGGTGCTACAGGTGCTAGCAGAGCCAAGGCTCTCCCACCAGGCCTTCCTGCCCCGCTTACCTGCGTCCGCAAACCCAGTGCGGCCCACAGGCGCAGTGCGTCCTATGGCGGACAGGCAATGCAGGAGAGGAACGGATGTGTTATGCATCCCACGGTACTGGATGTGAAGGCTGGGAGGCGGCAAAAAGGAGGTGTAGAGAAGGAGGGTGGGCAGGGGCTAGAAAGAGGGTCTCAGGGGAAAAAGAGCTCCAAAAAGAGTGTGCCTGAGGGAAACGAGGGAGCGGAGGCATCAGCGAAAAGAGTGAGAACTGTGGCAGCGGGAAGCTGCCAAAAACCACCAGGCAAAGGCAAGGCAGCAGCAGGAGGTGCGGGGGAGGGCGATACAGGGGGAGGCAGTGGGGAGGGAGGTGCTGCGGTGGGGAGCAGGCGGAGGCGGTTGAGGCAGGTGTTCTGCTTGGATGTGCCTTCTGTCGTGCACGGCTGGTGCAGTGACGGGGAGGACTTAGGAGCCGAGTCAGACGGTTGGCTGTCTGAGGGAGAAAAGGATGGGGAGGGCGGGGATGAGGGTGCTGCTGCTTCAAGCGTGCAATCCAGCCAGCAGCAGCAGCAGCATCAGCAGCAGCAGCCGCAGAAGATCGTTGGTGCAGGTTCTCGTCCCAGCACAGGTGGAGCAGAGGGCAGGAGGCGTCCATCCACCGCCCCCCACGTGGACCACCAGTTGCGCCGCGTGTACTCCCAGCACACCCCAGACTCTGCCGCTGCTCACTCCGCTGCTCACTCTGCTGCGCAATCTGCTGCACCATCCACCGGCTCCTCTCCTGCTAGAGGCTATTCTGCCGGCAAGGCAAGGCGCGTCGCTTCTCAAGAAAAACCGTCCGTCACACCTGAGAGAGGGACGATCCGGAGGGTCAAGTCTCAGCAGCATGGGGGGGAGCCGGTCGAAGTGGTTCGCCGCAGCACCACAGGCCACGGAGCCCCTGCCTCTGCTGTCCGCCTGCCGCGCTCGCTCACAGCCCACCAGCCTTCAAGCCGGTTCGACGAGCCTCGGTGCAGGGGACAAAAGCCTGGTGTGGCGTCAACCCGGTTACCACGTTCACTCACTCAGCAGCCATCTCAATGTCGATCCGACGGCTCACACGCTGCCTCTGCTGCTGCTGCTGCTGCTGCTCACCCGTCAAGGTCATACAGGTCCTCTCGTTCTGCGGATGGCTCTGCCAAGTTCCGACGAACCAAGTCCCAGCAGTCAAACCCTGAAGCGGTGGCGTGGCGGCAGCAGCAGCAGGAGGATGAGACGGAGGAGGAGGAAGAAGAGGACGAGCGAGGGGGTGGGACGGGAGCGGGGAGAGCATCTGATGAGCTGTTTCGAATGCTGGATGCTCTAGCTAAAGAGAGGCCTGAGGACCTCGCTAAGCTACAACGCGTGGTGGCCCTTCATCAGCAGCAGCTGGCAGCGCGAGTGGGGAGAGCAGGAGGTGGAGAGGAGAGTGAGGATGATGCGGAAGAGGATGGTGGGGAGGGGAGGAGGGGTGAGAGTTCTAGTAGGCGGAGGAGGAAGGGGGGCAATGAACGCAAGGCTGTTCTCCATACTGCCGCTCATGCTGATGCTGATGCTGATGCTGATGATGAGTATGTAGTTCTCGCTTCTGAGAGTGACTCGGGTGCTGATGTTGATATATGGGCGAGGGCGTATGAGGAGGAAGAAGCAGCAGCAGCAGCAGGGGCTGAACCCCACCCAAGAGACCACGTGCTAGGCAGGGAATACTCCGATATAGCAGCCTCGTTTGTGATTATAAAGAAGGAGGTGCTGGGGCAGGGAGAGCTGGGCGTGGTGAGGAGGTGTGTGGAGGTAGCAAGCGGCGAGGTGTATGCATGCAAGACGGTGGAGAAGCGGGGGATAGTCACTAGGCAGGATGCGGGGGATGTGAGGCGCATGCTGGCATGCCTGCAGGCCGCCAGGGGCCATGCGAATGTGCTCACGCTCAAGGCTGTGTTGGAGGATGCCGAGGTGAGGCATGCATGCGTGCATGGCATGGGTTCAGCTTGCCTGGGAATGCTGCTTATGCAGGGGGATACATGTATGTATGCTATGTCTCAATGTTCAGACGATTAATATTTTTCTGTCTCTTTGCCTCCGTCACAGAACATCCACGTCGTCATGGAGCTCTGTGCGGGCGGCGAGCTGTTTGATTTGATTCGGCGTAACGGCCGGCTGAGCGAGGGAGTGTGTGCGTCGGTGTGCAGGGGAGTGGCAGCTGCACTGCAGCACTGCCACCAGCGGGGCATCATGCACCGCGATGTCAAGCCCGAAAACATCCTCCTGCTGCACGCACACTCCAACTCCCCTGTGAAGCTTTCAGACTTTGGGGTCGCCACTGCGTTCACAAAAGGTATGGTTCTTGTGGCTGTGTGCACTCTCAATGCTTTCAACTTTCAATGTGCACTCTTAATGCTTTCGGAGTGGTGCTTTACAACATGCTGCCTTCGCCCGTACCCACCGCAACCCCCAACCCAATCTTTTTTCCCCTTCTCTTCATTTTCTCGCCCTCCATCATCACCACCAGGCATCCCTCTGGGTGACATGGTGGGCACGCGAGAGTACATGGCACCAGAGGTCATCAACGGCTGCTACGGCCCTGAAGCCGACATCTGGAGCGCTGGTGCCGTGCTCTACATCATGCTGTGATCTGTCTTACCCCCCTTCCCTTTTTCTTCTCTTTGCTTTGCACTTTCTTTACTCCATCATCACCACCAGGCATTCCTCTGAGTGACATGATGGGCACGCGAGAGTACATGGCACCGGAGGTCATCAGCGGCTGCTACGGCCCCGAAGCCGACATCTGGAGCGCCGGAGCCGTGCTCTACATCATGCTGTGTGGTGCCTCCCCCTTCCGGGCGTCGGCCAATCACAGCGTGACAGATGTCATCCTCAGGAAGCCCGTGAAGCTGCACTCGGCACGGTGGAAGGGGGTATCGGAGGAGGCTAAGGACCTCGTGCTGCGCATGCTGGAGAGGTCCCCTGCCAAGCGAATTACCGCCAGCCAAGTGCTAGGTACGCCAAGGCGAAGAGCGGTGCTGGGGAGTTGTGGTTGGGGTGTGCGAGGAACCAGAGGAGTGGCGGTAAGGATGTTGGAAAAGGTCCGTGTGGTTAAGTTTGCTGGAGAAATATCCGGCAGCAATTGAGTTGGGTCGCAGTAGTCTGGCCGGGGTGACACAGCATGGACCATTACTCCCTGGTTTTGTTGTCCTTTGTCCCATTCCGCTTGCTGTGTTCTTGATGCTCCTTTCTAATTGCCTTCGCAGAGCATCCTTGGATTCGAAAGTGGACGTGAAGGGAGATGGAAGCCACTTGATGTATCGGGGTTGATGGGGAGGCTAGGGAGGTGCAAGGAAGGCATGTTGCTGGGGCAGGAGGCAGGACACGATGGCATCGAGTGGAACACGGCGGAGATGAAGGAGCATGCTGCCCCGAAAACAGGACTGGATTGGGATGCATTGGTTTCTGTCATGCTGGCCTCGTGCCCTGGCTACAGGGTACAGGCATACGGTATCAACACCTTCGGCTTGTGGCCCAGCCATGCCAGAATGAACAGATCCATGGCTGGTCATGAGTATGGTTGTCTAGACCATATGCAAGCTTGATTAAGTTGCATCTGACAGTGCAATGGCATACGTTGCCCTCACAAGCTGTAGCCAGGTGCCTACTACGACATGTGCCAGCCGGAAGTGATTTATTCAATCACCAAAAGCACGTGTTTGACGACTTCTTCTAGTGCTATGATTGCTCAGTCACATTTGCATGGCACAATAGCTGGTGCAGATATGCTAGGTTGTGCCTTGATAATTTTGATCATCCAGACCATTGTTGAGTTTGCATTCAAACTAGTGTGGTGCTGGAAAAAGAGAAGATAGGCCATCCGTCATAGAATAATATATTGGTATTACATGAAAACATACAGCGTGAAGAATCATTAAGTCCCTGCAATAAAAACAATTCTCGGTATCGTCTCGCGTGCTTCTCGAGGTAGTTAGTGGTGAGCCTGCGAATTCTGCCTTGGGGCTGGTGGTGGTGTCTGTTGTCTTAGCGAGAACCAACTCTTGAATCTCTGACTTTTCTCGTCACCTCGATTAGATACTGAACGATATTTTCCCATTAGTCAGTCAAAGGATGGCTGACTCCGCTCAACCCCCGTCGGATTCCGGAGTGACAAGCTTTGAAGCTCCCCAGGCAGAGGATCGGCAGAAAGGGGCGACGGTCCATGTTCCCGAAGTGGAGGATGGGAGTGGTCGCGTCGACGATCAAATCGTTGACAAGAAAGAGGGTCTTACAGAACAGGGAGGAGCTGCTGAGAGCACCGGTGATATTGGTTCGGAAAGCAAGCAAGCGAGTACGTCTGCGTCCTCTGCAACTTCAGTCGAAGGGAAGACCAAATCTCAGGGTAATAGTCGTTTCAAGAGTACGCTCTCCTGCATTCACCGAGTGTAGGCTAAACCTTGTTAACTCGAGGTCCGCTCTTACAGGAAAGGGAGCGAAGCTGCCTTTGGAACAAATACGGCGTGTCGTTGACGACCCTGACGTACCAGCGGATGAAAAGATCAAGATACTGCATTCGAAGATTATGGCGCAGGTAAGCCGAGCATGTCTGGTTTTCAAATGTTTTTGCCTGTTCTCATTGTCTGCCCTTTCCCATTGCAGGCACGGGAAGCTAAGGCTGGCGATAAGGAGAGCGCAGCTTTGCTGAAGAAGATTGATCAACTAACAAGGGAACGCGACTCTGGTGCGACAATTGCTTCCTCACTCTGCTTGTCTTATGCCGTTCATTTAAAACATAGCATTCTTGAAGTTCTTACCTGCTTCATTGTTGATTGTTTCAGTGATGGCCGAAATGAGGAAGTCTGCTACACTTCGTGGCAAATTGGAGACTTTGTGTCGTGAACTTCAGAAGCAAAACAAGACCATATTGGCAAGTTTCAGCAACCTTCCATTATCCATTTTTGCCCTCTTGGATCATCATCTCATGATGCTCTCTTGGGTCAATGCCATTGGTGCCACAGGAAGAAAGCAAGAAGGCTGCAAACGAGCAGCAGCAGAAACGAGAGGAATTGTCATCTAAATTCCTCGACTCCATCAAGGTATTGCAGGCCTAAGCTGCTGCTCGTCCTCATTGTCGATCATGGCATTCAAACACATGATTCCTCTTCGTTGTTTGCAGGACATTGAACTCAGATTGGAAGAGCAGGGAGCTGAAAGATCGAGCCACCTTAAGGAGAATCAAATGTAAGACTTCATTGGTTAAACTTGCTCTTGCGAGATCTGGGCTCATTAGCAGGTGAAGCGGCGTTGATATTCTGTTCATCACTCCTTCATCCTATTGGGCATGTCCAATGATGTGCGCAGCCTTGCAGAGCAACTCAAGAAGATACAAGAGCATGCAGACGTCAAGGAGAAATACTGGGCTCACCTTGTAAGTGACTTTTGTGAGAAGCCTTTTCTGGTGTTTTGTTCTTCTTCTTTCTTAGCATTTCTGAGTTTCGATATAATCTTTGTCGAGTATGTGTTTGCCGTTAGATCAAGACGAAGGATCTTGAGTATCAGCTTTTGGATGCAAAGTATAAGCAGCAAGAGAAGTTGATGGTCGAAGAACGGGCTCTGGTAAGCTGAAAGAACGGGCGTTGATGGGTTTTCCAAGACAGACTGACATAAATAACGGTGTGACCATAACCTTTTTTTTTCCATTCTTCTGTGTTCCGTAACACTGATGCCTCACTCTTAAACAGAGCAAGGCAAGAGGCGAACAGGTCGTTGATCTTCTAAAGACAGAAAAAGAACTGAGGGGCCAGTTGGCGTTATACATTGATAAGTTTGATCAATTCCAGGTCAGAAGTCATTTATGCAGTTGGTCACATAATTTTGCATGCTGTGGTCTCATAAAGGCAAGGTTTCTTGATGCAGGGTACTTTGTCAAAGAGCAACGAAGTCCTTGGCACGATGAAGAAGGAAATGGACAAGGCAAGTCTAAACTTCACCTGTGGACTTTGCTGGATAGAGCGATTTTTTGTCTGACCGGCTTTTTGATGTATCTCCATCCAATGGCAGATGACGAAGCGAATTAAGAAGCTGGAGAAGGACAATTCTGAACTTCGAGCCAAGTGTGAAAAGTCAGATGTTTCGCTTATTGAGCTTCTTGATGAGGTAATTGCCATCGACCGTTCGCCAAAGAAAGATGGAGGGTTAAAATGCTTCTTCCTCTCCATTACCTTCTTGCCTTACAAAAGTTGCTTCTTCCTCTCCATTACCTTTGACGGTGTCTCTGTGCTTTTCTGTGGCAGCGTGCGGCACAGCGCAAGCAGCTTGAGACGCTGCAGGCTCAGAAGCAGAAGCTGGAGGGGCTGTGCCGGTTATTGCAGGCAGAAAGGAAGAAGTGGCATGAACAGGCCCAGGAACAGCAGCGGCATGAGCAAGAGAGCGTGAGCGTGGAGGAACCTACCACCGCTGATGCAGTTGATTCCACAGACAAGTCCGCAGATGCAGTTACAGCAGGAGCAACAAGTGAAAGTGGCGAGAGTAATGGCTCTGACACACAGCAGGCAACGGATGTGCAGCCTTCAGCTGTTGTCGAGGATGGTGCAGCCATACCAGCATGAAGGTCTCATCCAAGTTGGTTGGTTACCTGCAGTGACGCTTTTTCTTGACATGTTGACGTATAAAGCACGGTGCCACAATTGAAGTGTGTACTGATTTGTGTACCTCAGCGCAGCCTTTAATGGAATTATATTTATTGCAGAACAGCACAGTTACATGGCACTAGCACAGTTTATTGTTCAGTGTAGCACGCAGCTTCCACAAATGTTATGTGGTAGGAGATAACTAGGGTTTCAGTAATTAGGGAGCGGGCACACCCTTTCGTTATTGCAACAGCACGAGTTACGCAATCAATCAAATTGACATCACACCGTGGGTGCTACACTTTGCTGGTCAAAAGGGAGCCTCAAGAGACTCATCCCAAACCTCTGCACTGCCGTTGGAAGCATCATCCCCTTCATCCTCCATAGACAGCCGGATGTATTCCGCTCGAGCAAAGCGGTCCCACTCTGTTAACGTGGGGTCTTCTCTTTCCTGTAGCAAACAGAAATTGCATGTTAGCTCGCAACAGAGTGCACATGAGGTCGAAACACACTCCATGGGATGAAACCGTCAGGAATGCAAATGTTAAGATATTCTGTTTGTTGAACCAGGAAAGACTGACCTGTCGAATGAGGAAAGGATCGCGTGTTTCAAATGCCACGAATTTGTTCAGGTTGAACAGTATGTTAAAGAAGTTGCCTGACAACCGGCACCCCTTCAGGTCGCGCAGTGTCATCACTCCATCCTTCTGCTCATGGTAACAGCAGAGGTGTCAGGGAAGCACAACACAAAGAACACACGTGAGAGACAACGACACGATACATGAATCCAGGAACTGATCGTCAGCTCAATCATTCATCCGTGCAGTCTTGCCAAGAGCCACCCCTCTGTGCCTGCACCAGCATGTATCATCACCCCGTGCCCACCGCGGGCTTGATCATGTCAGCCATGTGGCACATGACCACCCATCCGTTTAAACAGTCCAAGCTAAGCACACCCATGCCTGCACATCCATTCCTCCATGCTCACCGCGGGTATAATCATGTCGACCATTTGGCACACAACATCCTCGAAGAGCACGGGCTCCAGCCTCATGCACTCCATGCAATGCACCAGCATCTCCCCCCTCCAGTCCTTCCTCATGCTCACAGCGGGTTTGATCATGTCAGCCATTTGGCACACAACGTCTTCAAAGAGCACGGGCTCCTGAGCCATGCACTCCATGCGGTGCAGCTGCTCCTCGTAGAAGTACTGCATCTCCGGTGCTGTGATGCGCTCGTCCCCGTCCAAATCCACACACCGGAACCTGATGTGTGCATGCCAAGGGGGTGTTGTGGGTAGGAAGGAAGGGGTTTTGGGGGGATGGGGTGGGCGAAAAAAAAAAAGAGAAGTGGAACCTGGGTGGGCGGTTGTGGTGCATGGATGTGCACGCACACATATGCACTTGCACGACCCAACCCAACCAACCCCCTTTCATACAACAGCAGGAAAGCGACTGACCAGTATTCGAGGCTGGGCTCAGACGACTTGTCCTCTTCTGAGAGGATGAACCACACAAAGTCCTCGTACCCCATCTTGCCCTCCACTCCACTCGTGAACGGCCGGGGCACCTGCAGGGGGAGGAAAAGTGGTGGGTGGTGGGGAACAGATGATTGCATGGAGTGCGCAGTGCTGCTGAGAGAGGAGATGAATGGCATGGAAAGGCTGCATGCATGGCGCATACAGAAACCAACGGCCGGACCATTACAAGGAAGCCAGGAAACTCACCTGGGCGCAGATGCACCCACCTGAGAAACAACCCTCCCCTCATTCATCCCTACCTGAGCAAAATTGTGTTCGCCAATGCGGTAGGTGAGGGCGTGGTTGCTTAATGAGGCCTCAGAAATTGTTTTATCCCACCTGGGCTGTGATGCACACACCTGAGCAAAGATGCGCTCGACGATGCGGTAGGTTAGTGCATGGTTGCCGTAGCGCAGCAGGTCGTCCTTGTCGATGAGGAAGTCGTGATCCGAATCCAGCTCCCAGAACTTGCAATACACCACGTAGAAATGCTCGTACGAGAAGTACCTGTGAAGGGGAAGGGGAGAGGAAAGCGGGACCGCTGGAGTGTGGGTGAGAAGTACTTTGATGCACGGCTCTCGCAGTGTACGCCCGAATCCAGCTCCCAGAACTTGCAGTACACCACGTAGAAATGCTCGTACGAGAAGTACCTGCAGGGGTGGGAGGAGGTGGGTTGGGGGGATGGTGGAGGTACTTAAGAATCAGAATGTGAAGCGCAGCATGTGGATAGCGGTCTGCTTCATGTGCTGTAGGTGTAGCACTTGTCTAAGGACTTCTGCAGCGGCCTCAAGAAACATAATTTACCGACTCACTTGAGCACTTTATTGATGTCCTCCTCCTCCTCCACCTGCTGCAGTGCCTGCATGAGGTTGCTCTTCTTGAGCTCTCTCAGTGAGATGCGCCCGTTGCCCGACCGGCTGATGTGGTAGAATATGCGGTATATCACCGTCTCCGCTGCACCAGGTGGTCGGGGGTTAAAAGAGGAGGGGGGGCGGAGAGGCAGGGAAGAGGGGGGAGAAGCGGGGATGAGGGGACTGTTTGTTGCCGGGCCGGCTGATGAGGTAGAAGATGCGGTAGATCACCGTCTCCGCAGCACCAGATGGAGAATAGTAAGGTATAGTAACGGATATAAGGGGTAGTAAGGGAAAGAACGGGACAGTAAGGGCTAGAAGGGGTAAAAAGAGATGGGAAAACGGGACAATGTGAAACGCCAGTAAGCGCTGCACACGGCTCTACTCTGAGCAGCAATCGAGTCCCCTACATCACCACCCACTGGTCACATCACACATACCGTATCTTTCTTGGAACTCGGGTGTGTCATGCAGAAACTCAAGACCAGGGTGGCGGTTCAACAGCTCGCGCATGATGGGCTTGAAGTCGTCCTGATGTGAGGGGGGCAAGCAGGGACGAGGGGGGAGGGGGGGGTGGTGTGGGTTGGTTTGGGTGGGGGAGGGGGAGAAATGGAAATCAGGAAAGGGAAAGAGGGCGGAGAAGGTAACGCAGCAGGGATTTCAGGGGTTGCAGGTGGCGTAAAGGACGAGTAGGAGAAGACCAGGGCGACAAATGAGAGCCGAAAGCGGTGGTTCTGAGGATTGAACGTGTGGGGCTTGGAGGAATGAGGTGCTTCATATCAGATAGTAACTGCACGAGGTAATACCTGCACGATGTAGTACCTGCACGAGGTAATTCTGGTGGTCCTGTTTGAGCACGTGGAATATCTGAGTCGCCATGTCCGCTGCCAACAGCCGCCGGTCCACCCAAAACCGCATGAACGCGTCCCTGCGGATGATGGGGGAGGGGGAGGGCAGGGAGGTGGGAAGGGAAGGGGGGCGGGAAGGGTTAGAGCATGGCCGGCTTAGCTCTCACGTGGGGACAAGGCGACCACGTCAGCACTCACTTGATTACCAGGCCAGCCAGGTCAGCGATGACGCGGCGAGGCGAGCACTCACTTGGTGATGAGGCCGGTGGATTCGGAGTCGATGCGTTGGAAGATGACCGAGTTGAAGTAGGACGGCAGGTTGCACACCTCCTGTGTCACCGCCATGAACGCTGCATGGAGCGTTCGGGAGGGCGGCGGGAGAGCGGAGGGAGAGAGGGGAAGCGAGAGTGGGGGGGGAGAGAGGGAGAGCGAGAGCGAGGGGAGATGTTTGAAGTAGGATGGCGGGTTGCAAACCTCCTGTGTCACCGCCATGAACGCTGCATGGACTGGGGGGAGAGCGGGGGGGAGAGAGAGAGGGTGAGAGAGAAGGAAGGAGAAAACAACGGGGTAGGGGGGGGGGTGATGTTATGTGATTCTCAAAGGCTCATACACCTGGTCACATGCATTCCGCATATAATCCCTGGGCGTGTCCTCCGCATAACCTCCCGAACACCCTCCGCCCGCCCAACCTCCCGCCTACCCTCCCCCACACCCACACCCTCCCGCGTACTCACCTTCGACGTTGAGCCCCTCGGGGTGTTCGTGGAAGAACTGGTGGATCTTAACCATGCACTGCTTCGCCACGTCCTCCGTCGCGGGCGGGCCGTTCGGGAAGTAGAACTGCGGAATCGCCTCGAAGCTGCGGTTCGCGTGCGGCTTCACCGGCGACCCCGCGTGGCTCAGCCCCGACGCCTGGCGACGCAGCGGCGACTTGGGCGACATCGGCTTGTCGCTCCGCGGGGAGAGCGGGGGGGTTGCGCCGAAGAGAGACGACGCGCTTGTGGGGGAGAGCGGGGAGAGGCTTCCGCTTGCGCTGTGGGAGTTGGGCCCCCCGGGGGCAATTAGCGGGCGGCCTGCTTTGGCGTCTTCCAATAATGACATCACCTGAATCATGACACGTGGCAGGTGAGATGGTGGGGTTTGAGGAAAGTAGTCAGCATTGGCTTACGAACGCAGGGATCTCGAGCAAAAACGAGTCGTCAATGAGAAACACGCGAAGCGCGACGGTGAACACCGGACGGATTAGAAAATGCACGGAACGAGAACGTGGGTCCATTGGGGCCCCCTAATGCTTCATTTGCAGTTGCCTTTCCAAGTCACAGTGGCGGAAAATTCTTGAACCACAAATGCGTATCTCATATACCTACATCGCCCTTTCCACTATTCGTCGCCATTGCTCACTCCATCCGCAGTTTCCGAGCAAGCACTCGCCTTGCATGCACGAGCAAACCCTAACCTAGCATAACAAGGAGCTCGCGGTCATTCCAAGACGGCTGAACCTAGCCCTAGAGAACCCTAGCAGAGCCAACCCTAACAGAGCCAATTTCCGCGAGGCGAACCCACCAGCTTCTGCGATTCGGGCAGCGAGAGCCATTGAATGAAGAGCTCGTCGACTTTCATCTTGGACGACGGGAAGCGCTGCTGCACCAGCGACGACTCGCCCGACGGCGACCCGCCGGAGAATCTCGCCTTGGGCTGCGCCGTCCCCTCCGCATGCTCGTCGCCTTCGTCTCTCGACACGTCCACGCGCAGTCCACCCCCCGCCATTGCACGCGCGGATTTAAGGATTGTAGCTACTATTTTGGTTTTGGCTAGTAATAGTAGTTGCTATTTGTATTTGGTAAGTCCCGTGTTGTTGCAGCTCGCACTACACGGCGACTTTGCCTTGAAAATGGCTGACAGAAAAGGGACGAAATTGTCACTCGTTGTTAGAACACGACGTAAATTTCTCAGATACGTTGGCACAATGTCGTGCCACAATTTCACCCTGGAGTAGGGCAGGCAGAGCTAATGTCAACGCACTGCTGTGAAATAACCTGTCACAAAAATAAACTCCAGCAATGACCACTGGGATTAGCTCGGAGGTAAGCTCAGAGGAAGCGGACTAAGCTGGGGACACTGGGAATGGCATGGAGGGCAAGGAAATGGAGCTGGGGGTGTTTCTCGTGGTGAGGAAAGGGGGAAGGTGTGGGAAATAGGGTGCGGTTGGGTGGGTTGAGGTGGGGTCAGGTGGGTTAGTGGGGGAGAAAGGTGGGACGGGGAACTTGGTGGATGGAGTTTTGACTTTGAGTCCCCCCAGGCCCTGCGCTACTATGTGAGGGGCGGAGAATGCTACGCGCGTGAACAAGTGAAGGTGGGCGGGTGATCAGCAGGTTGGTGGGACTGGGGCGTGGGGGGGACTGAGCACGCTTGGCCGCAAAATGGGCGGAACGAACACCACTGGGGTAATCGAACACTGACAGCGACTTTTTTTGGCCGTTGGATTCCCGAGCAGGCAAGAGGGGTCAGACAAGATCTCCCATCGCGCCCAGTGGGTTTCGCTTGACCCAGATGAATTTGCACAGCACGAGCCAATCGAGTGCCAAGATTTGCGAGACTGAAAAGCAACTAAGCTGGGGTTTACAACAACTGCACTACACTCACTTCCGCTGTACCTCATATAAAGCAACTCATTGCAGCAACCCATGACACATAATTCTGGACCCTATGCAGATGCAGGTTCCTTTTCCTCATGAGATTTAGCATCACCACTAACATCATTGTGGCTTGCAAAGGACATGTAGACGGTCCACACCAGGCCCACGAGATTCACAGCACCAACCTGCAGAAGAAGAAACGGATTGTGAGACATGATGAAGGACCACAAAGAGTAAGAAGCCCTAATAAATCTAGTGCATACCTGTAATTGTGGAGGCACAAGGGCGAAGTTGAACAGCTGAAAAGGCACCCAGAGCTTCCACATGTTGATGCATGTTGGCACAAAATCCTGCATGGAGCAAGAGCCGAGTGACATCAAACGGCCTCTAATAAACAATCACTTGCACATTCATTGTCGCGTTCAGTCATTGCCACTGCAGCAACCATGCCTGTTCCTGTGACTCTCTCACCTTCTCCAGCTTAGGCACAACGCGCTCTGGCTTGCCCTCCAGCAGCAGCACCAGCCCCACAAATGTGGCAATTGATAACGGGGAAAATATCACCTGATGTGCACAGGAGAGACGCTATTAAGCAATAATAGCAGAAAAAAACCGACAAACATCTTCACTGCAGAGAAAAAAGTACTAGCCAGCAGCAATCCAACTGACTAGCCACACGCTACAAGTATAAAGAGTTTTACCTGGTCAATGAGCAATCGAGCAAGCACTCCTTTGAAACCCTCAATCTGAATGAACTTTCCAAGCAGGCCGTACCTGTTACCACACACAGAACACATTGTAAATTGACTCTTTCTTTCCCCTTGACAAATAAACGGAAGCCTGCAATCCATTGCTCACGTATAGCAGGCAAAACTACGACAAGCGGGTCTCACCAGATGTGCAAAGCGGGGCCGACAATGAATAATCCAATGGCAGCGAAGCCTCCCAGCCGTCGGATATCAATAGATGAGTCTTTTTCCACGACAACCTGGAAACAGGGAGGTGAGAATCGCAAAAATGGGGAAACAAGAGAAAGCGCAAGAGTAGCTCAAACTCTTTCTGAATGAATCTGCAAAAAGTGCACGTGGGTACTCATCCGTCAAAAGGACGTGCATCCTTCAACCATACCTGGCAGAAAAGGTCTGCAAGTGCGTTGAGCAAGCCGGCTGTGATCCCCTTTGTCACAAACGGGCGTGACTCTAGTGATGCCATGTAGCTGACGGCACAGGAGAAGAGAACGGGGAAAAGTGGGGGAGGGAGTGAAGAAGGTGGGAGGGGTGGGGGGGAGAGGAGAGGGGGGAGAAGAGTAGGTAAAGACAGCACAAGAAGCACGGTAGTTTCCGAGCTTCGCACAGCAACGTTCGCCGAAGCTCGCTAACATATCGCGTCTTTAAATCGTCGATCACCTTAGCGCCAGCAATTGAAGACCTGAAGGCGGAACTCCGCTGTTGCTCGCGTCCCCACCCCCTCCGCCGCTCCCCCCTCCCCCGCCGCCTCCTCCTCCTCCGCCTTTACTTCCCCCGGAGCCCGTATTTCCTCCCCCCGCCTGCGCTTTGGCATCGACGGATCGTTTGCTGCTTGAAATATTCACGGTGAATCGTCTAATTTCTTTGCCAGAACGGAATGTTTCGTCGCTCGCACCACCCGCGCGACGGAGCGAAGAACGAATACCTGCCAGAGGGCTCTGCGAATGCTCCGAACGCGCGAACGTGCGAACACTTGCGACAGTATTCACACGTGCACGAACGGCTGGCAACAGGCTTGCGACTGCATAGGTTGACCCGGAGGAACTCGCAGGAGTCAGCCGCATCCCTTGGAGGGACGGGGAGACGCTGCGAGAAGCCATGGCCTGGGAGATAGCGCGAAATGCTTTCATGAGACCAGATTTGGAAGCACGTACTGCAGAATGTTGCAGCGGAGTCGTGGGATGGATGAGCTTTAGATGAGTCTGTTCAGAAGCGTCTCCGTTGCAATCATATAAGTCTGCACGCACTACTTGATCAAATACGGTGTATATATATGGACATCAGCATAGTTGTCATCAATTACATAATGACAGGTTTGACCGAACTGGAAAGGGGACAACCCTTCAGTATCAAAGCATACAACATAATAATGAAACACTTCAGGCTTCAGCCTTCTTGGCATTACTTCTGAATGCCTTGCTGCATGTACTGGATCAAATCGTATCCAGCGGTCGTCCATTTGTTGTACGCATCCACACATGTGGCAATCATGAAACTCGCCGCCTCCCTCTCGCCCATCTCCGGGTGAAACCTTTTCCTCAGGTTGCCAACAGCATCGCCACGGGAGAAGCAAGGCAGGCCGCTATCCAGCATGAGCTGCACCGTGTTCAATATGGCATCCTGATGCCGCCTTGCAGCCAGGTAGCCCTTCACACACAGGCTGCAGTGGGGCAAAGGGGAAAGGGATGGATAAGTTGAGTTAGAGATGAGAACGAAGGACGAGAGAAACAGTATGCAATCACATGCCAATGAGAAGGGAAACCGTGTGAGTCTATGCCAACTGGAAAAGAACCGGCATGCAAAAGCATGTCAACTGGAAAATGAAAGCATGGAACCACACCACAAGGGCACAACGAACAGCAGACAGGTGCATGCATACCATCACCAGTAGACAACGAGACCAGCCTACGAGTCCATCACAAGCAGACAAAGCACAGCATGCAAGCATGTCTCTAGTCTCACCCGACAAAGCGGTGCCAGGGCTCGCTCTTGAGGTCGCCGGAGGGGTCGAGGGTAAAAAAGCAAGCCCTTCACCGTAACATAAAGTGCAACAGGCCCTCTCATCTAACTCACCCGACAAAGCGGTGCCAGGGCTCGCTCTTGAGGTCGCCGGAGGGGTCGAGGGTAAAAAAGCAAGCCCTTCACCGTAACATAAAGTGCAACAGGCCCTCTCATCTAACTCACCCGACAAAGCGGTGCCAGGGCTCGCTCTTGAGGTCGCCGGAGGGGTCGAGGGTAAAAAAGCAAGCCCTTCACCGTAACATAAAGTGCAACAGGCCCTCTCATCTAACTCACCCGACAAAGCGGTGCCAGGGCTCGCTCTTGAGGTCGCCGGAGGGGTCGAGGGTAAAAAAGCAAGCCCTTCACCGTAACATAAAGTGCAACAGGCCCTCTCATCTAACTCACCCGACAAAGCGGTGCCAGGGCTCGCTCTTGAGGTCGCCTGAGGGGTCGAGGATCTGCGTCATCTCGTGGCTCAGCTTGAACTGCGCACTCTCGAATCGCAGGTTGCCAGCTGGCGACGTCTCGAGGATGAACCCAAAGTCTATGTGCACCAGCCGGCCGTCGCTGCAGGAGAGGAGGGGTGAGAAATGTTACAGACGAAATTTGAGACGTTTTGAAAGATGCTTTGAGGATAAACCCAAAGTCTACGTGCACCACCAGGCAGCCATCACTGGAGGCAGGAGAGAGATGGATACATAAGAGCGGTTGGATACATAAGCAGGGTTGGGGTGAGTGAGGGAGATAGGGAGGTGCATTGTGAGCCATCCAGGGTACAGAATAAGATGCTACAACATATGCTTACCGATACGATCTTACTTATCCAAAAGCAGTTTCTCGTTGTGGCGGTCCTTGGGCTGCAGCAGCAGCAGGCTCGCCACAGCATACACTGCTACTGCCGGCTACATCCTCTACTATGACGAGTACCTGCTGTGGCAGTAACTACTGTAGCAACACCTGCTGTGTACTCACTTGTCAACAAGCAGGTTCCCATTGTGCCGGTCCTTGGGCTGCAGCAGCAGACTCGCCACCGCATACGCCGCACTGCTGATGATAAAGTTATGCCGCGCACGCTCGAACGCAGCAGATCCCACAGCGCCAAACTCGTTCTGGAAGATGTCAAAGAGACCGCCGTCCGTGACGTCGCCCATCTGGTTGCGACTGCGCGTGTTGGGGACGACTTGAATGATGCCGCGCTCGTACCCCGTGGGGAGTACGCCGTAGGGGAACAGGTAGAGATCCAAACCCACCGCTTTGTTGATGTCCCGTAGCAAGGCAATCACCTGAAGGGAGGGGAGAGTAGAAGACATTTGAGACGTCTCAAGGCGTGTTGGGGACGACTTGAATGATGCCGCGCTCGTACCCCGTGGGGAGCACGCCGGTACAAGACCAGCCCCACTGCATTGTTGATGTCTCTCAGGAGGGCGATGACCTGAGGCAGGGGGGAGAGGAGAAGACTTTTGAGGCGTCTCAATCAAGGCGTGTTGGGCACTACCTGGATGATGGCCCTCTCGTACCCCGTGGGCAGGACACCGTACGGGAACAGATTCAGGACCAGCCCCACTGTCTCGGAGAAAACGGCAATCACCTGAGGCAGACGGTGAAGTGGAAGTGAAGTGGAAGTGAAGTGGAAGTGAAGTGGAAGTGAAGTGGAAGTGAAGTGGAATTGAAGTGGAAGTGAAGTGGAAGTGAAGTGGAAGTGAAGTGGAAGTGAAGTGGAAGTGAAGTGGAAGCAGAGGGCAAAATGGAAGTCTTTTTTTTTAGGCGTTAAAAGTCCCGAGAGCTCGTAGCCCGTGGGGGGGGCACAATAGGATAGCATGCAGTATCGAGACATGAGGCCTAGCCATAGGTCTCACAGTCAGGTGTAAGGGTGGAGAGCGGTGGAGTGGGGTGGAGTGGTACTGACCTGCAGAGCCAGCACGTCCTGTCTGCAGTCATCCCCGACCTGCCAGGAGAAGGGCATGGCATGAAGACATCAGCATCATCATGGGGGGGGGGGGGAAGAGAAGGGCATGGCATGAAGTACAGCTTAGGGTGTGAAGAACACAAGGTGTGTTTCACATAAAACGCAGAAGGAGACCAGAAAGAGAGTGTGTATGGTGGGCAAGTGCGTTCACCACAGCAGGCCCCACCCACCTTGAAGATGCAGGCCTGCTTGACGGGGTTATGCTCGTCCACCACCCCGTCCTCATCCTTGCGCACCACCATGAAGGAAATCAGGATGGGCGCCTGGGGGGAGGGAGGAGGCGGAAGGGAGAAGGGGGGAGGGTATGGGAGGTTGCAGCATGTGTCAGCCTTGTGACTGAGTGCGCTTGCGCACCACCATGAATGATATCAGAATAGACGCCTGGTGGAAGGGGAGGGCGGAATTATATGGGAGGTGGCAGCACGTGTCAGCCTTGTGGGTGAAGTGGGTGCTGTGTGTGTGTTCGTCCACACACCCAACACCCACAGACCCTCAAATGGCATTGGCATACACAGGAGCACCGTGCACACAGCGCCGTGCCACAGGAGCACCATGCCACACAGCGCACGGCACGAAGATGTTTTACCTTTTTGGCGGACTGCAGCGGAATGCCGCTGTCCAGAATAATGCTGCGCACGAGCATGTTGGGATCCGTGGGCAGATACACATCGTCGCCTGGCAGCCGTATCTTCTCCAGCTCCCTGTGCGCAAGCGAGTGAATGCAGGGTGTTGGAGGGTGTTGGGTGTGAAAGGGTGTTGTGTGATGCAGTTCCGAGCATGTTGGGATCCGTGGGCAGATCCACATCGTCGCCTGGCAGCCGTATTTTCTCCAGCTCCCTGGAGAGAGGAGGGGGACAGAATGGTGTTGGAGCAGGGTGTGATAGGACGTGAGAGGGCATTGGGTTCACTAAGAGCATGTTGGGGTCCGTGGGGAGAGAGCGGAGGTAAAAGGGTGTTGCGCGTGAGAGCATAAGTGGAAAAATGTGGTGGAGCGACGGGGACAGTATGATGAAAAAAAAAAAAAAAGGATGCCTGTGGGTTTTACTTTTAATAACAATGCAGGCAAGGACGTGCGGTTGGATGGCGGCGCTACGTGTCTCCTTGGGCACGGGTCGGAGGCTCGGAGCGTCCCGGAAATGGACGTGACAGCATCAAAGAAGGAGAAATTGCTGTTGAGCCTGCAAACATCCAGCCCCCGCCACCCCTCTCTCCCCCTAACTACACTGGAAAGCACGTACGGTTGGATGGCGGCGCGGCGCTTCTCCTTGGGAATAGGCCGGAGGGTTCCCGAGATGGAGGTGACGGCATCAAAGAAGGAGAACTCGCGGTCAAACGCCTCTTTCTGCTCGGCATTGAAGCTGTCGATGATGCGCTGCCGCACCCGCGGGACTATCGCCCACAGGATGTTCGTCGCTGCTGCTGCTGCTGCTGCTGTACTGGTTGCACCTTCACCAGATGCACCTCCGTCTGCTGCTACGCCGTTGGAGGACTCGAGGGCTGGCGGCTGCTGCCCCTCAGGATCTGCCTCCTCGCCCTGCAGCTGCCAGATGAGGATGTGGGCGAAGATATTGTTGCGCAGGGCAGCTCGCAGCAGGTACGACTCCACCAGCCCCTGCCATGGCGGGGGGGAAAGGGCGAATGGGAGGGAGAGGCGCGCGCGGATAGGCAGGAGAGGAAAGGGTTTAGGGCTTAGGAGAAGGCAGGAACAGAAGAGGCTAAGATGATGTTGCGCAGGGCAGCTCGCAACAGGTATGACTCCACCATCCCCTGCCATGGCGGGGGGGTGGAGGGGGGGGGGGTAAGAGCGAATGGGAGAGAGAGGCGAGAGAAGATTGGGGAAGAGGTGACTTGCAGAATCGACTCAAGAAGGCTTGCATCAGTGCTTATGTCATAAGCATCAGAATCATATCTTAGCCTCACATTCAGATCTGAGCACTTGAACGAGCTGCGGCATAAAGAAGGTGACAGCGGGTAGGGGGTACGTCCCCAGCACCCTGAACGCACCCTTGAGACGTCTTAAAAGGTGGTCTCGACACTCACATCGTGGTCGTATCGTAAGGCCTGCACGAGCTGTGGCATGAAGAAGGTGACAGCACCCTGAACGCGTATGCCATGACGCGTGGATGGCCCTTGAAGGCGGGCAGCAGCAGGTTGAGCATGGCAGCCACACGGAGCATGGCGCCCAGTAGGGGACATCTCACATCATGGTAGCACTGGCACTCATGATAGCATTGGCACTCACATCGTGGTCGTATCGTAGGGCTTGAACAAGCTGCGGCATGAAGAAGGTGACGGTAGGAGGAGGGTACGCCTCCAGCACCCTGAACGCGTATGCCATGACGCGCGGATGGCCCTTGAAGGCGGGTAGCAGCAGGTTGAGCACGGCAGCCACGGAGCATGGCGCCCAGTAGGGGAGAGGCAGGCGCAGCAGAGGCGAGTCCTGCTGCACTGCTGCCGGCGTCACCACCCATTTGAGAGCCTCGGGTAAGGATCGGACTAGAAGCGGCATGGACTGGTGAGGAGGGTGGGTGGGTGGGAAGGGATGGGCGGGAGAGGAGAGAGGTGAGAGTTAGTTGCACTCATGCAATGGTTGGTTGCAAGTGCATAGAGCAGCAGACGGCAGCAGCAGCAGCAGCAGCAGAGGCAGCAGCAGCAGCAGCAGCAGCAACAGGTTGAGCACGGCAGCCACGGAGCATGGCGACCAGTAGGGGAGAGGCAGGCGCAAGAGAGGCGAGTCCTGCTGCACTGCTGCTGGCGTCACCACCCACCGCAGGGCCTCGGGGAGAGAACGGACCAGCAGCGGCATGGACTGATGGTGGTTGCGTGTGAGGGGACGGGAGGGGAGCGGAGGGGAGCGGAGGGGAGCGGAGGCGAGAGGAGGGGAGGAGAGGGGAGGGGAAGGGAGGGGAAGGGATGGGAGGAGCAAAGGGGAAGGGCAGGAGTAAGTTGGGTCGATGCGATGGCTGCTAAAGACCTAGAACCCTGGAGGCATTGCTGTTGGGGTGTTTTTCGGATCCTCACCCGGATGAGCGTCCCCACGTCGTCCTGAATGCCCTTGACAGATGGGAACCGCTGCACCAAGCACACGGCCACTCGCGGGTCGACAGCCCATGCTGCGCGCACAAGTGGCGGCACGTCATTGGGCGAGAGCGACGCTGTGACACGCGCCCTGCTGCGCTGGATATCCGTGGCCGCCGCTGCTGCTGCCGTGCGTGAAGCGTCCGGCGCAACACTGGTGTGAGGGGAAAGCATAAGGCAAAGGAGGGGAGGGAAGTGAAGGTGGGAAGGGTGCAAGGTTGAGGTAGCTCAGTGCACTGCTGCACGCCCACAGATGACAGCACCTGGAAGGGCAGGATCATGCTAAAGAAACGATAACCCACCCCTGACACTCGTGTGCCATCTCATCTCAAGAATAACCTGACTGACTCCAAAAACGAAGAGCTGCACTGACCCGCGGGGAGAAGCCTAGGTGGGTTGAGAGGGAAGAACTGACCCGAGGGGGAAGGCCCATGTAGCGGAGCACTCAGCCTCGTGCGCGGTGAGCAGGGCCAGCAGGCGACTTTGAGTCGACTCAAAAGTCACTTAGGTGGGTTGGTTGGGAGGGAAGCACTAACCCGAGGGGGAAGGCCCAGGTGGCGGAGCACTCGGCCTCGTGGGCGGTGAGGAGGGCCAGCAGGCGGCGCCGCTGCTGCCTTTCATGCGAGCGGTGCGGCGAGAAGAATGCCCCCCACACTGGATGGCGCTGCTGGTGGGACTGGCAGCAGGCGGGAGGGCGGGAGAGGGAAAAAAGGGTGCATGAGGGGGGAATGAGGAGAAAAATGGCCCCCCATGCGGCGGTGCTGCTGCCTCTCCTGCGAGCGGTGCGGTGAGAAGAACGCCCCCCACACTGGATGGCGCTGCTGGTGGGACTGGCGGGGGATGGGGGGTAGGAGAGAGGGAAAGAGGGTTGCACAAGGAGAGAGTGGGAGAATCTTGTCTTCTCATGCCAGCGATGCAGCGAGAAGACGTTTTAGGCTCCTCAGAAGCGCCTCACAGCGAGAATGAGGACCCTTAGGCTCCTCAGAACTCGTCTCAATGCGGTGCTGGCATTTGATTTGAGGCGCGGCAGGAAGAAGCTGATGGCCTTACTCAACGTTACTCCCAGCCAGTCAGGGATGCAGAGGAGGGGCAACTCTGGCAGCAGCTCACCGCAGGGGAGAGAGCGGCAGTGGCAGTGGCACCAGCGGAGAGGGGCGGGGGCAGAATGCATCCTCCATGGTTTCATTGTCCACCAGCACCTTGCTGAATGCGAGAGACAAAGAGAGACCACTTACAGCAGGGGAGAGCGCAGCCGTTGCAGCAGCAGCAGCAGCAGCAGCAGGGACGGCCAGAAGGCATTCTCCATGGTCTCATCGTCCGCCAGCGTCTTGCTGAATGCGAGAGGGAGAGCAACAGCATACGCGGGCGAGAGGGCAGCCACTCACCGCAGGGGAGAGGGCAGCGGTGGCATCGGCACCAGCAGGCGGCGGCCAGAAGGCGTCCTCCATGGTTTCATCATCCGCGAGCGCCTTGCTGAAGGCGTCCATGACTGCCATCTCATCTAGGGCTGCCTGCCTCCTGTGTGCACTGGGCCACCCGTCAAAGTAGCCCGCGTCCACACTGAACCACTTCAGCACCGCTCTGATTGGAGAGTGGGGATGGAAGGTGCGGGAAGGGAGTGGGGATTGATAAGGCACTTGTTCCTGCAATCAGTCATAGCAGCCGTCAAAGTACCCCGAGTGGGGTGTGACTGATGCTCACCTGTGCGCCCGGTCCCGTAGCAACCGTGCCGAGAACACACGAGGCGACGCGGCAGCATCTGACCGGCTCACATCCGCCACTGCCGCTGCTGCTGACAAAGACGCTGCCACTGCCCCTGCCCCTCCTGCCCCTGCTGCTCCTGCTACCCCTGCTGCTCCTGCTCCTGCTGCTGCGGCGGTGCGGGCGGGGTTGGTGGCAACGATGAGGCGGGTGCGGGCGCAGGAGAGGGCGAGGCGGAAGAGGTCAAAGAGGGGCGCGCGGGCAGCAGGGTGGCGGGAGAGGCGGGTGATGTCGGAGAGGGATGCCAGCAGCAGCCTCTCGATGGCCGCTGCCTGGCTCTCACTGCCCCGCCCGTACATCTGCCAGACGGGGACGTCACAAGAGGAATGCGACGGATGGGGATGGGCACGCACAGAAGGATCAAAGGTTAGGGGGTTGGAAAAGCAGCACACTGGCTGACAGATGCGAGGGGAATGCGACGGACGGGGGGACAGATGGGGAGGGAGTCAGCTGCAAAAGAAATACTTTCCTACTTTCCCATCGGACAGACGGGGAGTCAGATGGGGAACATACTTTCCTAGCACAAGGCTAGCACGCACCTCGGCACAGTCTGAGATGAAGGTGATCCAAGCAGCATGCGCGCCCAGCTCCTCCAGTGCCTGCGCCTCCTCCCCCTTGTGGTCCGAAAACCCCTCCGGCACCCCCCCCACCACCAGCGGCCGCAGCCACCCCCGCGGCCCCTCCTCATCCCCCTGCACCGCTCTGAACACCCCTCTCCTCCCCGCCACCGTTTCCCCCCACGCCGCTGCGATTTGGGAGAGCAGAGGGGTGGAGAGGCGGGGGAGGGCGGCGAGAAGCCATGCCCAGGCGAGGCAGCAGGCGCGGAGGGACTGCGGGGTGAAGAAACGCAGGGGCGTGCGGGCCAGGAGGTGAATTAAACGCAGCTCCAGAGCTGACTGATGGGGAGACGGACGCCTCCTGCCCTGCCCTCTCTGCTGCCCCTTCTGTTGCCCTCTGTGCTGGCCCTTCTGCTGCTCTTCCACCAGCACTAGAGCAGCTACAGCCCATAGGCACTTGTCTCGCACTTTCTCTGCATCTGCTGCCACCGCTGCTGCTCTCTCCTTCTCCTTCCTCCGCCCCTCCTCTCCCCCCATGTGCCCCCATGATACCACCCCCTGCCCCATCTCCCCTCCCCCGCCCCCGCCCTCTACAAGCGCCTCCATTTGAGTCACAGCCGCCTGCAGTAGAGTCACATGGGAGTCCGGCTTGGGTGCTGCATCCCGAGCGGCGTGTGACCCAACTGCTATGCCAGTTTCGTGCTTGTAAGGCGAGTGGGCAGGGGGATGGGCCTCCAGACCTGTTGTGCCAAAGGTGACTGCTCCTGCTGCTGTGCCTGCTGTGCTTGTTATGCCGGTTGAGGCAGCAGGGAGGGAGGAGAGGGCGGAGAGCAGCCCAGCAACCTGCCCCATGCTGTGGGCTTTGAGCGCTGCTGCCACTGTGGCCTGTGCTGCTAGAGTGAACGGCGACCGCGAGGTGTCTGCTGCTGACCCTGGGGGGATTGAGTGGGGTGGGATGGAGTGGAGGAAACAAGGAGTTACGAGGGAGAATAGGGTGGATGGATAGAGCAACAGGAGGAGGGGGAGACAAAGACCGAGGAGGGAGAAGTATATGGACGGACACAGAGATTATTTCCCCTGCCCTTGCCACGAATCAGAGATGTGTAGCAGTGTGGCACGTATGCACTACCCCCAGCGCCCCCTACCTCGGGGCCGGTGCTTGATGTCTGCGAGCACACTGAGCAGCCCGGCCACTGACTCTGGATCCGAGTCCCCACCACGCAGCACCTCCTGTTGCAACACGTGGCCAGTGGGGAGAATGGGGATGGGTTGAAGAGAGCGTTCAAACAAAGAAGCGCACACACATGAGAAAATATGAGAGGGGATGTGAGGGGTTGGGGAGGAGGAAGGGGGAAAAGAGGAGACAGAGCACGGGGATAGGTTGGCAGCTGTCTGTCCTGTATATCTACACACAGGAGCACGACAAGTGACGACGTGGTGCCGGCGTGCCTCCAAGGACCATCCTCCACAATCCATCCCTCCCACCCCACCCCACCCTACCCCACCCCACCCCCCAGATCTCACCTCCACCAATGCCTGCGTGACAAGTGGCGCGAGGAGGAATGCCGTGGCGAGCCAGTCCTTGGCAACATCCATGGCCAGGCTCTCAGCCGCTGCAGCCGCCTCCGGGTCCCACGCCACCTCTGCTATCTCCTCCTCCCCCTCCCCTCCTCCCGCTCCCCCGCCCACCCCTGCCGCTGCCTCTGCTGCAGCCTCTCCGACGGATGCGAGCATGTGCTGGGGCGGGTGGAAGCGGAGGAGGGAGCGGATGCAGCGCGGGTGCCAGAGGAGGTGCGGGAAGGCCTTGCGCAGCAGGCTGAGCATGGTGCGCGCTGTGTCTCGCACAAACTCCTGCCCGTCCCAGAGAGCGTCTAGGAGGGCGCATCCGTGTGCTGAGAGGGCTGCCTGCCTCACCGTGTCGCTGGGCTCGTGCTCCTGGAGGGGAGGGAACGTGCAAATGAAGGTGAAAGGATGGAAGGTGCGAACATTGCTGCATAGAGCAGAGCACAGAGTAGCTGCAAGCAGCCCAGGCACAAGCAAAACCCGGGGCAAGCGTCTCAAAGGAGCAAGGAGAAAAAAAAAAAAAAAAAAAAAAAAAAAAAAAAAAAAAAAAAAAAAAAAAAAAAAAAAAACAAAGCCAAAAGCCTCACCAGGGCGAGGAGAAGAGCGTCAAAGGCGCGAAGCACGACGGCAGAGAGGCAGTGGCGCACGGCAGCGCGGGGGTTGGGCATCTGAATGTACTCCAGCAGACACGTCACTGCACTGCGGTTCTCACTCCCCTCCTCCCACCGCTGCCGTGCCGCCACCACCCCTGCTGCCTCTCCTGCTGCTGCCCCTTGACTGGTCTCCTCTCCGCGGGTGGACGAGTGGGGGGTGGTGTCGGGGACAGGGACGAGCGCGGAGGCAGCAGAGACGCGGAGGGACTCGAGCAGCACAATGGACAGCAGATTGGTCGCCTTCACTCCTGCAGAAGGAGAGATGCACGGGGAGATAAGTGGGCACATGCACGAGACGAGAGGATGCGCAAGAGAATTCACGGGAGGATGCGCAGGCATTGAGAAAAAAGTCTACATCCGATCGGTTACAATGACAGAGCGTGCTTCACAACAAGACGCGGCCAGTCCACATGCATGCCCTTCCGTGCCTCGCAGCGGCCTGCTTGATGCCGCTTCCTATCTGACTCCCTGCCAAAATCAGACCATTCCCCCCCCTCGACCCCACCCCACCCACCAGTGATGCTGCTGATGACGCTCGCGTCAAGTCTTGACCCCAACGCCGCGCCCAGCACGTTCCTTTGCCTCACGGCCGCCTGCTCGTTGCCGCTGCCCCTCTGGCTGCCGGGGCGGTGCAGCGCCGCGAGTTCCAGCTCGTCATCGAGGCGGGAGAAGGCGCCCACAGCCTGCACAGAGGGGTGCAGAGAGGCCCGCCCACGCACCCTCCAGCAGCACACGCGGGCCTGGCACCTCTGAGCACACGTCAGACACCCTACATGCGAGAAAGCCAGAGTCTAAATGTGCAGTTTCAGGTGCTGGTGCATGCTTGTGTGCTTGTGTGCTTGTGTGCTTGTGCGTTCGTCTGCTTGTGTGCTTCTGTGCTTGTGCATCTGTCTTCTTGTACAAGCAACTATTCTTGAGGGCCACATACCAGCGGAGGAGTATGAGCAGCGATGAGCCGCATAGCAGCCGCCCACTCAGGCCGCCATGCATACGGCCCCTTGGTCAAGGCATCCGCACTCCCCACCACCTTGCCACCTCCCCCACCACCGGTGCACGTGGCCAGCACCCCAGGAGGGCCCCCAGCAGCAGCATCAGGAGAACCAGCAGCAGCAGGAGAAGCAGCAGCAGTGCTGGTGGGTGCGGCACCAAAGGCACCATCGGCAGCAGTGGCTGCAGCAGCAGCGGCGGCGGCGGCAGCGGCAGCAGCGGAGGCGGGGGAGGAGTGGAGGGGCGGGGCGAGGCGGAAGAGAGCGCAGTAGAACCAGAGGTTGCGGAAGAGGCGCTGCAGGGAGGGGTCTACTGGACGGTGTAAAGGGTCCACGTGACGACAGGCTGCTGCCACCGCTGGGAGCAACGGGCCTAAAAGCTCTGCCCCTCGACTGTTTGGGTGGCAAGGGGGAGAGGGAGGGGAGAAGGATGAGGCGCTGCAGGGAGGGGTCTACTGGACGGTGTAGAGGATCCACGTGACGACAGGCTGCTGCCACTGCTGGGAGTAAGGGGCCTAAACGCTCTGCCCCTCGGCTAAAAGGGGAGAGAGGCGGCACGTGAAAGGGGAAGGGTGGAGAAGAGGGAGGAGACAGAACGGTGAGGTGCTGCAGGGAAGGAGGAGTCCACAGGGCAGTGCATGGGTCCACCCCACCGGTGGCCTGCTGCTGCAACCGCTGGGAGCAAGGGGGCCAAGAGCTCTGCTCCACGGGCGATACCGCAGGAGACAGGAAAAGGGGATACAGTTGCGGTTGCAAGAGGCGGGTGAGAGGTGGGTAAGAGGCGGTTAAGAGGGGAACACATGCACTGCAAATGCCAAGATCCATGAACTCAGTGCATGTGGACCACTCACCTGCCCCCCTCGGCCTCTGTGGCGAGCGCCACCTCAGCACAGGTGGCGAGCAGGCGACGCAGGAAGTCGTCTCTCAAGGATGGACGGGACAGACCCGAGGCCAGCTGCGCCAGCACGGAGGACAGCACCTGGTGGGGGTGGGAGGCGAGGCAGGAGAAGAGGAGAGGAGGGCAGATAAATGGCAGGAGGTGGTTTCGAAGCGATGGGAGGGAAAGAGTAAACGCAAGCTGTGACAGCACGGATCAGAGCAGCTCATTTAGGGTTGGGGGAGTTGAGAGGCGGGAGAAGAGGAGAGAAGAAGGGGTGGAAGTTGTTTCTGTAAAATTTGAGCAACTCTCCTATCCCAACTCCCAACTCCCACATCCTCCTTACACGTCCCTTCCTCCTCCCTCCCTTCCCCGTCCATCCCTTCCCTCCCCCCTTCCTCCAGCACTCACCTCCACCTGAGGCTGCACCTCGCCTGCCTCGCGCCCATACTCCCACAGCAGCAGCACCGCCACCTCTCGATACGGCCCCTCCTGCCCCATGCCTGCCGCCGCCACTGCTGCTGCTGCCAGCGCGCGCAGCACCTCGTGGCGGATAGCGGGGTCCTCCTTGGGAGCCCTGACTGCCTCCAGCAGCAGGGGCACCACGGCTGTCACGGCTGTAGCGCCCCTGGCCGCTGCTGCCACCTCTACTAGGATGGGCGCCAGGTTGTAGCGCAGGCATGCCATGCTGGCCCGCTGCTGCTCGTCCTGTGGAAGAGAGAGGGGAAACAGGAGACGGGGAGCAAGGCAATGGTTGTAGCACAGTCAGAGCACGCAGCACCTCGTGGCGGATAGCGGGGTCCTCCTTGGGAGCCCTGACTGCCTCCAGCAGCAGGGGCACCACGGCTGTCACGGCTGTAGCGCCCCTGGCTGCTGCTGCTACTTCCACTAGGATGGGCGCCACATGCCATGCTCGCGCGCTGCTGCTCGTCCTGCAGAGGGGAAAGGCAAGGAAACAGGGGGGAGGAAGTGAGGGCACAGGTTGTAGCGCAGTCACGCCACGCGGGGAGCAGTAAAAGGCGCTAAGGCTGTAGCGCTTCTAGTTGCAAGTTTGTTTGTCTGAGTACTAGACACTGCGTTTCTCCTTGACTGACATTCCTAGTTCTCCTTTTCTTTTCCGCTCCACCAAGCAAGAACGTCCCTCTAAATGGAGGAAGTGTAATGGCACAGCACCTGGGAGGAGGGCGGCTGGCGCATGTAGGATCCGAGGGAGAGCAGGAAGGACTTGACTCGCGAGTGGTCGCCAGAGGCCCACGTGGCCTGCAGCAGCACGCTGCACGCCCCCACCACACTCGCCACCATCGGCGCCCGCCTCTTCTTGGCAGTGAGAATGGTGGGGTTGGGCGTGGGGGAAGCAGCAGGGATGGGGCTCTGCATGGCAGCGGCGAGCACGAGGGAGCGCATGGGCAGGAGCGTCTCCTGCAGCGCTGCTGCCTCCGCGTCCTCCCGCCCTGCCCCGCTCGCCTCGCTCTGCCGCACTGCCAGCCTGGCCGCTGCTGAGAGCACCGCTGAGAAGAGATCCTCACAGGCCGGAATCTGGTGGGGGGCAGGGGCCGGGGGTCGGGGGTCGGGGGCCGGGGGTCAGGGGCAGGGGCCGGGGGTCGGCATTGGAAAGGATGTGTTAGAAGGTGAGCAACACGGAAAACGGAATGACTCTTCGTCTCCTCTTCTCAAGCTCTTGACTCTTTTCTCGCTTTATATCGATCATTCAAGCCCCACTTCCCCCATCCCCCTTCCTCCATCCCCTGCATCCACCATCCCCCTTGCCCACTCCCCCCGTCCCCCATCCCCTTCCCCTCACCTTGCGCCATGCGGATCGCGAGCAGGCATCGGCCGCCTGAAGGCACAGCGCCCTCACGCCCTTCACCCATGGGACGTCCCCTTCCCCCTTTCCCATTTCCCACACCCCCACACCCCCACCCTCGCTCATCCCCCCAGCCCTCTCACCTTGCGCCATGCGGATCTAGAGCAGGCATCAGCCACCTGCAGGCAGAGCGCCCTCACGCCCTTCACCCATGTGATGCCCTCTTCCCCCTTTCCCATCCCCCCCCCCACCCTCCCCCATCCCCACCATCTCACCTTGCGCCAGGCGGATCGCGAGCAGGCATCAGCCACCTGCAGGCAGAGCGCCCTCACGCCCTTCACCCATGTGATGCCCTCTTCCCCCTTTCCCATCCCCCCCCCCACCCTCCCCCATCCCCACCATCTCACCTTGCGCCAGGCGGATCTAGAGCAGGCATCGGCCACCTGCAGGCACAGGGCCCTCACGCCCTTCACCACTCGCAGCGACGCCCGCCCTCCCTCCACCGCTGACGTGGCAAACGCTGCTGCTGACTCCGCTGCGTGCAGCCTCGCTGCAACCTCTGCCCGAGCTGCTAAAGACATTCCTGCTGCCTCCTGCCTCCGCAGCTGCCAGACAGTAGCGAAAGTGGAGATTTTGATGGGAGGTGGGGAGGGAGGCGGGGGGAGAGGGGAGAGAGGAAAAGGGGGAAACGGGAAGAACGGAAAGGAGAGGATGGAGGGAGCAAGATAGAGAGGTATGGAGAAACTACCTCGGCGGATGGGAACGGGAGAGAGGATGTGCATGCATGAATGTGAACTGCACAAGGCAACAATCACAGCCCTGTGCTGTCCCTTGGGGTTGTTTTCTCCTTGCCATATGTCCACGTCCACAGGTTTCAGGTTTAAAACGCGATTGCCCAAAGATAATCCCTAGGAGGCAACAGAGAGGCAGCAGAAGCAGCAAGGTGGGCCAACAGCAGCAGGCAGGACAACCTCAGTCCAAGGTGGAGTGGAGGTCGGTGGCACAGAGGCAGGCGCAGGAGGAGAGTGAGAAGGGGATATGCACGCAGCGAGCCCCAGCCCTGTAGCAGAGGACGGAAACGGTGGATGGTACACACTGCTGCTCCCACTGCTGATGCCGCTGCTGCTGCCGCTGCCACTGCCCCTTCTACCACCAGCAGCTGCAGCAGCAGCGGCAACGGCACATGCCGCAGCAGCAGTGGCGGTGGCGGAAGAGAGGTGCGGGCGAGGAGGGGTTGCCAGAGTAGTGATAGACGGAGTCGGGAAGACCCAGGAGGACCGCGGAGGGGTGCAGCCTGCAGGAGCAGCGGCGGCGGCGGCGGCGGCGGCAGCGGCGGCAGTAGAAGCAGTGGAGGCGGCAGTGGCAGCAAGAGAGGGCGTGGAATCAGAACGGGGCGGGGCGGCAGCAGCAGCGGCGGCGGCAGCGGCGGCGGCGGGAGCAGTGTTGGCAGCGTATGCGAGCAGCAGGAGCAGCACCGGAGGCGGCCACATGAGCGGCTGCCAAGGTAGCAGCAGCAGGGAGAGGAGAGGAGGGGCAGTGGCAGATGGCAGCCACAGGGATCCGCGGCAGGCCCGGCGCAGAGCACATTCATGCAGGCAAGAGGCAGCCGAGAGGCAGCGGCGCGCGTAGGCAGCAGTAGCCCCCACAGCCGATGAGCACACGCCACGCCATGCCACGCCCCCACATCATCCAGGCAGGCAGGCAGCCGCAGCAGAGGCAGCAGCAGACGCAGGGGTGGGAGCGCATTAGCCTCTCGAACGAGGCTCACCCAGTGGCATGGGAGTCAAAGCAACGTGCCTTCCTAGAGCAATGTGCATTTCTAGAGCAGTCTGTATTCCTGAAATCAGTGTTTCCCAGCTCTAATCGAAGGAACGACCCATCAGCCCACCAAACAGCAACCCCCTCACCTGCAAAAGCTTGATTGAGTTCGACAGCAGAGCTGACGTGGCAGCGACGTATTGGCCGACCACGCTCTCAAGAGCCTTCTCCCCCGCGCTTTCTGCTGCACCTCCGCGTTTCCCCGCAAGCGCGCCATTATCCTCCCCGCCCACCACCGCCGCAGCTACCCTGAACGCGCCTGCCAGCAGCTGCAGCCGCCACGGAGCCACAGGAACCGCCCCCACCAGTTCCACCGCCCCCTCCGCTCCAGACAAATGCCCCGCGTCCCCCGCCGCTCCGGTTCCTGACGTCAGCAGCGACGTCAGCTGCTCGCTTGACGCTGAGGGTCTGCGTCCGTCCGCATCGTCCCCCCCCAGCCCGCTTTCCCCTCCGCCGCTGCTGCCGCTTCTACCCAGAGCGACGGCGGAACCCGCTGCGCCAACGCTCCCCCCGGCCACGTGCGGCTTCACCCACGCGTCGAACACAGCTTGCAGTGCTTCCGCCAATGCGGAACCGGCGCTTCCGTCGCTTTCCGCGGTGTCCCCGCCAGGCGCATCGTTTCCGCCGGCTTCCGCGAGTCCCGCGGGGATGCAGTGCAGGGCTAGCGCCAGAACCACCTCCCCCACTACCGCCTGCACGTCCGCACCCGCAGAGGACGCGCGCGCGGCTGTTCCGCCTGTGAGCGCGGAATCCGAACTGGTGCTGTCGCGACTCGACGGGCTGGCGGACGCTTCGAGGAAAGCGTCGTGCGAGCGCGCCAGGCCCAGCAGAAGCTCCGCCGTCGCCTTCCCCACGGGGGAGCCGAAGACGCGCGGGTCGGCGGAAGCGCAGCGGCGCAGCTCCGCCAGGAATGCGCGGAGAGCGCCGGAGCGACAGCAAGCGAGCATTGCGCGGCAGGCGGGGGAACCCGCGTGGGTTAGAAGCAGGTCGGGAATGGCCTGCAGGTAATCCAGTGCGAGGTTGAGCACGGGGAGAGCGGAGACATGCGCGGACGCGTCATGATGCTTGCGGAGAGATTTCGCGCAGGTGGCTCCGCCGCCAGCAGCTCCCCCTGCGGCTGCGCTGGACGGATCCGGACCGGCGAGCGAGCCGACGGCTGCTGCGAGCTGGCGCAACTCGCGGGGAGCGAGGAATGCGGAAAATGTCACCGACGGCTTCCGGAACCGCCATTTGCTAGCAGACGCGTCGCCGTCGCTATCAATGTCGTCAGCTCGCGACGATGATTCGCGAATGCCTCCCGATGCGAGCACTTTCTTTACAAGCAAATCGTGAATGTTGGCGGATGTCTCTGAAACGCGAGGATATGGTGGCTTCCCGTGGGCATCGGCGGGAGGAATCTGCGCGAGAGTTCGAAAGAGCTCCTCTGCGGAGCTACGCCTGAACACCATGGCTGCCTCGGATCCTTAGTAATGCTAAACCTAACCTGAATCACAGGCTATGTATGCCAATAGGCATCTTACAAGCATGCTGCTAGTCTGGTCTGAAGCACTAGTATGGACGGCAGAAGACTCATCAAGAAGCTGATGTAGCAACGGGTGCAATGATAAATGGACGGAATGCCAGGCGCGGGGAAGGCGATACAGTACGGAAAAGGAAGACTGGGGGAGTTCAGGGGTGCGCGGAGATTCCGAGAATCGTTGAGGCTGTCACGGGCTAAACTGGGGGCACCCCTCCCGCGGAGCCCGAATGGAATACCGCAGTCCTCAGTTGGGTGGGTACCTCTCATCCGTTTGGAGGTTCAGCTTGTAGAATTGTAAAAGATCATACTAATAAAATTGTTCAGTTGATTGGCAACAGTAACAAGGTTCATACTAGTATAGGAGTCTTGATTCTTGTTTAACTTTCAAATCGTTTTACAGTTACTTTCAGCTTCGAAATTCTATGTATAAAAGTATACATTCAAGTGTCAGAATATACAAACTGCTACAAAACATCAACTTGCCCTAAAGCCTGTTGTAGAAATACAAGATACCTGCAGAGAACAAAAGAAAGCATTAGTATCCAGGCAGAGGTATTAGCAGTTAAACTAAAGCAACCAAAACGACTCACATGGATTTACACTGTCTTGGTCTGGAAAGAGTGGCTGCAGGAGGCATTGCAATTGGCTGCAGAAGGCACCCTCAGAGTCGCTAAACCCAAGGCATGCGGGAGCCCATTTTCACAGACTGAATCTGCTGATACAGAGCTGCTGCAGTCAGCTCTGTACAACAGAATCAGTCTGCTACATGGCCCGGATCCAAGTCTTTAGACAACCCCAAGGGACCCTCAGCACCATACTTTGCCTCCCCATGCCTTCAAATTACCTGCACAACGACAAATGAAATTTATTAGTCCTCAGCCAGAGTGAGAAGGAATGAAGTGAACATTGCATCAAACTGCTAAAATGATAAAGACATACCTTGATTGCTGAGTTCATCTTCTTCATTGATGGACGTTAAGATCTTGATTGCTGAGTTCAGCATCTTCAATGATAGAAGTCATTTGAACATCTTCCATGTTGAACCACCTGCAGGATAAAAGAGAGTTGTTAGTGAATGTTTTACACCACAAGAACTTAATGCTTGAAACTGAAACTCACCTTGAAGGCTCAACTTGAAGATAATCCAATGAAAGTTTGAAGCTTGAGACTTCATGGACTCTTGCCCATCTTCAGAGGAAGCGTCCATTGGCTTGAAACTCCTGCAAGAAGCAATACGAAATGTTAGTGTGTGTGCCACAAAGTATAACTGTCAAATGCTTGAAATGTTACCTTGTAAAAAAAGCTTGAATCTTGGAACTTGGAATGAAGACTCTTGGCCGTCTAATTGAAAAGTCAAAGTTGCCATGTTGAAGCTCCTGCAGGAGTAAAATCAGAATGTCAGTGCATGTGCCAAACAAGAAAACTGTCAAAAGTACTAGACTTTACCTTGAGAACCTTCAGTCTTGGGGGTTGAAATGGTTGATTCCAAACGTCTTTAAACTTTGAAGGCCTTCAGTTTTGAAGTACCTACAAAGCGAGAGAAGGAAAGGGAAGGGGTTGTATGAGTAATGGTGGCAGAAGAAGGTCCAGAAAGGCAAGCGTATGCATGCATGATGGGTGGAGGATGCATAGCATGGATGCAAGGGTGCTCACGCCACAGCCACAAGAGCCATATACCAGAAAAAAAAAAAAAAAACTCTTAAGGGACCTGAAGGACTCACCAGAATAGAGTACCTTTAAAAAAATACCAGGGAAGGCTCAAGTGGTGGTAGTGTTAAGCGCTCAAGCATACATATTATGCAATGGAATGCGAAAATGTAATGATGATGGCTGAAAGAGCAGAAACTTGACCAAAAGGAAACAATGAAAGAGAAGACAAGGGCGCGTGATACTTAGCTTTTTCTTGAACTGTTGACGTCGTGCAGGTTTGCCTCAACGAATTGAAGTTGACTGTTGAGCACCGTGCTGCTTCAACGCGGTTGAAGGAATTGACGGAAGACCTCTGCCAGTCAAAAGAGGGAGAAGGGGGAGTAGTAAGTATAAGCAGCAGTGGAAGGTCCAACAAGAGAGGAAAAAATGCACGTGTATGATGACTGCCATGAATGAATATGAAGCACATAGCCAGAGCGCTTATCACAACATACCACAGGAACCAAGTACCAGAAAAATACCAGAAGAGAAGTACCTAGGGTCTCACCAGAAAAGGGTTACCTTGAAAAATATATGTACCAGGGGGAATGGAACGTGCAGTAGTTGTGATAAGCGCTGCTCGAGCATGAAACATATGTCACGGCGATGATGAGCGGAAATGAGTTTGAGCGGAGCAAAGAGGGAAGCGGCACTTATCTGCAAAAAGGGTTGCATGTCTTGAGCGTTGGAAATCTCGCTTGAAAGTTGAGTTGACGACTTGACTTGAGGAGCGCTGCTTTGCAGTGCTGCTCCTCTTGATCTTCGATCCTTAAAAGCCTTTGCTGGTCCAAGATAATTGAAGCAACACCTGAACGCATCAAACAAAAGAAGAAAAAAAAAAAAAATCAGTTTCAAGTGCAATGGGATGCAATAAAGTTGACAAAAGCGGTGAAGTCGTACGTGGGGAAATGGGGAATGTTTTCCAGCCAAAACAACCGCACTGCAAAGCTCTGACAGACCGACGCAGCTATGCTCGACTTAGCGACGCGGACGCTAGACCGACTAAAGAGGCTAAACCAGACCTGGGGTAGGAGACAGGGAGCTCTACAGGCGGCGCTTTGGCTGGAAAACAAAATAAACAGCAAGAACAAAATGCTGGAAATAGAAGGGTCGACAGTAGTGGAAGGAACACTTAGCTGGAAAGGTCAACGGCGGGCTGGTGAAAACGAGCTGGCGAAATCCCATGCACTTGAGACATCCTATGCTGGAGCAGGTTGCACCTTGAACCGACTGAAGCTCCTACCCAGAAGGCGAGTTACACGGAGATTGAAGGGCATAACGGTAAAAGCCGTGGTAGCATCGTAGAAGCTAGATTGCTAGATCGGAGTACAGGAAAGAGGATGACCTGGTTGTCTAAATATTCGTGGCTATCCACGGATTGAGAGGGCGGAAGCACAGGCGATGAGCAATTTCCACAGGGAACCCACACGGTTTCGAGCCGCGAAGCATAGGCGATGAACAAATTCCACACGGAATGCACACGGTTTCGAGCCGCGACCGTTTGTGGCGGTAAACAAACGGCTGCTGCGGAACTCGGGTGGATATTAGAGATTCACGGTGAACCTGTCAGTGAAATGTTTGGGAGGGAGCGGCTGAGGCAGAGCAGAGCGATATTTGGATCGGGGGGGTGGGAGCGGCTGTGTAAGGACAATGGGGTGGGAGAGAGGGTTTCAGGATGGGATGGGGTGATGCTCAACCGAGATTGACAGACCTTGGAGTTTGGTGTTCACGAACTTCACGAAGCTCGGAGTTTTGCTGGTTTCACTGTTTCGCACTAGCAATAACATTCTTCGCGAGCTGATTGGTGATGAAATTTGGACCAGTAATGAAGCATCATGCCATGGTAGGGTGTATGCTTTCATTCCATGGATATCTACGCGGAATATGGCAAGCTGGTTTGGCTCGAACGGAAACTACACGCGGAAAAAGGCGCGCGGGGCGAAGCGCACTGTGCAGCGCGGAGCGGACTGCACAACGCCGCAAAGTACGCCGAATGGCGCGTGGGGCGAAGCGCAACCTGCTGCGCGGAGCGGGGTCCACCGTCCACTGCGCCGCAAAGTTTCAGGTAATATCGAAGCAGCTGAGCTTGTCGTCAAATCCCTTCCGTGTACCCCACAGAACACATCAAAAAAATGAAAAGCACACTAGGAACAACCAATCTAATAATCTTTGTAAGACTTCAGCTCTCTTAGAACTCATTTAATCATCTCCAGATGTGACCACCATTCCATTCAATAAAAACTGCTTGTCTGTTCATTCTTTATCACTCCAAGCAAACACTTAATTGTTGAATGTCTGACAATATAACTAGAGTTAATTTCCACAGCAAAAATCAAGCATAATTGCTCAAAACATTCTTCTCAGAACGTTTAATTTTCAAGGAGTCTTGAATCTTCAAATATGAGGTGACCAATCTTCATGAGTATGAAGCCATGTGCTGTATTAGGAACAAATAGCACATTATTACATTGTGCTATTTGTGCACACCATCCTCACCGGACCTCACATCACCCTTTTCCCCAGTTCAGCAGCAGTTCTGCTCGCTCTGGCCCAGATGAAATCCAGCTGGCAGATGCCAAGCTGCCAATGTCCCCCATGTGCAGCGTTTATCGTGTTCCACATCTTGAGCCTAAGCTGTCGTTTAGCCAGCATACCCCGTGAATCCATTGAATAACTTCGTCAAGCTCTCGCCAGGGATCTCTTGGCGTGAGCGAGGTGAGCGAAAGCTAGCGAGAATTTGGTGAGATTTTCAAGGTCTGCATGTTTTGGAGGGTGGGATGCGACAGAACACCACGTCAGGCTGTTTGGTCATGTCATGATAACATGATTTTGTTCCCCCATGTGGTTGCTTTGGTTGGTCTGGTGCTGCTTTGGAAGTGTTGAAGCTGTTACTAGATGGCTTCGCCTCCGCTTACATTTTTTTCGTCCTCATCGCTACAGCAATTTCAAGCTTCGCTGACAGGGTGATTGTGCCGCATGCGACACTCGCTTGACTCGCCAGATTGGTCGTCGGAAGGAGCAGCGGGTGGGGGCCGACAAGACACAAGACACCTCACCGCCGACCCCCCAGGCAACGAGCAAGCGCCCCTCCAGCAAGGGCCCAAGAAGAGCAGCTCGTACCAACTGTCGCCTTTCTCTCTTCCATTCCATAGCTTCCCCCCTTGCGTCACTCCAGCTCAGGCCAGAGGAACAGGTCCCTCTGCTCCACCCCTTCTTGCCAACCGCAGGCCCTCCCATCGGCTGCAGTGTTCCGCCGGAACCTCAGGTCGTTAGAACTCAATCCTGATCCGTTGTCCCCTTTGTCGAATGGCTTGTAGCTGCGAAGAGATCCATTGTCTGACCATCTCGTCTGCATGCCCATTGCTCATAGAGAGAGACAGCAAGCACTCCATACTATCACCACAGCTGAGTAAAAATGCCGAGTTTCAGCGCGTCCACGGAGCTCGTTTTTGCATGTTCGTCCCTGGTATGGCAGAAACACCGCCTCCGCAATCTTCCCAAGATCCGATCGATAGCATATCAGACATGGACGGGAAAAGGCCTATCGCGTCGCGGCGGGGAACCAAGCTACTCGCCATACCCCTCCCAGACCCCCCACCGGGTACCTCCTTCGATTTCTTCCACCGTTCCGCCAGGACTCCCGCTCGAACTCCCGCCGAGAGCAATCCCGCCGCCGGTTCGAGCTCCACCTGCCGTCGCGCCTCTCCGCGGCTTCCGCGCGACGTTGCCGTCGCGCTCACGCCCACGCTCTCCTCCTCCCCGCAGCCGCGCGCCAAGCCGCATCACGCGGCGCCGCATCCTCCTCCGCGTCGGCCGTCCGCCTTGGATGCCGGCGCGGACAGCTCGCTCGAAGCGACAGGAACGACGGCGCCATGCAGGCGGCCGGCGCGCCACGCGCCGCTCTCTCCGTGTTGCAAGCTGCATTGGCGACGCGTGGTCGTGGTATCCCTGCTGCTGCTCTCCTTCGCGCTCTTCCTCCTCATGCTCCCCGCCTTGTGGCTCGCTCACGCCTGGCCCTTACCGTCGCTGCCGTCGGTGACCGTCGCGCCGCGCGAGTCGATCCCCTCGGCGCGCTTCAAGGCGTTTGAAGTTGGCCTCGGAGGCCCGCTTAGCCTCTTCATGCGCCGACCGTGGCTCGCGGCGAGAGCTTCGCCAGAAAGCCTACTAACGCCGGGTCTACCGCTGTCGCATCTCAAGAGACACGTCAGCGCGGATTTCTTCGTTCCGCGGGTGGGGAGCGGCGCGATTTCCCGCCCTGCGGCGCATCCCTTGTCCCTGTTGAGATCGTGGCTCCGCTGGAACCGCGGAGAGGCAGGCAGCGAGAGCATTCCCGAAAATGCGGGGGCAAATGCACCTGCGCCATTGAGTGGCGGTGGCGACTCGGATGTCATCACAGATCCGCACAGCGGCGGCGACGGCGACGGCATTTGCGTCGCAATTCCTTCCTCCCCGCGCTCCTTCCCCCACCGGGAGCTCCCCCCGTGGCACTTCCCCGTGTCGCTGCTGAAATCGCTGGACGAGCGCCACTCCCGACGGAATTCTGCGCATAGGGGGAAACAGCTCGGCGGTCTGGGGGAAATGCACGCGGTGGTGTATAGCGCCGGCTGCAAGGCGTCAGTTCCAGCCGCCCTTGCGGCCAATCGACGGCAGCGCATGGGTAGGCTCAGGCGGATCGGAGCAGCTAAGAGTGTGGAGGATATGGAGGCGGATTTTGTTGTTGAGGATACGAAAAGGGCGAACGAGATGGTTGGTGTTTACACGCGGGAGATTGAACGGGCGGCGCAGGGATTGTCGATGCGTGTGGATGTGCTGAGAGCGCATGAGGACGTGTGCCGGTTCATTGGACAGGAGGAAGGGGAGTTGAGGCGCGGTGGAGTTGAGGATAAGGTTGTGGGGAAAGAGGGGTGGGAGAGCTGGAAATGGCGCACGAAACTGGTCATGGACTTTGTCTATGTGGCAAGGCAATGCCTGGCCACAAGACCAAAGTATGTGCTGCTGCTGCAGGATGATACCCTACCTGCCAAGCTGTATGACGTTGGGATTGAGAAGTTTGTAAGCGAGGATTTGGCGCACAAGAGCTGGGCAGTTGTGTCGTTGTACAATCCCCAGTCGTACAACTGGAAACACCAGCACGGGGATGAATACTCTGTGCCCTGCTGCGCCCAGGCACTCCTGTTCAACGTGACTGCGTTGGAAGGTATACTGCAGTACATGGAGGCGCACTTCATGGAGACAAACATGGATCTTCTGGTGAACAAGTACCTGATTGTGTCAGGCGTCAAGGGGTACGTTCACTTGCCTTCCCTGTTTCAACACCTAGGGTCCGTTAGGACAAAGGACAGTGGCACAAGTAGGCCGGATTTGATTCATGTAGATAATGATTTTGATGAGAATGTAGTAGTAGGGAGGTGAGTAGGATCAGGATTATTTAGCATGTTTTGTATAATAGAAAAGTTTTCCTAGATTTACGAGCGTGTATGGCCTTTTCCCAACTGAATTCGGAATTGCACCCATCAACGCCAGCTGCGCCAGCGGCATTCCTGGCTTGGAGAAATTCCCCCGCGTCGTCCCCCAGTTCGGGCTCCCCACTTGGCATCATGTCATGCTTTGTGGCCCGAGAGGAAGACTTGGCGGCAAAATCGACGCGATCCGTTCACCGCGCTCACATTCAATTTCACATGGCGACTCGCGACTCGGTGGCGGGAGAAAAACGTTGATTTGGATTGAGACCTTGACCAACTCAGCGCAGCTCCTTTCCATTCCACCCCAAAGCAGCAGTAACAGCACTGCAGTCGCAAAAGCTGGGAGTTTCTTGCTCGGAAGGAGGGTGATGCGTTTCTTGCTGTGTGGGTTAGAAGTGCGGCTATCTTGCTGGAACAAACACGAGCTTAGTACGTAGATGAGTTTGCCGGGCGTTTCTCGCCTGAACGCAGTCATCGTAGCCTCGCCGATTCTTCGTACGAGTGTTCGCTTACAGAGCAAGCTCGAGCCTTCGCTTTCCTCTCTCACCGCAACGTCCGCCGTCAACGACGCACGGCCCGCTCCAGCAGTGCTTTATCGTAGCCGTCACAACACTTGCGGAATTCCTGAGCTAGCCTGTTATGTCTAGTCTCTCGCTCGTAGTGCAACGTCGTAGCCGTCACAACACTTGCGGAATTCCTGAGCTAGCCTGTTATGTCTAGGTCTGCTCCCGGTCGAACATCTTCAATGCTCTCTCGGTAGTTTTTGAAGTTCGCGACGCGACAACAGCGGAGTACGCAACCTTGCAAGTTAGATACTCTCTTATTGCGCCTAGTAGTTCAGTAGCTAATGCATGCGGGACGGCGTACACAGCTCCGACGCACTGCCGGCGCATAGAATCTAGAAAATACCTAACACGCGCCAAGCTTCGCGTAAATCTAGTCTGCTCGAATTGGCGTTGTCGAGTAAAAGCCGCTCGCTTAGAAGCTCGCCCGTTCCAAGGTGGTTGTTTTGAGGCGCGATTCAAGAGCATCACCCTCGCAATGCTTTCAAGACGGCCTAGCGAGTCGTTGCCCTTGTGATTTCATTTGTCTCGTGTTCCTGTTACAATCACCTTCGCTATTCGTCGCTACCCTGAAGGAGAATATACGCACTATCTATAGCAATCCGTAAGCCATCCATTGACGAGTCGAAATTCTCGAAATCATACGAAGCGGTATAATTACTCCGTCATGGCGCCGTGCGCTATGCCCCCCCGCCTGTTCGTACTCGTGGTTGCGTTGGTGGCGGCCGTGGCGCTGCTGTCGCCGCCGGTGGTGCGAGCCGGCATCAATCGCGTTACCGTCATCGACTCCTCGCAATGTACGCACCGCGCGCATTCCCATCCCAGTGTACGCACACTCACACTCAGTGTACGGATGCACTCGAAGCGCACGCAAGAACTCACACCGTTTTTAGCGGGTCACTCACTTGCCACCCGTTTGTTACGGCTTTGGCACCATCTTCTCATGCTTGTGCGCGCAGTGGCGGTGCTGCGCGCTCTATCCAAGGAGTGGGGCCGCGGGTTCAACTACTCGCGCGCGTGGTCGTCGAAGCAGCCGCCGAAGCGCTGCATGGCGTACCCCGGGATCATATGCAACGACAAGGGTATCATCGTCGGACTGTACGTACGCTCACATGTAACGCGGCTACGAGCGCGTGTATTATCAGAAGGATGGTTGGATTGCAACGTGAAGAAACCGCCGGAACTATGCAAGCTTACAGAAGAAGCTCCTGCTTCTTCGTGGCTGTGCATGGCTGTGTGGTGATACGTGTGTGTGCGTGTGTGTGATGGTTTGTAACGGTGTGAGGCGGTTCGTGGTGGTGCGTGCTGGTGCGTGCTGGTGTGCGCAGGAACGTGAGCAACACCAACATCAACGGCACGATCAAGGGAGTCAGCGCCCTCACCGCGCTGGCCTTGCTGTGAGTCAACGCGAGTCAATGCTCACTCCACGATAAATCAACGCAAGTCAATTGTTGTCCTTGTGCAATGCAATTCCGCTTAAAGACTTCACCAACCATCCCGTTCGTCCCTCCCAAACTCCCCCATTGCCCCATCCCTCCCATCCAACCCACCCCTCCTCCCCCCCATCCCCAAATCTCTCCCATCTCCCCAATCCCCCCCGCTCCCCACCTCATGCCAGCGACATGAGCCAGGATCCCATCACCCACCCGCCCATCCTCAAACCTCTCCACTCCCCACCTCCCGGCAGCGACATGAGCCAGAACCCCATCAAGGACGTAGCTCCCCTCGCCCCGCTCACCAACCTCGTCTACCTGTAATACACACCTCTTGCTTCTTTTGAGAGTGATACGCATAAAAAAAATCACCTCACCAACATCGTCTACCTGTAATACACACGCACCTCTTGCTTCTGTCTAGAACATGTGCCGCGTTTACCTGAGCGTGTGTCTTGCCGTATCCCCTGGGTTACCACTCGCCTCCTCTCGCCCTGCACCCTCCTCTCGCCGCACCCCTCCTTTACCCCTCTCAGGGCCATCTACCAGGACGTTCACCTTTACCCTCCCATCCCCTCTCCTCTCTCACAGCATCCCTTACCCGACCCCACCACCCTGCATTGCACCACACCACTCGAGCTCACCTATCATTCATGCATGTACCAATGCTGGAGTACATGCCTGGAGTAAGACACGCCCCTTCCCCATCGCACCAATGCGTCCTCTTTCTACCCTCCCCTCCTCTCCCCCCCTCCTCTCCCCCCTTCGTCTTCCCCCCCCGCGCATGCCACGGCAGCAATTTAGAGGCACTGGGCATCGAAAAGGCACCCAACGCACTCGGCAACCTGGGCATGCTCAAACACCTGTGAGACGCTCAAGCACCTGTGAGACCTGCACGCCCACAACGCGTTATAGGCACCCTCGTGCCGGTGTATGCGTGCTGCTGCTGAAGCCATAGCACTGGGCTGGCCAGCTCACTTGGATGTGGTCTGAGCCTCCATGCCCATCAAAGTCACCTCTGCATCTCTCTGCATCTCTCCGCATCTCTCTGCAACTCTCTGCATCTCTCTCCATCTATCTGCATCTCTCGGCCTGGCAGGAACCTGAATCAGAACTATCTGTCCACTCCAATCCCACCATTCGTCACGGCCCTAACTGCCCTCACCCTCTTGTAAGCCCAGCAGCCCTCATCCTGCCTGCTTGCATGGCACGTGCCTTGCCCTTTTCTCGTACCTGCCCTCTTATTCCTGTGAAAAATTCCCAACCCTCTCTGCCTTCCCAACTCTCTCCCGCCTGCTTGCATGGGACGTGCCTTGCCCTTTGTCCTTACCTGCCCCTTTTCCTGTGAAAGGCCACCAACCTCTCTGCCTTCCCAAGTCTCCCAACCTCCTCTCAACCCTCTCTGCCTCCCTATCTTCGTTACAGGGACCTTGGGTTCAACGACTTTAGCGGATCTCTCCCTCCTGGCTTTGGCAACCTGAAGAGCCTGAAGAAGCTGTGAGTCAACGCTAGACAACGCAGGTCAACGCTAGTCAACCCAAGTCAATGCTAATCAACCCATGTCAACGCTAGTCAACCTGAATCAATCCAAGTCAGCCTAAGTCAGCCAGCTTCCCAAATCAAAGCAGAAACGTTGCTAAGGCTTCTACCACTCTCCATGTCTTCCCTCCCTTCCCTCCCCGCTCCGCTTCCCCTCTCCACCAATCACGGCAGGGTGTTGTCGCACGGTGGCGATGCGCTGGGCGGCAAACTGCCGCGCTCCTTCTCCTCCCTCACCAACCTGCGCGAACTGTGAGTGAGGCCGAGTGTGTTGTTGTGTGGCTGTGAGTGAGGCTGTGAGTGTGTCTGTTGGTGTGTCTGAGTGTGATTTTGCTGCTGTGACTGTAACGGTTCCACTGATTCTTCACGTGATGGCTCCAACCCAAACGATCCCGACTCCTTCCCTCACTTCCGTCCGTCGCCTAAAAATTTCCCAACCCCTTCCCCACTACCAACTCCACCACAACTGTCCACCCTCTGCCGCAGGTACATGAACGACAATGCCTTTGGAGGCAGCATCCCTGCTTACATCGGAAGCTTCCTCTCCCTTTCCTACCTGTGAGAGTCCCATCAAGCCCCCCCCCTTCATTAGTGATCCCGGCCAACATTGAAATGTTTCCCTTCTCTTCCATCGCTGCCCATCCCCTCATGGTCCGCTGCTGCTGGGACAAGAGGGAACACCGAGAAACTGTCTGCATGCATTCCTGCTGCCACCTTACCCAGTGGTGCAATACGGACATGACCCAGGAACAGGTGCAATGCACGAGGATCACCTCCCTGATCCTCTCCTCCCCTTCTCTCCTTCGCCCCCATATCTCTCCCCTTCCCTCCCTCGCCCCACATATCCTTCCGCTTGCGGCAGGCAGCTGAGCAACAACATGTTTTGAGGCAACATCCCCAAAGAGCTCTCAACTCCCACACCCTCTACTCCCTCCCTTATCCTACCTCTCCCCCTCTTGCCCCTCTCACTTATCCCTCTTCCCCCATGGCAGCCGGCTGAGCAACAACATGTTCTCGGGCACCATCCCCAAAGAACTCTCACGCCTCAAGAGCCTGCAGTTCCTGTGAGTCAACGCAGTCAACGCCAGTCAACGCCAGTCAACGCGTCTGCGTTCGTGCGAGTCCGCACTGCCAACATGTGCAGAGGGCTGTGCATTCAGCCGGTTGTCTGGCTGTCTGCTACGATACGCACACCCACCACTCAAGGCTAGACTGTCTCCTCTCACTGTTGCCCCACCCTCACACCCCCCACCTTCAAATCCTGCTCCCGCATACACCCTCCCTTCCTTCTGCCCCCTCCCCCACTCACATGCAGAGGGCTGCGCTACAACTGGCTGACGGGCTCCATCCCCGCTGCCCTCGCCTCTCTCTCCCAACTCACCTACCTGTCAGCCTCCATCCCATCGCCTTGCAACCTTCCCTCCTTCTCCTGCATCGTTTTCTATCCACTCTGCATGCTCCATCCCCCGCGTTTCAACGCTCGCCGCTCTGTGTTGCACTCCGTTGCTCACCCAACGGGCTCTGGCCGTTGCCATGTCATCATCTCAACGCCACGTCACCGTCCTAACGCCACGTCACCATGCCAGGTCTCTGAATTACAACAAGCTGAGTGGGAGCATCCCGGAACAGCTGACCCGCCTGGCCAACATCCAGAGCATGTGAGGGCGAGAGAGAGGGAGCAAGCAGCTGAGAGCATTTGAGAAAGTACACACTTGCGTAGGAGCGTTGTGGAAATTTATATATCTCAAAGCCCGAGCATTCAGGACGCTGGCAGTCAGACTTGGCGGCCTGTGTCAACACAATGCTGGCAGTCAGGCTGCAAGGTCCCAGTTAATGACTATTGAGGCCGAAGCAAACACGCACGGAAACAAACATCGCATTCTCTGTCAATATTCTTCTTGACTTTTGTGTGTTGTGCGCTGTGGTGTGTGTTGTGTCGTGTTGTGCGGTGGCGGCACAGCAATCTAGAGAGCAACTATCTATCGGGGACCCTCCCCGACATCAATCGTCTTAAGCTGCTCACAGACATGTGAGTCATGCTGAGGGTGATAGTCGTGGTTAGCGAGCAATGAGCAAGGAGGACATGTGAGTGATGCTGAATGCGGAATGAGCAATCGACGACATGTGATTGCCCCAACAAGCTGCCTCCTGCTGCCATGCCTCTTTCCCTAGCAGCTCCACGCCCCTTGTTCCTCCCAAACTACCCCTTCCCTCCCCACCCCACCCCATCACAGCAACGTGCGCTCCAACTATCTCAGCGGCACCATTCCACCGCGCTACCTGCTGCTGCCGTACCACAGCCTGTCGTTATAATTACTTTGCAGAGGAGATCCCTCACCTCCCACCCCACTTTACCCCTCTCCACCCTTCTGCACCCTCTTCCTCCCCACCCCACCCACACAGCAACGTGCGCTCCAACTATCTCAGCGGCACCATCCCTCCACGCTACCTGCTGCTACCGTACCACAGCCTGTCCTCCAACTACTTCGTGGGCGAGGTGTCATACAAGGCCAAGAACCGCACTTCTATATGCCCCGGCGAGTCCGACGTTGATAACAACTGCCTGCGCCTCAAGTGGTGCGTGATGGTGAGGGGTGAACCCATGGTGAGGAGAGAGCGAGAGAGGGAGTATGGGTGAACCCATGCTGCTGCTGCATTGCCGCCACAGCCTGGGAGAGGTGTCATACAAGGCCAGGAACGGCACTGCCCTCTGCCCCGCCGAGTCCGATGTTGATAACAACTGCCTGCGCCTCAAGTGGTGTGTGTGCGAAGCCTGTTGTGCAAGGCAGCAATGGTCGAACTTCGTGAGTGTATCTATGCTGCTGCAGTGCAGTGCAGGTGGGACAAGAAGGTGTGTGGACCAAAACCTCTCGTCCCTTCCCCTTCGGCCCCTCACACCCCGCACCACACACAGGTGGGACAAGAAGGTGTGTGGACCAAAACCTCTCGTCCCTTCCCCTTCGGCCCCTCACACCCCGCACCACACACAGGTGGGACAAGAAGGTGTGTGGACCAAAACCTCTCGTCCCTTCCCCTTCGGCCCCTCACACCCCGCACCACACACAGGTGGGACAAGAAGGTGTGTGGACCAAAACCTCTCGTCCCTTCCCCTTCGGCCCCTCACACCCCGCACCACACACAGGTGGGACAAGAAGGCGTGTGGCAAGAAGCCTCCCCAGCGCAGTGCCAGCAATGCGCTCACCACATTTTTGTTTCCTCTCCCTCCGTCACCACTTCCCCCTCTCAAACTCCCACCGCGCACAGGTGGGACAAGAAGGCATGCGGCAAGAAACCGCCGCAGCGCAGCGCCGAATCCTGCTGGACCTTCTGCCGGGCGGCAAGCAGGCTCGGCACGTGCGGGCGGCGGGGCTTCTGTGTGCCGGCCAGCCTGCGCAAGAACGACAGCGCTGTGGTGTATGCCGCGTGCCGCTGCAAGGAGGGCGCTGCTGTTACGGCCGACAACCAGTACTGCGTGAAAGGTGCGGGGAGCGTTCAAGGTTGAGTGCTCAGGGGGCTTGTGTGTGCCAGCCAGTAATGCTGCTTTGCCGTTGCCAGAAGGGTGCTGCTGCCACTGCCGACAACCAGTACTGAGTGAAAGGTGAGGGGCGGAGGAGAGGAAAGAGTGTGCGTGCGTTCACAATGCTACATCCAATGTTGGGTGTGCAGACACTGTCCCACTGCCACATGGTGTATGCTGCTGCTGTTGCAAGGAAGGGGCTGCTGCCACTGCCGACAACCAGTACTGCGTGAAAGGTGAGGGGCAGAGGAGAGGAAAGAGTGTGCCTGTGTTCACAATGCTACATCCAATGTTGGGTGTGCAGACACTGTCCCACTGCCACGTGCCACCGTAGCAGCACGTGCCATCCCAACTTCCTCTCCTCTCCCCTCCCCTTCTTCCATCCACAACTCACCGGGGTTAATCAGCCCACCAACCACAACAACAACCAATCTATCGCTCTCCCACCATTCAACTCTCTTCTCCTCCCCTTCCCTTTCCCTCCGGCATATTAGTCTGCTGAACAACTAGTTGGTCCGCAAGCCCGGTCCCCTGAAAGCCAACTGCCCTCCCAGCAGCAACTGCAAAACTTCACACCTCCCCTTTCCACTTTCCCTTCCACCTCTCCTACTGCCCCCTCTTCCCCCCTCTGCGCCCCTCTGCGCCCTGCAGTGACAAACAAGTTAGTGCGCAAGGCGTGTCCGCCCAATCCCAAGTGCCCTCCCAGGAGTGTCTGCCAACCCAACTTCCTCTCCCCTCTCGGATACCGCTGTGCCTGTGCCAAGGGTTACCAGCCAGTGGCAGAGAACTACTGGACCGTTACAAAGTGCGTTGCTATAGAGGTGTAGACGCAGGCAAAAACCTTACTACTGTATAAGCTGTACAGCGGATTAGCGCATGGTTTGGCTATTGATCTCCCTCCAGGTGTCTGCTACAGAAAGAGTGCAATAAGTAGCACATTGTTGGTGCCTGCATAAAGTCGATATGCTTAGCGAAAGCGCTTGGTAACATTATATCCACATGTATCTCTAAAGTGCTATATGCATTGCGTGTCTCGTGGTGCAGATTAAAATGGTTAATGAAAGTCAAAAACAAGCAGGCTGCAGGAAACACCAAGATACGGCACGCTTTATGCCGACAAAATGGTTGACCATCACCACTGTAGTACCGTGATTAACCATGAAGGTATCAGCAGTTCCCAAATGCCTCCAGATTAAGTGCTCTCATCCATCCTTACACCTCTCCCTCACGCACGTCCCGTTCTCACACACCATCCCCCCTCTCACGTAAACTTCCCCTTCACACGCTCCCACCAGCTCACAACATCCCTCTCAACCACTTCAAATTATCACACACCGGGCCCCATTAGTCGCAGGACAGCAAACCCCCCCACAGCCACTGCTCCCACGCCCACCGTCACCAGCGCCACAGAGCTCCACCCTCCCCAGTCACACCTCCCCCCTCCTGCTCGCGTAACGCCGCCTCGGCCGCGGCGGTTACCACGTATCTGTCCATGCGGCGGTTCTTGGCCACTAGCTCACACACATGCCCTTCTCATCCACACTTGCCATTCGCATCCACACAGCATGGGGTCCAACGTCCCCTCTCATGCACGGGGCCCCATGAGTCGCAGGACAGCAAGCCCCCCCACAGCCGCAGCCCCAACACCCACCGTCACCACCGCAAGCGAACTCCACCCCCTTCCTGCTCCCTCCGCCTGCTCGCGTAACGCCGCCTCGGCCGCGGCGGTTACCACGTCCTTATCCATGCGGCGATTCTTGGCCACTAGCTCCTGGATCTTGTCTGTAGCCGCCGCCAGGTCGCTACTGAGGGAGGCGTTATCCCGCTGCACCTGCCCCAGCTGGAGAAACATGGTTTTGGCCTCTGCTTCCTTGGTTGCTGCCAGCCTGTGTGGGGGTGGTGGGGGAGGGAGAGAGGGAGGGAGGGCCGGGGGGGGGTAAGAGGAAGGGCGAGGAGGAGTAATCCCGCTGCACCTGCCCCAGCTGTAGAAACATGGTCGTTGCCTCTGCTTCCTTGGTTGCTGCCAGCCTGGGGGAAAGAGGGGCGGGAAGCGGTTTGGAACGGGTAGGGGGTGGGAGAGAAAGGGACAGAGGGGGTTGGTACGGCAGCAAAAGTTTGGCAAGGGTGGCACGTTATGAATAAGGGCATCGTGCTAGGCAGCTTAACAAAGCAGCGCACAGCACACAGAGCAGCAAACGAGCACTCACTCTGCCAGCCTGGCATTCTCCCGGCTGCCACTCGCCAGCTTCCCCTCCACCTCCTCCCTTGCCTGCACCGCAGATGCCACCTCCCCCAGCAGAGCCTCCACGCGCGCCTCCAGCTCCCCCACCCGGCTCCCCACACTCTCCCCACCCGCACTCTCCCCACCCGCACCCGCCTCCTGCTTCGCCTGGGCAAGCTCCCGCGCTGCTGCCTTCAACTCCCCCTGCAACGCCCCCAGCTCCCCCTTCACTGCCTCAACCTCTCGCCTCGCCTCCCTCGCCTCCTCCTCCTTCCTCCTCGCCTCCTCCGCACTTGCTTTGATCTCTTCTTCTGCTGCTTTCACCCGCTGCTCCAGTGCCTTTATCTGCTCCGTCATAGCTGCGACCTGCTCGTCTTTGGCCTTCAACTGGGCGTCCTTGTCTTGTAGCGCGGAGTGCGCCTGCACCAGCTCCACCTGCGTCTGCGTGAGGCTCTGCTGGAGCTCCGCTAGGTGGGCCGCTGCCTTGGCTGCCACCCTGGGGGACACAAACACAGGAAGACAGGGCAATGTTATGAGGGACGAGGGTGCACACGAGCGTGAGGCTCTGCTGCACATCCACCAGGTGGGCCCTGGGAGACACACACATGCATGGGGAGATGAGAATGGCAATTGACGTGAACAGAGTGTATGAGCACATGACAGGGGGTTGCGAAGGGGAGGGGAGGGAGAAGGGAGCGGGTTGATGGGAAAGGCAACGGGACAACAGAATGCAACAGGCCTTATTCCAAGCAGCCAGCAGCACAGCAGGCGCACAGATACGACAGCCCTACCTGGTGGCCTGGTCTGACTCGCCCTTCTTTCCCGCCAGCGACTTCTCTGCATCAGCCCTTGCCGCCTCAGCCGCTGCTCTCGCTGCTTCCGCCTCTGCTTTTGCCGCCTCAGCCACTCCTCTCGCTGTTTCAGCCTCCATTCTCGCCGCTTCAGCCGCTGCCAGCTGAGCACCGAGTGCCTGCACGCGTTGCTCCAGCTCTCTCCTCCCCTCATCCCGCTCACCGCTCTCCTTCTCCTTTGCCGCCTTCTCTGCCGCCCACGTCTCCCGCTCTGCCGCCCAGCTGCCCTTCTCTGCCGCCCAGTTCGCCCGTTCCTCCGCCCAGCTGCTCTTCTCTGCCGCCCAGTTCTCTCGGTCTGCCGCCCAGCTTTGCTTGTCCTGCTCCAACGCCTGCAAGGAGCGGGAAAGCTCATCCACTCTGCCCGCGGCCTCAGCTGAAGCCCTGGAGATGGGCGGGGGGAGGAGAGAGTGAGGAAAAGAGAGGAAGAAGGAGAAGCATGAGTGATTATCCAGTGACGATTGCAGAAACGGGAAGCAGATATCTTCTCAGCTGCTATGCAAGTGACACATGGAAACCCCTGAACCCTGCGGCCATCTGCAAAGTCCGGCAAATAATCGGGGGGGTCGCGCTCACTTCAACAGGTCGGCGGATTTCGCCTGGGCTTCCGCGCTCTCCTTGATCGCCGCGTCTCGCGCTGCCACGAGAGCCTCCGTCTCTTGCTTCAGCGCCCGCACCGTCTCCTCATGAGCCCTCGCCTTCTCATTCATCTCGCCTCTCAACGCCTCTACCTCTTTCTTCGCCAGATCCATCTCTCTCCGGACCTTCCCCGCCTCCGCTTCTTTCCCCGCCAATTCCCCCTTCAGCCGCGCGATCTCCCCCTCCGCCGCGGTCACCAGCCCATCCAGGCGCGCGCGTTCCGCCTTCCCCGCAGCCGCCGCCTCTTCCGCCTTCGACGTCTTCTCCGCGGCCGCCGCCAGATCCTTTTCTAGCGCGTTCTTCGCCTGCTGAACGCTCTTCCGCGCAACCTCCGATCCGCGCTTCCCCTCCTCCAACTCCCGGCACCGCTGCGCCATCTCCTCCAGCTGCTTCCGCAACTTCTCCGCCTCCACCTGCGCGCCGAACCCGCCGCCTCCGCCGCCCCCGGCGCCGCTGCTACTACCGTTCGCCATTGGCGACTCGAGCGGGAATTTGCTGGAAGCGTCCTCGAAAGTGGGAGTGCGGTTACCATCGTGCGGAGTTCGCGAGCCGTCGCTGAAGTGCTCCGGCGGTTCGACGAAGACGTCGGCGTCGTGAGAGTCGCTGGAATCGCGACTCGCCGTGGCGCGGAAAGGGGAGGTCACGTTGATCGACGGGAGACCTTCCGCGGACGGCGCGCCTGCGGCTGGGAGTGCGGATGGCGGATCCGCTGAGGTGGTCTTGGCCGGAGGATCGCTAGCGGAAGGCGCGGGGGGAGCTGTGGAGTTGACGGTTGGGCTAGGAGCCGCTGCTGCTGGAGCAGCGGTGGTCTGTTGACGGCCCTTCTGGTTCTTCTTTCGACCCATCCGTGCCGAGTGGCGAATTCAAAACGTGATCTCAGCTCTGATCCTCTGACCAAAATATTTACGGAACGCGATCGTCAACGGACTTGACGACCCGCGGTTATACCAGGGCCAGCAGAAGAACGACGGAATGCGTCGCCTGTTATCGGATGAGGTGGTTATGAGCAACGACACGGGGCAAAAAGGTTAATCGGCTACGTTGGTCCTAACGGACGGTACAATATACGATGATGTCAGCGAAGCGTCGTGTGTAAGAGAAAAGGCTCGGTTAGCAAGCACGTCAGGGAAAAACAAGGTAGAGACTGCCTAGTACCGAACCAGGTAGATTCTCCCTGATCACCTTACCTCATCTCGCATAACACCATATGGTGAAGATCACCATCCATATGGTGTCATCATCATGATCGGCCTTGCGCTATATGATGGGTGAAGGGAAAAGGATGAGGGAAGATGATGGCGGGAAGGGAATGGCTTGCGAAGAAAGCTTCTAGTACCGACTGACACCCAACGTTACCGTACCCGATCTGCGGCGGTGGGGATTGGTTGGGGAGCAAGGAACGATGGTGACGTTCGCGAGCGGACTCTGTAACGTGCGCGAAGAGGGGGGGGTGTCCAACCAAACATTCTCGCCAGGTCAAACGAAGTTGGTTTCGGGGCCCCGCAAATAAGTATTATTCGTTTGGCACGTAGTTGGTTGGTTGTCATAAATCAGCCAATATATGCGGAGAGAATTAACCTGCAAATGTTGGTGAGAATTTCATACCAACAATTCCTTCTCCTGTTTATATGTTGCTGTCCGGCCGGCATGTCAGACCAGATTTGAGATTGCTGGGAGGCAGCACATCGTGTGTTTGGTCAACCGGAATCATGAATATCTGGCAAGATGGGTAGTGGCTTGCTTCTTATGCGACTCCGTCATGGGATGACAGCGAAGACCATGAAAACCTGCAGCAGCAAATAGAACAGTATAAGCAAGTAGGGGCTTCCAGAATAAAGAAAAGTCAGAACGGAGGAAACATGGATTGGCACAATTGAATGCAAAGCATCAAGCACAAGAAATGTATGCAAGACAGGGCACGAAAGGTGAAATGCGGGGGTGCAGGGTTTCAAGGGGGACATCACATGGCTGAAGCCTACCCTGGTTTCATTATCCCAGTCTTTCTTGCTATGCTGTTGTTGCCATTGCCCGCCACCTTGCCGATTAGAGCGACGTTCGAATCGATCCCGGGCTCATTTCGAAGTGGCCACGATGCCAAAACTTCAGAGACCGTCCAAAAGCTCATTGCCACGTGGCCATAAAGAACACGTGGCGGCCACAACTTCTGAGATCCTCTCAATCAAAGCTCATCTCCAGGCGGCCACGAAGATCAAGGGCACGCCGCGCCAGCTGAGCTGAAGAGCGCCCGTCTCTCCATGCACTTCCAGCCGGAACCGCCCATCCTTCCCCTCTGTGATTGCCTTCCCAGCGGCCACTGTATCCGGCCCTAAAGGTACCGGCTCCAGCCCCACCGTCCTCATCCGATCCACCCATTTCTCAAGCCGTTCAGAGCGCATCCACCTGTTCATGCCCTCACATGCCACCCCGTTCATCAAATCCCGTGCCAGAATGGTTTCCGCTGTGAACCGTGGCATGGCGGAGTGTGGCATGGAGGCATCGAAGGACTCGATGGACGCTGCAAAATTGGCAAAGGCGGCGTGGAAGCACGAGAGAAAGAAGGGCCCATTGGCATCCAGATCGATGTCAACCTGGAGTAAAAGGAGTGGCCGCAGGTCGCGAATCCACTTTAGAATCGCATTGCGGGGGTTGGAGCGAAGGACAGAGTCGTCTGGGAAGACCATGAGACTCCAATTGGCCAGCACCACTACCTCCTCGCCTTCATCCACCTCCACTTGTGATGGGTGGAAGTCGAGTGGGGTGGTTCCTATCCCGTGGAATGACAGGGAGAGGCCCATCATAGATGCCACCTGCTCCAGGTACTGCCCCCCCAGATGCACCAGGCCCGTTGGATGCTCTTCCACTTTGATGATCCCGAAATCAACGGCTGTAAATTTCACGTGGGCGTTGGGGCGGGGCGATGGAGCAGCGATAGTAGGGGATGAGCTGTGTGTCGCGACGGTCTGAGAGAGGTGTATGGGGAGTTGCAGAGTGAGTGCTCCCACCGCTGCCTCTCATGCTGCCGCTGCTGGTGAAGCTCTTGCTGCCTGCAACAGGTGCATCTGCTGCTTCACCTCCCCCAGGTATACCTGCCCCGAACGCCCCTGCTCTGTCCTGAACACCGCTCACGCCCCCACCAGCTGCATTTGGTACTGCCCCTGCTCCTCCAGATGGGATGCCACTTGGTGGATTCCCATTGGCTGTGGCGGGGAGGATGGTAGGGGAGGAGAAATGGGCGGCGAGGCGCATGAAGATGTGAATCCAGTGCGGCCCGTAGTAGAGTCCAAGGGCTATGATGTGCAGCCGCCGCCGCCGCACCGACTGGCCGGCAGAGGCAGAGGGAGAGGCAGAGGCAGGGAACGAGGCCGGCTGGGGGGAAGGAGCAGGGGCGTGCGGAGTGTGTGGGTCGCTGGCAGGTGAATGGGGAGCATGTCTGTGGAAGGTGGAGGTGTGGGTGGGGAGGCTCAGTGCACGTACGTGTGCATGTTGGTGTGGGTGTGCATGTGGTTGGTGGGTGAATGCATGAATGATTTCGTGCATTTCTGCAATGTTGGCGAGGTGCATGAATGCCGGCACTCCATGCTCGCCGCCATGGCCCGACATTGCCATCGTATCCTGCTCACATGGGACACGAGGCATGCATGGAATGCATGGGATGCATGGGACACGTGGCATGCATGGAACGCATGGCATAAGTAGGATGCATGGGATGAATGGGATGCATGGCATATGTGGGATGCATGGCATACGAGGGATGCATGGCATATGTGGGATGCATGGCATATGTGAGATGCATCGGATGAATGGGATGCATAGGAAGCATGGGATGCACGAAACACTGTAAGCTTAGCACATACAGTGCCTCCCTGGAGAGGGAAAGTGCCTGAAGAAAACAATATACTGAGCACGTGTAGTATGTCTGTGTGTGTGTGCGTGTGTGCATGCGTGCATGTCTGTGTGTATAAACCCACATCCAGATATGTAAACCTGAATGGTGATGTTCAAGGGGGTTTGCCATCTGGTGAGCGCGGAGCCATCCATGCGCGCCTCTAGCGCCTCCAGCGCGTGGAAGGCGATGCGCTGCAGCGTGTCCCCCCCCGCTGCCGCCTCCCTCCGCACCTGCCGCATGACCTGCCGCCACCGTACCTGGTGGGCAGTGAGAGTGATTGGGGGAGTGATTGGGGGAGTGATTGGGGGAGTGATTGGGGGAGTGATTGGGGGAGTGATTGGGGGAGTGATTGGGGGAGTGATTGGGGGAGTGATTGGGGGAGTGATTGGGGGAGTGATTGGGGGAGTGATTGGGGGAGTGATTGGGGGAGTGATTGGGGGAGTGATTGGGGGAGTGATTGGGGGAGTGATTGGGGGAGTGATTGGGGGAGTGATTGGGGGAGTGATTGGGGGAGTGATTGGGGGAGTGATTGGGGGAGTGATTGGGGGAGTGATTGGGGGAGTGATTGGGGGAGTGATTGGGGGAGTGATTGGGGGAGTGATTGGGGGAGTGATTGGGGGAGTGATTGGGGGAGTGATTGGGGAGTGATTGGGGGAGTGATTGGGGGAGTGATTGGGGAGTGATTGGGGGAGTGATTGGGGGAGTGATTGGGGGAGTGATTGGGGGAGTGATTGGGGGAGTGATTGGGGGAGTGATTGGGGGAGTGATTGGGGGAGTGATTGGGGGAGTGATTGGGGGAGTGATTGGGGGAGTGATTGGGGAGTGATTGGGGGAGTGATTGGGGGCGTGATTGGGGGAGTGATTGGGGGAGTGATTGGGGGAGTGATTGGGGGAGTGCTTGGGGGAGTGATTGGGGGAGTGATTGGGGGAGTGATTGGGGG